AACTCGGGCACCGAAGGTACCAGATTTCAAATTTGAGCTCTTACCGCTTCACTCGCCGTTACTAAGGTAATCCCTGTTGGTTTCTTTTCCTCCGCTTATTGATATGCTTAAGTTCAGCGGGTAGTCCTACCTGATTTGAGGTCAAACTTAGTGTTTGGTGTTGTAAGGCCGAGCCATAGACAAAACTTGTTTCTGCTCAAGCCAGTTCAACGAGTTGGTAAAACCTAATACATTGAAACAGCCGTAAATGAAGCAGACACCCGTAGTGCCACTCTTGCCAATACTTTTCAAGCAAACTCAAAGTAGACTGTGAGTATCACTCAATACCAAACCCGAGGGTTTGAGAGAGAAATGACGCTCAAACAGGCATGCCCCCCGGAATACCAGAGGGCGCAATGTGCGTTCAAAGATTCGATGATTCACGAAAATCTGCAATTCATATTACTTATCGCATTTCGCTGCGTTCTTCATCGATGCGAGAACCAAGAGATCCGTTGTTGAAAGTTTTGAAGATTATGTTTTTGAATTAAATCAACAAAATTTGACTAAAATGTTTAAAAAAACTTAGTCTACGTTTAAAGACTAGAATTTGAAGTTATAATGTTCCTTTGCCCGCGCCGAAGCAACAGGCAAGGCAATGGTTCCGAAGGTAAATCATGTTGTAGTGCAAGATTTATGAATTATTAGTTGTCTCGTTCTTGTCTTCAATTGTCTTTGCTTTTGCATATGGTACCTCCAGGGCTTATTGTTCTGCTGGTGTTACTTTTGCATGCATATTGCATGTCCTGTGCTGAGAGGAAGCGTTTTTTTTATGCCTTGCAGAATGGATCTGCCACGTTTCATCTCTCATTAACTAATCGTTTTATTTTACTTCACAAGTAGACTCGATGCAAGTGCAACACATGTATCCAGTTTTTATAAAAAAATATCATTTTGATTAACTTTTTCCCACCATGTTCCACTTCTCGTCTGTTAGTGCTGATTTTTTGAAGTGTTTTGTAAATGGATAGCTATAATGTTTCGAGAAGTCACATTCTAGAATATGGAATAACTGTGGAATCGAGCATGGAGATATTTATACAACTCTTCCAGCATTTTTAAGTATTTTTAGAGGACAAGGTCTTATCTACCTCTTAGCATTCCGTGATGAATTTCAGTGAAGCACTCATTTATCGTTGGACGTTTGATTACAGGTGTGTATGGTAGTCTTCATTTCATATTTCCGAAGGTTATAATAGTGTGTAAATTCTGCCCACGGCGCCTCTGCACCTTTTCCGTCGTAGAAGACTAAATAATCGAGGGATATGGCATCTCTCTTGTTACCATATTAGTCACGTGTAAATTTCGTTCCACCTGGCTACAGTTGTTATAGGAAAGGCTGGTGAACTATGCCTCAGACTAGAGGTAATGGAATATCTTGGAAATAAACCATCGGCAAATGGAGTGTAGACTAATTACTGATTTTCATCTGAGTGAAGAAGTATTGACTTTTTTGTATTCAAAGGTAGTAGTGGATGCTGCTAGCTAGCCAAATGAGGACACTTTTCATCGGTGATATATACAATAAAAGGAGTCGATGTCTTTATATACCGAGGACCGAAGGTGGTATTATCATAGTTATATGGCAATATATCCTTGAGGCTAATTTTATACCGTAATTTCCTATGGTTGGTAGTTGTATGGACTCTAGTCCGATCAGAGGTTGAATATAGACCGATTACATCTGTCTGGTTAAATGGTACCTTTAGTACACGCGTTGGGCTATCGTATTAAAGAGTATTTTCTTCTTAGCTTGGAGAGTTGAATTCTATCATGGTTCAATATTTTTAAAAGATACCTGCGTTTACCGAGAAATCTTTGAGACAAGGAATGTGATAGTATAATGTGCATCTATAGTTTAGGTCAGCTCAGGGTCTCGTGATCTGTGATTCGCAATCTTGTTTCCGTAGGAAAATCATTGCCGTTCTGAGGAACCCCGGTGCATGTATTGGCTCGTTTGGGGATAACATAGCTTACACAACGTAGACTTTGATTGACGGAAGAGCCATAATGTGTAATTTTTAATGAATGAATTTATGACTCAGAACGATTGCTAGTTCCGCAATTTGGAATACATACATGTTGTTGCTTATGTAAGCGGTGTGGACGGAGCATGATGGAAAAGATAAGAATCCGCGTAAAAGAAAAACAAAAACATATAGAGATTGCGTGATATAGAAGACTGTGGACAAACGTCATGCGGCTCATGGTGTTGTGTGGCTGCTAGATGTTATACACACTCCTTATAAAAATGTATTCATGCATAACAAGATAGATCAAATTACACCCTTTTCAAATGATATTTACGAACTGTGGGTCTAAAAATTCTTCTACCGTTGAGTTTATACTTCGGAAAAATCCCTCGGCTTTAATCCAGGGACAAACCCAGCAGAGTTTGCGACTGGGTACCTACAGGAGGAGATATATACACTCTAATACCTCCTTCTCAGATTATTACATAGCTGTTGAATATATTATCTAAAATCCAAGCATAACTCTCCACGGACTCATATAAATGAGCTCATTAATTGCCTCAGGAACTCAGGACCCTGTCTATAGCACTGAGCGCCTAGTTAAGGATAACGCAGTCGCCACGATGAAGCAGGTTTCCCTGGACAATTCACTGGAGCTGCTGGAAGAATACAGAGGTTCTGGTAGCTCGGTGTTTACAAAGAGATTTCAGAGCGCCATATTAATTTCAAGCCTTGGTGAACCACTAGAAGTTCATGACAATCATCCAATTCCAAACTTAGATGAATTTGAAGTGTTGATTGAAAACAAAGCGATTGGCTTGAACCCAGTTGATTGGAAGTCCAAAAAATATGGCTTCAGTATTTATAGTTTTCCATGGGTTAATGGGAGAGAAAGCAGTGGTGTTATCGTTAAACAAGGCGATAGAGTGACTGAAGATTTGATCGGTAAGAAGGTTTTCTTGGCCAGTACCAGCTATAGAGACAACAGAACAAGTACCTTCCAAGAGTATACTGTCATGGACTCAAGGCTTGTTTGGGAACTACCAGAGAAATTATCATTTGAGGAAGGTGCTACTCTTGGTGTTGGGCTTGTTACTGCCGGTGCTTTACTTTACGATAGCTTCGGCATTGATTTTGCAGACCGGGAGTCTAATTTAGGGAAATCCATTGTCATCTGGGGTGGTTCCAGTGTCGTTGGGATTTATGCCACTCAATTGGCTAGTATTGCTGGTTTTAGTGTCATTTCCGTTGCCAGTCGCAGAAACCAGAAGCTTTTGGAATCGCTTGGCGCTTCGTTAGTGGTCGACCGCCACCAGAACCCTTCTGCTATTTTTCAGCAGACCTTGGAGCTTGCCCCGAACGGTTTGGATTTTGGTATCGACTGCGTATCCAAAGAGACCTCTCTAAACGTAGTGGATCTTCTTAAATTATCCTTTGATATTTCTGGAAAGGTAGCAAAATTTGCTGGAATTGTGGGTGTGCCGAGAACCATTCCTTGGGAAGTGGAACCAGTTGAAGTTACAATTAAAAGGTTCCATGAGAATGTGGAGTATGGTGAAATGTTTGTCCGTAATACCTCTATGTTGTTACATGAAGGCACACTTAAGCCAGTAAGACAAAAAAAGTTTTTTGGTGGGATCGAAATGATTATCGCTGGCTTGGAAGATTTGGAATCGTTTGGAGCAAGTGCTGAGAAATATGTTGTATCTATCTAATAATGGATATTTTTAGGAGCTAACTTATCTATCTATAGGTATTTTTGTAAGGTTATTGGAATCCAAAGTGGTTCATTCATGATTTATGCAAGGTATACTAGTTAAATGGAATATAGCTCACTTCTTATTCCATTTATTCTACCTTAAACTGGTTTCTGTGTACGGAGCCCTGCTATATTTATAAAAGTAGATTATTCACCATGGGATAGTGTCTTTTTTTTTGATTTCAGCTTTTTGATAAAATTAAACAAATTTGTATTCTTACGGGATGTTAACTAATCTACCCACACCATGGGCGGTAAATATTAGTTATTATACGCCTGAAAGGGTTCTACGTCTCACCCCTGGAAAGCTCAGTCCATTTTGCCTTGGTCTTCTCCAACTTCGCTTCGAAATCATCCCGAGAAACACCGGATCTCCATCTCAAATCGTAAGCCGGGTGGGAAGGCTTGACAAAAGTTGAGTCTTTACCCTCGGTACCAAAGATATTTTCTCTGAAAGTGAGACGCTCTTCTGGGTATTCATTCCAAGCCAAGCCTCTTATTCTCAATTCTGGGAGTAAGTGCTCAACAATATCCTCGAAGGAACCAGGAGTTATAGCATAGGTGAAGTTGAAGCCGTCAACGCCAGAGATATCCACCCACCTCTCAAGTTCGTCGGCCACTTCAGCAGCAGTACCGTATAAAACAGGGCCCAAACCACCAACAGTAATTTGCTTAGCAACGTATTCTCTGGTCTTCTTAAGGTCTTCCGGGTCACCTGGAGACTTTTTAGTCCAATTGTCGACAAAACCTCTGACTGCATTACTTCCAACATCTCTAAGCTCATCCTCATAATTGAATTGGCCGATATCAATACCAGTCCATCCACTGAACAACGCCTGGGCACCTTCTAAGTCACCGTATGACTTGAGTTCCTTATACTTCTCTTCAGCTTCCTCGTGCGTCTTTCCAATGACAGTGGTTATCAATTGAACCACTTTGACCGAATCGTCATCTCTGTTGTACTTTTCCTTGGCGATCCTCTTGATGTCTTTGATTTGTTTTCCCAAGCTTTCGGGGGTAAAGGTAGTGATAAACACAACTTCCGCGTTCTTGGCGGCAAAGTTCTTTCCAGCCTTGGAAGTACCGGCTTGTAAGATAACTGGAAGGCGCTGTGGCGATGGTTCAGTGATATTTGGGCCTGGGACCTTAAAGAATTTACCCTCATGGTTAATTTGTCTGATTCTGGATGGATCAGAGTAGACACCAGTCTTACGGTCCTTAACAACAGCGTCATCTCTCCAGGACGACAATAACAATTCGTAAACAACCTGAATGTATTCCTCGGCTCTGTCGTATCTCTCATCACGAGGTGGCAAGTCTTCACCGTTTAGCAAATTTCTGGCAGCACTGTCCAAGTAGGAAGAAACGACGTTCCAGCCAACTCTGCCGCCAGTTAAGTGATCCAAAGTAGCTAGTCTCCTGGTAAAATGATACGGGGCCTCGCTGATGGTGCTAAAGGTAATTCCAAAAGACAAGTTCTTGGTCACAGCCGCCATCGCAGCTACAACCGCGCTAGGTTCATTAACGGGCCATTGAGCGCCAGAGATAGCAGCAGGAGCGATGTTTCCAGGGCCGTTGTACACGTCGTAACCGCCCATGACATCAGCAATGAACAAGGAATTAAACTTTCCCTTTTCTAACAACTTGGCCAAACTGGTCCAGTACCCAATGGTTTTGTAGTCACTAGATTTGTCTTCCGGGTGTTTCCAAAGGCCTGGGGCTTGAAGACCACTACAACTCATATCAAAGGCATTGATAATAAGCGGCTTTCTGATTCTTTGTTTCTTGATATCTGGTTGGGTCATGGTTATTGGTATTTAACTTCTATTTAGTAGAATTGGCGGGAAAAAGGAGGGAAATTGCCAAGTGAAAAATAATTCAAGCATATAGATTTCGGGGGTAATCTGTGGAGTGGGTATGGTATCCTCTCAGTCATACTCATCTGTGGCGGACTGACGCTCTACTAATAGTGGTGCATAAAGCGTGATATGGAATGATAGTACTCGTATCTCAGTTAGTAATTATTCGGCACATAAAATGGGCTTTGATTCGTTCTATTAGCATAGAGGCAAAAGAGAAAATTGTGCTCTTCGTGATTATCGCAATTTCGTCACAAACTGTGGTTATGATGTCGGAATAGAGAGCTTGAAAAATCCTGTATACTAGACCCAACAACTTGCTCCACAATTCTGAAACTTTTATTAGCTCTTATCACGGGGGTATATTCCTCATCCATGGTAAAATCACCAGTCAAAGGTATAACTATTAGATCAGTCACAAAATCCTTATATTTTTCGCATATTTTTCGTCTTTGTCATGCTATGTGATGTTACCGCCTTATAATGGCTCTTTTTTGACTGGAAAACCACAAGATACAGTTCCCTTCGGAATAGTCAACTGTACGCACACTTTTAGAAATACAGTAGTGGATAATTTATTAGAACTGTATTTTTCAGTATATTTTCTGTTTGATTCTTCGAGGGAGAAAATGGTTTCGATTTCTGGCCATGTCTTCCATTGATTTCTATTGGCTTCTATCCCTCGTGAGATGTGAGGTACTTGTTTGTGAAAGTTTGTCATAGTGCCTACCGCGATTATTTGAAACATGGCGATATAGATTGAAAGGCTCCATAGAGCTAAATTTCTTTATATAATCTGTTGACAGTCACTTTAAAGGTCTTGATATAGTCTCTTCTACTAAGCTCGCTCTGTTTTGTATCAGAAATTGGGTTTTTAAGCATAAAATAGTCGTCAAATTAGCATTTGCCTATATCAAGGTGAGCTTAAGTGGTTTCATTGTGACCTCTAAAGTTTGGGGTTCCTCAAAATAACATTACCTGGTATATAAATCTGCGAATCTTCTGTCTAGCTAATCATTAGAAAAATTCTAATTTATTAAATATGACATAAACACAGGGTATAGCGTCGAAATCAAAGTATCACAAAATCACATGGCATTAACTACTTCTTGTCTGATAGATACCTGAACTGTTGACTCTTCGCTTGCGGTTCAAGTTATATAAATCATCCAAAGCAAACTCTACGGCACATCTCACCCATAACAAGCCAAAAACGCCCCAAGTGGACTTTTCCCCCACCTTGATCCAGTATGGAATGTTGTTGAAGCAGTTATGCACATCGAACAACCTCGTAAAATCCTTCACGTAATACCTCAACTCCGGAACTATAGTTATTTCACCTGCATTCGTCCTTGGAGTTTTCTCATCGACAGCAAATCTTTTGAAGAAAGCTGGGAGCCTACCTAGTTCGTTCAACATGGAGAATCTGTACTGAAACTCAATCGAGACGAGCGATTGGGCAGTAGTAATGAGCTTAGAGGAGCTCAGTGTTGGTCTGATATCATTCCCAATAAGAGGGGATAGATACGGCCTTGCCAATGAAATGACAAAGTGATTGACGTTGAACAACTCTGTGAGCCTGGTGTACGGCGAAGGATCATTTATCTGTGCATTGGTTGAAAAACTAGGAGGGTTGTATATGATATCTTCGAGGTGAGAATCAAAGGGAACAATGTCGTTCTCTGGGTTCTTCACGTACAATGAAACATTGTCAGAAAGGACACCTGTCCCTATGGAAGCATATATGGCAGACCAAATCACGACGTTCGGGGTTGTGACGTAATTCAATAAGGAAGGAACAGATGTATGCGACGGGCTGATTGTAATGTTTAACACTTTTTCCGTCTTCAAATAACTCTCCTCAAAGGTGATGTCGCCAATGCTATCTCTAACAAATTTCAAAAACACCAAAATATCTTGGCTGTATCCTTTTTTGATGATATTTTCAATGACACTAGCGTACCTCTCGTCGACATCAGTATTTAAGCGATCAATCTCTCTCATGCACGCCGTCAAGTTAACCAACATGGGGATTAACTCCTGGTCTGTTTGCGTGCAAACTAAAGCTGCGACAGCGCCTCCGATCGCGTTACCGCTGATAATCCTGGGTAACAAACCTTTGAAATATAGGGCTTTCACAACCCCCAAGTGGCATAGTCCGAACAAGCTCCCGCCTTGTAGGATAAGGGCAGTGCTGCCGAAACTCTGGCGAGTGTCATGGAAGAAGTCGAGCTTTATCTGGCGTAGAGTTGAGGCATTCATATCATGTGATTGCTTGGTCCTGGACGAGGAAGAACCAAGGTCGTTCAAATACGTCAAGCATGTCAAAACCTCGGTGATGTAGTCTTCGATTAGCGTCTTAGTGCCAGCATAGGACTTGGTAAACAACTCTTTCGAGGAAATACCGCCAAAGTTCCGGATCAAACTAGAACGGAGTAAACTTATGATTCTGAGGAAGTCATTCGATTCTCTGGACTGCTGTAACAACTTAATCCTTTCGCTGATTAAATTATAGTCGTACTTGGAGCTGGTGTAGTTCTGGCGCCAACTGTAGGCGCCTGATAAGCGGTCGATAGTGGCAACCGTTCTTTCCCAGTCACCAAAATTATCGATGTCATATAGCTTTGTTTTGGCAACTTTTAACGGGCTCCGGTTGATGTTCGCATAGTTGTAGATTTTCCGGGAGTGGAAGGAGACAATATCAAGAACAAAGTAAATGATAGGCCACAAAAACCCAGGCACACAGTTTATTGCTGTTTCGATGAACAGAAAGAGGGATGAGGTTAGCATCGTCTGGTGTGTGAAGAGCGGCTAGACAAAGCACATAGTGGAGTAGAGGTCTGACGGCTAAAATATTATATTTGAGTGCTTTAAAAACAAGGGACTGGAATAAAGTTTCTGGAAGATACAGCGCACCGGTTACTCCTCTTCACATGCTGTTCTGAGAGCGGAAACAAAGCCGCATACGACAGAGCACCGAGAAACCCGAGCTTCCCTCTAGGTTCCGCCGCGAAAAAAAAAGAACTGAACGATCTCGGTGAGGGTCGAACTCACGATCTTGTGATTAACAGTCACACGCCTTAGCCAACTTGGCCACGAAATCACAGTCTGAAAGCCGAAAAAAGGCTGTTGTAGAATATACTATAAAATTTGGGGTTTTATTATCCTGTGTATATTAATTTAAAAGGTAAACAAAACTGGCAACTGATGGTTCAGAGTCTTCCACCTTAACCACTACAATTGAGGCCTCGGAAACCTTAAAAAAGAAAGGAGTCCTTCAGCTAGTTACTTACTCTTGACATAGAATAATACTCTGTGCGTTAACAGCAGGAATGTGCCCAAAACATGTAATTATATTTTAACATTGATTTGGAAGTAAGAAATATTACATAAAATATATGTAAGTTTAAATATATACTAAATACAAATATTGTACATTTTTTATATTTCAGAAATACGCAATTTAGATCACACTGAGGGATACTATTTCATATATTACTTTGTAGCTTGAGTATTTAAAGTAGTTTTCTAATAATGTTTTTGTTAAAATAAGCTCAGGTATAACGCCTTGGGATTATATATTTCTATCTATGTATATGTTAAATACGCTATGACATTTTAATACTTTAGTATTATTCATTTTTTCAAATTTCATACAGGATATTATGTAGGTATTGTGCAGATATGGAAAAGAGGCTTTGTGCAGGATTTAAAGAAAGGCCCGGCTGCGTCATAGAGCTAATTAGTGCTCAGATTTACACAATAAGCACGTAACTTTCAATAACATCATTTACATAAGGAACACGCCGACACAGCGAGGCAAAGTCTCCATACGTAAAGTGACCCCGAGCTCGAGCGGGGTATATCTGGACGGCAAATATGCCAGAAAACAATATGCATTGCTGCTGTATTCCGGGAATCCGCTTATCAGTAGAAACCAAGACTTATCCTCTAACTAAACTTGAGTGTGAAATGACGGAGTAGATTATCTTGGTATCTTTCTATAGGCATGTAGCTTAATTTTGATACACTGGGTAGATATGCCGAATCAAGTGTCAGCCGCCGCGCCGCACATATGCATAGGTGAGATACAGGCATGTAGCGATTAGGAAAGTGAGGGGAGACAGAAGGGTTCTGAATAACGCCATAATATAAAAGAACCTGCTTCCCCCTGAAAACCTCGCTAGCATTCTCACCACTAGGATTTTCGCAACTGACACCTTTACAAGCCCCAAACCCTAGCATGTCATATATCCTTCTTTTTACAGTCCTTGGGACGCTCTTATTCGCCAGCCGGAAACTCAACTTCTGGAAGGTATCGATAGGTGCTAAGGGCAATAAGTCATCCGAGAAGGCTACCGTCAACAGTGGTAAGCCCAAAATCTTTCAGACATCTGGGGAATATGTTGTGCCAGTGATTGAGCCGGTGGCTGCCGATTTCGACTGGCAAAAGGCCGAGCCGTTCAAATACAGACCTTTCAAGGCTGCTCCGTACAAAATGACCTTGGCAATTCGTAACTTGGAGCCCAGCGACTTGTTCTTGATCGAAGATACGTACCTTCACCGTACCAATATCAGAGAGAAAGTTTTAAATTCCAAGTTCAAAAAAAATACCTGTTTACTCCATGACTCAGCCATCCCCGCCGTGAGAGAGTTTTACGACATGGCTATCAACTTCATGTGTGACCGATACCCGATGTATTTCACCAAAAGCAAAGCCGATAACTCAGTGTACAATGAGATCCGCAAGGAGTCAGTTCCATTGGACCCATACAAGGTGGAAGATCCGGAAACATTGTTGCTTGCTCTTGGGAAGACGTTAGAGGAAGATTACTTAATCTTGTTGAAAAATGGTCCTGAAGGGGAAGAGGGGGAGTACTACCTCCGTGCTGGTATCTCGGGCTTCCCCGCCGGATTCGACCCGTCACAAAAATTCAATATGAAACTTTCTGACATCCACGGTCCCGTTCCGATGTACCAATCGAAATTGAAGCTTTCAATGAATAAGTTTTTCTCCAGAATCAATCCGGGTCAGTTTGTTATCAGGAATAACTGGAGTGTCCAAGCGCACTGTAAATTATTTGCCGTCACTGAGAACCATGCACCTCAAAATGAGATCATCGAAGCTATGGATGGCTCCCAGATGGATTTCAATAAGGTTCTTTTAAGGGTGGAAAGACAATGCTTGACGAGATTACCTAACACTAGGGCCAATGTTTTTGTTATTAGAACATATTTGACACCAGTGACCTATGTCAAAGATGAGGGGTTGGGTGAAGAGCTATGCGGTGCCATTGACGGCCTACCAGATGTGATTAAGCAGTATAAAAGAGCTGAAGCATGGGGCCCGGCGGTCAAGAAGTTTATGACAGACGAAGAGATTGGCTTGACAGGGGAGACGTACATGCCGGAAATTCTTGCAGCGGATTTATAACGCGGAGAGATGTTTACGACGTGGCTTTATATCCCGCTCAGTGGAGGCGATATTTAGATACTAAATAGATATGTTTGTGTGACCTGTAAAATACAGGAACCACTTACCCTTTAGCACCTTCATGGGTTTCAAATATGAGACATTTTAAGGATGGAATACAATGGAGGGTTCTGAGTTAGCGGTGTATTTTCGTATATATAAAAGGCTATCCTCTTTACTCTTTGTATGAATTAGTTGCAAAATTGCCAAGCTTAGTACGAAAAAGGTTAATATTATCTCTAGATATAACACAGGTTCATTTCATGCCTTTTAGTACATTTGTTATGAAGGTAGCCCCTGCCTTTATAGTTCTAATATAAAATCAATTGCAACTGTTGTGGAAGCCTTTATAAAATAGCGCATAAATGTCTCGATAGCTATCTAAATAAATAACCTATGAAACTGAAGGGCCCTTCGGATGGTTGTGCGTGATCTACTTTTTAATAAACGAGTTCTGCTTTTATCCAGCCCCTCTCAGTGGAGCCATCTCTTGTTTGTACTGGTCTCCGATGCCCCTCCATCTGTTGTTGGTAACTAATTATATCGTTAGATTTGTGATGAAAATATAAGATCCAGGGTGGCTGTTGAATAATATTTACAACAAAGTGTATGGAGGAGCCAAAAGATATTCCTCACCCCAGATTTAGCAGAGCTCCTGCTTTTTTCCCAGTCCAGATCCGGTATGCTGGTATGCCGCGTTTGCATGATTACATAACCTGCACCATTAGTATGGAAATGATCGACGCGGCACACGGCAGTGACGCCCAGGCATTCCCTTGCAGTGGGGCTGTAGCTGAAATTTGTTATACGTCCTCACAAGTCGCGAGGCGTGACAAGTGATGTCTAACAATATGACCGTGAAACATTCACTTTTTACAGCCTAATTGATCCCACCAATCGGCTGATTTGAATCGGATTACCAATGCCTCTTTTATTACGTCCCATTGCACGGGCCAGAGTTGGGCTCCGATTCATCCCCTTCAGCAAACCAACGAGTAGCCAGCTTAGACATTTCCATGTCACCCTTCCACAGCTCATGAACCCATTGCTCCCATTCGAAAGCATTATAGACGAATTAAACAACCAGGACTTGGAGGAGGACAACAAAAAATTGAAACAAAAGAACAAAAAGTTCGAAATCGAGTATGCTGCCACCCAGAGAAGCGTTGGCATGACCATCACCAAGCCACCGAGTGTGTCTGGAGGCGGCAGTGGAAGCGGTAATGGCGACGGTAAGGGCTCCGGCAGCAAAGATGATCCAAACCACGAAATGAGTGAAAAAAAGAAGAAGAGCGAGGAGAGAAAGAAAAAGTGGGCTGATAGACTCAAGAGGTTGAACTCATTTTTCTTCAAGTGTTTGGAGACGGCTGGGATCACCCTTTCATCGGTGGTTATTCTTGGCTTGGCAGGGTTTACGTACCATAGGGTTTACTACACGCATGTTTTGGATAAGATCGATTCGGCGTTCGACGTTGGTGACCCGGCGTTCGAGCTAACCATGCACAAGCGCTCCAATTCCAACGGTGAAAATTGGATTGACCGGCCGCAGCAAAAGTTGCTTGATGACATTGTGAACGGCAAAATCACCGGTAGATACTTTCTCTTGATTGGTGAAAAGGGAACCGGTAAGACCTCGATTCTCTTGGAGTCGATGCGCAAGGTTAAGGGGTGCAACTGTACCTTCATCGACGCGCACTCCGACCCAGAGATCTTGAGAATCAGACTCGGGAGAGCCATCAAGTTCGAGTACCACGAAGATTACATTGGGAGTTTGTTCTCCATCAAAGGCCCCAGAGACACCACTGCCTTGCTAGACATCGAAAGGGCGTTCAACAAGATGGAGGAAGTGGCTGTAGAACGTGTTAAGCGCACTAAGAAGCCAATGGTAGTGGTTATCAACAATGCCCACTTGATCAAGGCTGACGAGGAAGGCGACAAAATTGTGGAGTTGTTACAACATAAGGCTGAATCGCTCAGCGGTTCAGGCTTAGTGACCATCATCTTCAACTCCGATGATTACTGGTTATATGAAAGATTGAAGCAGAAGGGTACCCGCTTGGACGTTATCAATGTGCGTGACCTTAGTCGTGCCGAGTCGATCGAGGCTTTGCAAATCAGCCGTGACCGCCACTACACTAACGACAAGCTTGATGCCGAGTTGGCAAACAAAGTGTACGACATGATCGGTGGGAGACCGCAGCATTTGGCTCAGGTGGCCAGAAGAAGCGATATCTTGAATGCCTGCAACGAAATTATTGACAGAGAAAAAACTTGGGTGTTAAACCAGTGCGGACTTTTGGGCATGGATATGGATGACGACGTGATGGAAAGCGGTAAGTTTAGCACCAGTGCAATGTTGCTCGTAAAGGCTCTTGTTGAACTCGACAAGGAAAGAGTCATCACGGTGAGCAAGAACCAGGATGGGCCAGATGAAACGTTTATCGAACACAAGTTGCCGGAATTGCCATTGTGGAGAGCCAGACAGATTATGACGCGTGGCGATTACATCCAACACTATGACAACCTTAACATCTTTACGATCGATTCGCACTCCCAGGTCAAAGCTGATAGTGTGCCCATGATGAGGGCTTTTCACGAGATTGCGACCCAGCCAGGGTTTGATAAGTTGCTTGAGGAAACATGCCAAAGAGTTTCTGACATTGAGTCTTTGGGACGTACCAGGGAGATTGTCGCCAAGGATTTGATCTTGGGAGGAAACTACAAGGTGAAGGCCGGTAGGGATAATAACCCGAAATTTTCCTACGAGATTTCCATGGAGGATTATTCCGGCGATGGCGACAATGACGATATCATGATGGAGGATCTCGGCAAGAAAAGAGAGGTATGGCAGACTAGACTAAACGCCTTGAACAATTGGTATGTCGCACCTGCTAATGTCGAGCCTGATATTCTTGATATTGATAGGGATAATGACCCAGCTGATGATTCTAACCGGGAACCGGAAGCGCCAGCAGCCTAGGAAGAATAACACAATTGAATTTCAGGTATTTGTATTCATAGGTGATGGACATTATATTCTGCCTTCGCCTATTATGTAACGTTTTGATACTAGATTATATATAATGTAAAAGAACCAATATGGGGTATGCATTGCAACATAAATTCCCGTATGTATTGGGTACACTTGACAGAGCGGCGAGCCAAGACTTGATCATATATTGGCTAATATCTTTTAAAAAGCCTAGTATATACGATATGTATGCTCGGAGACGGTGCGGCGCGACGTGACAAAAAGTTGATAAGCGCGCTTGTAGAACGGGAGACGCATATCAGATTCAACCTGCAGAGCCAGAAACAACATTAGCGCGTCCGTGTATCCAATCTACCCCGGAAAGACATGGCATACTAGCCAATAATATACTTCATGACAGGGAAAAGAAAGACAAAGCCGCTGACAACCCCCCTGAAGTTGAAACAGGCTTGCATATTGGATCTCGGCCTTCGCCACCGAAACACCGCTCCATCAAACCAAGTTGCTTACATCGAGGAACAAGATTTAGATGGGGACGAACCCTCCTTCAGGGAAACCATCGTCATCGATTCCGATGATGACGGTATTTTTGAGGTGGTGAGTATCGTGAGGATTCCCACTCCCACCGAAATATTACCGTCGCTGATGGAGAGATTTGAATGCCCGATTTGCAGCAAGGATCTCTCTTGCCTATCAGGTGAGGATAGGAACTTCCATGCAAACGACTGTTGCTTTAAGCTTGAAGCGGATGTGACTATGTGTACCTATGACAATCTTGATGCCAATCCGGTGAAAGCTGAAGCGGGACCAGTGGAGGAGAAACCAACTCCAGATGAAAGTAGAAGGAATATGCCAAAAGATGTAATGATCCCCGAAGCGAGAGCAAAAGAAGAAACGTTATATGTGGCTACCAAAACCGACGCCAATCTCCAGCAAGACCCCGGTGTTGATGAGGTAAAAGCAGAGGCTCAAGGTGAATGCACACCAAAGGAGGCGAAACTACCAAGTACACAGTTGTTTGGGTTCACTCCTACGCTTGATCTCAACCAGACTATCCTGGACGAAGAGTTACCGGAAGTTTTCCTAAACAAGTGTATTTCAATCACAGAAGCTGATGGTGAGGGGGAACAGGGGGCCATAGAATCGGAGGTCCCTCTATTCATTGACGAGGATGAGGAAATATTTGAAGATGCCGTTAGTGAGGAGGAAGGGAAGGAAGTGGAAGATATCGACGATATGAATATAGACGAAGATTCAACTTTCGAGGAGAAAATTCTCATGGCGGGTCCCAGAAAAAAAGCGCTTGTTTCTAAACTACAGCCAACCATCTTGCCTTTTTCTTGTATGAAAAAGCTCACCATGTCTCCCAAAAAGCCTAAGCCGGTCTCGAAAAAAGCAAAAAAAGCAAGCGAGATTGAAATGCCCAAGCCCAACCCTATTGTGAAAAGGAGGACCGAAGTCCCATTTATCAAGAAACTCGAGTTCCCGGTGCCGTATTCTACCCCCGAAGATCTTCCGAGCTCCGTCACAGATCTATTGGCCGAGTTTTCCATGACAAAGTTAGGCAAAGTGGACGCCGCGAGACCCCAGGGAGATCTAATTATTTCGGTGGACGCTTTTAATTATGCTCCCAATCTGCGGATCTTCCATTACTTTTTAACCCATTTTCATGCAGACCATTACATGGGGATCTGCAAGTCGTGGGCCAATGGTCTATTGTACTGCTCTGAGATCACAGATCGCTTGGTCCGCTTGAGATATCCCACCATGGACCACACCATTTTGAGGCCTTTACCCATGAACAAGAAGATAGAGCTTATTTTACCAGACGGTTCATTCAATGTCACGCTCATTGACGCAAACCACTGTCCAGGGGCGGTTTTGTTTTTGTTTGAGTACACCAGAAAGGAGGGCAGTACCCTTCGGATGCTCCATTGTGGCGATTTCAGAGTCTGCAAAGAGATGATCGAAAATAAGCTATTGGCCAATACCAAAATTGACAAATGTTATTTAGACACGACGTTCTTAAACCCGTTGTACTGCTTTCCCAAACAAAAGCACGCCATTTCAGTCACCTGTGAATTTTTCGAAAACCTCTGCAATCAAGAAACGTATTCCAGGCAGCTAAACTTCCAAAAGAAGATCACCGACTTCTTCACCCAAAGGTCCGCTCCCGCTCCAAAGTCCAAATACTTGGTTTTGATTGGAACCTATACGATCGGGAAAGAGAGGATCGCGTTTGAGATCGCCCGTACGTTAAATTCCAAGGTGTACGCCGACGGACCGAAACGGAAGGTCTTGGATTGCCTCGAAGATGCCGAGATTCTGGCGTTGGTGACAGACGACCCACACGAAACGTTTGTGCATCTCGTTTCAATGTCCCAGTTTAAAAACTTGGACGTTTATTTCAAAAATTATGCCTCAAAGTATGAGAAGGCGGTGGTGGTCCGACCAACTGGGTGGTCTTTTAGCGCCGATCCAGTGACCCATTCCGTGGATACCCCTACAAGGAAGGGATTGGCTAAAATGTCAAAAGCCCAGATTCTCAATAATATCTTGTACCAGCAAAAGCTGGACCAGCAGTTTACGCTCGAGAAGCTCGAATCTCAGTTCTTCAAGCGAAACTCCCCCACGCTTATTTTTCTACAGATTCCATACAGTGAGCACAGCAGTTTCAAAGAGCTAGCATTTTTCAGCATCTTGTTAGATATAGGGCAAACGCTTCCGACGGTTAATCTTCACAGCTTGGACTCTATCCGGGAAATGAATGAGTGGATCAAGGAATGGGAGGCCTTCAGAGCGCGGAACGGGCGCACAGAAAGACTGCTTACAATCGAAGATTTTTAACGAGACATTAATATGCACATAAACTATAGATCAGGATCGACTTCGTCCCCGAGATGCTTCCCATTCAACCAAACGTAGCCCTTCGCTTCGTCCGGCAAGTAGTCTTGCTTAACCCGGCCATCTTTAAAATTTGGAGGATATTTGTACTCCTTGCCATATTCGAGATCCTTCATCAATTTTGTAGGGGCGTTTCTCAAGTGAACTGGGATGACGGCATTTTGAATTTTAAGATCAGAGTCCAATTGCAGATTCAACAACTTCCAAGCGCGATACAATTCCACAGACTTTTCGGCACGCGCAAGTTTCACAGCGCAATGTGCAAGGCACACGTTGGCCTCTGGTAAACCCACCATCTGTACGGATTGATAGGCGGCGACTGCAAACGGTAGACACGATTCGTCTGCCACCCCCACATCCTCACTGGCAATGCGGATCATTCTTCTGGCGATGTAAATCGGGTCCTCCCCGCCTCTAAGCATTTTGGCGAGGTAGAACAACGTTGCATCAGGATCCCCTCCCCTTACGGACTTGTGGAACGCGGAGATGGTGTCGTAGTGGGCGTCCCCTACCCTGTCGTAGTTCATGTGTGTTTTCTTCAATATTGTCTGGAGGTGATCTGGGTCGATTAGGTCGTCTATAACTCTCTCGCTCCCAGTGTCCTGTTGTCCAGATGAGGCGTGCATGTATTGGGCGTCGATGATATCTAACAAGTTGAGGGCCGTGCGGGAGTCGCCGTCACTCAAATCTGCCAAGTAGTCAATGCTCTCCTTTGCCAACCGCAACAAATGGTTATTTCCGAACACAAGCTTTCTGGTCTGATTGATCAAAATAAGGCCCCGGTTAATGACCTTGCTGACTTCTTCGCGGCTCAACTTCTTCAACACAAACACCCGGCATCGGGACAAGAGCGCGTTGTTGATCTGGAAAGACGGGTTTTCTGTGGTGGCGCCGATTAGCGTGATGGATCCACGTTCCACAACTGGTAACAACACATCTTGTTGAGCCTTGTTGAAGCGGTGAATCTCGTCAATGAAGATAACGGTTCTCCGCTTGGTCAACTTCCACTCGTTCACAGCATCTTCGAACATCTTCCTCATCTCCCCGGTGGATGTGTTGGTGGCACTGACCTCCAAGCAGCGAGAGTTGATGGTTCGGCAGATAATCCTGGCCAAGGTGGTTTTTCCCGAACCGGGAGGGCCCCAGAGAATCAACGACGGCAATCTGTTGGTCACGATAAAACTCTGTAACACACCCTCTACCCCGATTAAGTGCTGCTGACCCACATAATCTGACAATTTAGTAGGCCTCAACCTCTCAGCTAATGGTAAATGTGCCTTTTGTTTAAGAAGTCTGACTTTATCATCTATATCTGGCAGTGGTTCGGATGTCTCGGTAAGGATAGGCAGCACCATCACCGTTTCTTCAGTTTCTTCCTCTGTTTTCAGCTTTTTGGGCTGTGGGGTATAGGTATAGGTTGGCGCACGTTTGATTTTAACACCGGAAGCCAGAATATGCGATCTTTGCTTAGTGGCGGCTCCCAGTTTCCCCGACTGGGGCCTGAGACCCAACATGGGGTTCAATCCAGGCTTGGCAAAGGCTGACTCGATCTTAATCTCATCAAAGGCACATTCGGATTCAGCATCCACGTCAATCACCCCCGAAATATCTGCCTCTTGGCTGGACCCGGATACGGAAACGAACAACTCCTGTGACAGCTCGGTTTTTGCCGTCAGCTTGAAGGCCTCTTGGACTGGGGGTATGTCTGAGCAAACGTCCAAGTGATCGTTGATTTCGCTTAGTGCAACATTTTTGGAACATATAGGACAGGCTACCATAATGTGGAGGCAATATACACGTTGGGATCACTTGTCCAGAGTTGCACACGCAAACGCGTAGTTTATTTTAATGTGTTAAGCTTACGCGTCAGTGCAGCAGACAACCAAAAACGGGAATTCCCTTTTCGGAAACTTAAGCTGCAGCTTGTTTACATTTGAGACAGGAGTTAACTATTCTGACAATACCATTACTATCTTTCATCATCAACCACCAGCCATGTTGGAGGAGATTCCTGCCGTATTACTCAGATCTACTATTGACAATTTCCAGCTAGAGCCTGACTTGCAGACTGTCGACCGTATCAACGATAGCATTAGCTTGCTCAAGACGTCGCGGGAGAACCAGATCAACGAGGAGACCACCATCCTTGCCAATTTAACGCGCCAGTTAGAGATCTCGGAGAACTCGCTAAAGGAGTTTCAGGGGTCTGAACCAGTGCTTGCCACCGCCGAGCAGTTACAGGAAAATGAGCGTAAAAAGTTCACCTTGGCAAAGAACTTGAATGATTTGGAAATGCAGTTGAACAACTTGAACTTGCAGCTCAATAAACTCAACAATGAGTACGACAAAGCTGATCAGGAATATAACAACTTCATCGCATACCAGGAAGAAGTTCCTCTGAGTAGCGGGCTGGACGGCGTGACTGCCTCGGACGATTCGACCGTTTTGAAGTTGAAACTCTACAGGTCCCTAGGGATCAAGATTGAGCAGCCAGGCATGGCGGCACCTGACACAAATCCCTCGGATTTATTGGAGAAGGTGGTTATTTACAATAAGGTCCAGGACACAACCAACATTTTGAAATTAGACGAAAAATACAGCGACTACTTCGTATCGAACTACGTGTGGGATCGCATTGGCACGGAATAGGGCCAGGAGATAACGGGCCTGGTCCATCAAACAAAACCAAGCAAGACATGAACCTGCAAGATCCAAATACTACTGGTTCCTTCCGAGACAGTACAAGATAGTGGTATCCATCATTAGTTCTTACATGGTTGCAGCTGCAAAGCCGAAGCAGAGCAGATGAGTAAGGGTTACCCGTATATAGCTCTATAATCACAGTACGCCCCAGGTATACCGAAAAGACTATAAATCCCAAGTAACCCCCAAGGCTTTGGTTTAATCTCAAAGTATACCCCCAGAATCCCAAAGTGTACGCGTATTGCTTAATTCGGACACTAGCACTCATGCGTATAGGCTGTTAGCGCATATCTGCTTAATCAAATGATACTCACGTTTTGGAGGAATAACCCCAATTTACTAGGGGAATAAGGCTTTGGAGGTTGAATGCTAGGCTATCGATAGTACCCGTTACCCTGGAAAAATAATTTACTAGCAGAATTTGGGTGGGGTACTAATACAACTCACCTGCGCGTGAGGCGTAGATCCTGCATTTAGACAAGTGATTACTAAATTGCCCAAGCACGTTTCTATTCGTGCCGTACCATTCAGAATTGTATTTTCACAAACCAGGGAAAATTCAATCAAGATTAATAATATATTTCTTAATAACTGAGCAGTAAATTTCCTTCCTCTTTTTTTTTTTTTTTTTTTTTTTCCGACTAATAATAGAAAAAGCCGGAGATGCGGGTTCTTACCCGTCATGCAGGCCCAGACTTTCGGCACTGGTGCGGCAAGGACGCATGTAGAGCCAGCAAAACATAATGTATTTAAACTCGACGTCCACTTCTCACATTCGCTTTTTCTCACATCCACCATAGATACCACAAAACGCGCCCTATGAAGTTCGGCAAGACGTTTGTGACCCACCAGGTGCCTGAGTGGTCGCACTCGTACATGAACTACAAGGACTTGAAGAAGCAAATCAAGACAATCGTCGCACAGCAACGGCTCGCGGCGCCAGGCACTCCGGATGCAACGCTCAATGACACCACCGTCAAGACTTCCCTCGCAACCTTTTTCTTCGCGCTTGACAGAAACGTCGAACAGGTCGACGACTTCTACAACAAGCAGTACTCGGAGTACGAGCGGCGGTTGCGCAAGTTAGCGGCACTTTTGGGTGGTAGCACATCGCAACTGGCGCTCAACCTCGCGGCGTTGAACGGCGCGCAGAACCAGGCAGTGTATGACAATGCGAGCTTCCAGGGTGCGCTGCACTATGAGCGCGATGCGCGCGCTCCAAACTCTTTAAGCGTCATGGACGAGGACGAGGTGGAGGAGTTGATCAGCGTGTTCCTCGAGCTCCGCAATGGCTTGCGCAACTTGAAGTGGTTTGGCGAGTTGAACAAGCGTGGGTTTCAGAAGATCTTGAAGAAGTTGGACAAAAAAGTGGGCACCCAGCAGCGCGCGGCGTACTTGCACGCGCGCGTCAATGCGCTCCCGTTCGCACACGAAGGCGATATCCTTAAACACCTCGCGTTGATAAATGGCCACTTGGGATCCTTGGGGCAAAAGGTGGACGAGATCAAAAGCGTTCCATCCCCGGCTGTCCCGCCCTCTGGCCCCGAATCACCCCCGCTCCACGAGACGAAACTAGCCAAATTTAACGGATTTTTGAGCGATAACAATGCGGACGCGATGCTCGCAAAATTGATTGTGGAGTACCAGTCACCGGTGCTTGCGCCGCACCGGCTCCTTCTCTCGTTGTTGAACCAGGCGACAATCTATAATGCAACGCTGTGTATCGATGCGCTCTTGCAGATCCTCCCGTCTCTCGCGAACCACTCAGACGTGACCAGCCGTAACTACTTCCACAATCACGTAATTGCGTTGGGAAAGGCTACGAAGAGCGTGAGCGAACCCGTAACGCCGGTGAGCGGAATCCGCCGCAACCTCTCGTCGATCCAGCCGGCGTCGATGCTCTCGAACGCCCATGAACGCTTGTTTCGCGCGTTTGGGCCGGACGGCGTCAATTCCAATGACTCTCGCGATGGACTTGCGCACGCGCTCGAGCACTTGCCTATCCATTTGCGTCCCGCATTGTTACAGCGCGACAACCACCGGCGCACGCCGTTACACTACGCAGCGCAGTACGGCTTGATCGCGGTCACGCAGTTGATCATGGAGTACCTCCAGGAGTGGGGCGTATGGGATGCGCGTATCGCTATCGACCGCGTGGACTACTGGGGCGATGCGGAAGGTCTCACCCCGTTGCATTTGTCGGTGTTGGGCAGTCACCCGTTGACCGCACGCACGTTGATCGCCGTGAGCGCGCCGTTGAGCTGTCCGGGCTTGCTCGTATTAGCAACTAAGTTGGATGCCGCGCCCGTGGCGGAGGTGTTGCTCGACAGTCCAGGCGTGGACATTGACTTCGTGGATGTGCCGCATAATCAGGAGACGTCGTTGTACATTGCGTGCAAGATGGACTTTGGCGCGTGCGTGCAGCTCCTCTTGATGCGCGGCGCAAACCCGGAGATTGGCGAGGCCACGTTTGGTTGGACACCACTCTTCGTCGCGGCGGCGCAAGGTAATCGCGATATCGTCGCGCAATTGGTTGCCGCCGGTGCGCGTTACGACCTCGCGGATGAGAGTGGCTGGTTGCCCATGGAGCATGCGTGCCTCCGCGGGCACTTGGTTATTGCCGACATGCTTCGCCCCGTGGACTATGACCCGCGTGGCCAGATGCCGTCGCCGTTGCCCGCGGCGCTGGCACTGGAAATCCTGACGTCCCCAATGTACCTGTTGAACGCATCAGCGTCTTCCGTCAACAGGTTGCCAGAAACGGTCAGCGACAGACTCCACAAGCTGCTTAATCAGTCGCCACCACCGCCGCCGGTCAAGTCTTTTGGGCACCGGTTCCTCCAACCAGACGAGTCGTTGGTGCTCATCACGTTGGGAACGACGGATGCGCGCGATGACACTGCGGCGATCCTGCTCCACAAGGTGCCGGTGTCGCGCATCCACGCGACCGAGCTTGACACGGCGCTATCGGTAGTGGTGCACATCCGCAATGCGCCGGACGTGCCGCCGGTGGTTCTAGACCTCCCGTTGGATGACACACATGGTGGCGCGACGGAGCCACTCCAGTTCAAACTCACGGGGTGCGATGCGGCGCAGCTTGTGGTGGCGTTTGACATTGTGCCGACGTATCAGGCCAGCGACCAGAAGCAGCGCGTATTGGGGCGCGCCGTTGCGTTCTTAAAGAACGTATACACGGCGGTGGGGAATGATCGGCGTTCGTTGCACCAGGTTGCGACGGTGCCCATCATGGAGGCAGAATCGTTGGAGGTCTTGGGGAGTGTGCGTTTCGAGTACACGTTAGTAACGCCGTTCCAACACCCGCATATGGCTGTCGACCGCACCGATACGTACTGGAAGTCCTTGATCACGACGCGCGTTATTGGTCACCGCGGTATGGGGAAAAACGTGGGCGCGCGTACGTCTTTGCAGTTGGGTGAGAATACTGTTGAGTCGTTCATCGCGGCAGCGTCGTTGGGCGCGTCATATGTCGAGTTTGATGTGCAGTTGACGAAGGACCACGTGCCCGTGGTTTACCACGACTTCTTGGTCGCTGAGTCGGGTGTGGATGTGCCGATGCACGTGTTGACGGTGGAACAGTTCTTGGGGTTGTACCAGGGAGGAAAGGCGGTACATGATGACGGCGTAATCCGGATGAGGCCCAAGTCGAAGTCGTTTATTTCTCCAAGGGGATTGGGGGATGATGACTTGAGCTTTACGTTTAACGACAGGATGAAGTTAACCAAGACGTGGAAGGATAAGGGCTTCAAGGGGAATGCGCGGGGCAGCTCCATTGCGTCGCCCTTTGTAACGCTTGTGGACCTTTTCCGCCGTTTGCCCAAGAACGTTGGCTTCAATATCGAATGCAAGTACCCGATGTTAGATGAGGCCGAGAAGGAGGACATGGGTGAGATCGCTATCGACATTAACCTCTGGGTCGACACTGTGTTGCAGACCGTGTACGACCACGCGGACGGTCGTGACGTCATCTTCTCGTCGTTCCACCCGGACATCTGCGTCCTCCTCTCGCTCAAGCAGCCATCTATCCCCATTTTGTTCTTGACCGAGGCTGGTACGACCGCCATGGCGGACGTGCGCGCGGCGTCCCTCCAGGCCGCGATTCGCTTCGCGCGCACTTGGAACCTCCTTGGAATTGTCTCCGCCGCAGAAACGCTCGTCAAATGCCCGCGCTTAACCAGCATCGTCAAGGCGAGTGGGTTGGTGTGTGTGACGTACGGAGTGTCCAACAACGACCCTGCCTTGTCGCAGCTCCAAATGGACAATGGAGTGGACGCCGTAATTGTGGATAGTGTGTTGGCTGTCCGGTCTGGCTTGACCAAGAGAGAGGCATAAGCATAGACGAAATTACTAGAGTTGGATGTGTATTCAGTAGGGCGGTGGGAGTACCAGGTAGAGGAACTAAATTCAGAGCTTGCAGTGATAGACATGGCGTATACCGTCCGTGTTATAGAACACTGGATGCAAGTCAATTACCACTGCTGGGATAGTCTGCAGCGCGTAGGTGTCATATGTCCAAAATTGGATATAGAGGATTTCAAAGAGGTTATGGGGGAGTCGATGAAATAGACTACAGCTGGACGGAGCGACGTCCATCCTTTTAGACTACTAAGCTCTTGGGAAACAATCTCTACTCAATATCGTTCTTTGGTACTATGTGAGAATGGGTTATGACAATATTTGATTATCGAAGTGTGCTTCCTGCTTTGAAGAGGGGTTTTTACTTATGGCCATGCTAGTGGTTTTTTGGATTTAATATGGTTAGGTCACATGCTGGTGCGTGAAAATTATGACCGTGCCCCCAGTAAGCATAGCTATCCCAGACAACCAGAGCCCAGGGTTAAGTGCTATTACCAGCTAAAGTAGGTAAATATTAGCACAGTGTTACGAAGTACACTAAGAATGATCCCCCTATAAATACTGGGATGTGATTGTACCCACCTACGCGGGAATTTCTTACAACACGTGCGACTTAGGAAGGGGTACCGACTCTTTACAGGCTGCTTGCTTTGGATCCTCCAGCTTATTGTTTCAGGAAAGAAACGGCTTTTTCCTAGCAAATCCAGATGTCGTTTAAGAAGCCCTACAAGCATTCTATCGTCCCTAACTTCCGTCACTGCGGGCTGGGGTTGCCTATAAATCTTGTATAACCGTATGCGATATCATATGTATATAGAATTCACCTAAATGTTTGCGACGGTATGCATAATCTACGATGTTGCGTAAGATCGAACATGGATATTTGATTGAAAATAGAGGCAGTGATGCCCCACGTTTGGACGACTGTGCGTGTTCATGCAGTTGCTGCGGCGGGTAATTTTACATATGTCTCGCAGGTGACCGGATATCTGTGCATAAGGCATTCAGGGGAAAAATCCTTCATATAGAGTTAATCTATCGTTAATCCTACAGACGAGTGGATAAACACGTCTAACCTTATAAACAGCGCCTCATTGTGTGACCATAGTACCCCGGCTAAAGACTGATGGTATATTAGAAATTTCACTGGTAGCTTTCATTGGAAATTCCTCAAGCGTATATATATATATATATATATACAAATTCCGTTGTCTGTCAGTATATAGCCGTTTCATATCCACCAATGGACCGTCCTACCTCTACGATTAAGGACACTTTCTCCTCGTCCGAGGAAGAAGACTTCTCTGACAGCGAAAGCGTTCTTTTGCACGACATAGCTGCAACTGGATTACCTCTTACTTCACAGTATCCCATCAGAAAGGCAACAGACCCGCTCCTAGGGAGCACCGCTTTGCGCACGGAGAGGGGCGATTCCCACCCCCCACAGCCGAAGCTATTTGATCCCAGCACCAAGAGTGAGTCCTATGCTGGGCTCATTGCCACACAACATAAACTGAGTGTCTCCTCCCCGCTGCCGGTGCTCCGGCTCGATGGGGAGGGGACTACCAAATACTTTGGCGAGTTCCCCCTCTCCCAAGGACCTGCTAGTAACTATTTTAGCCGAAAACCCAACAATTCAGTGTTCAGCTACAAATTCAGGCACGCAAGTTTAGACTACTACTCCAAGTTGTTTGTGTTTGCGTCTATCGTGGGTGCTGTTGCGGTGTTGGCGTTGGAAAGTTTCGTATTTTCCGTGTTCTTGACCCATGTTAAGGACTTGGACAGTGTCCAGTACCGCGCTATCCCCACGTACTTTGCACTTTTTCTCTTTGCCATGATCTACCAGGTAGTGGTGTCCGTTCTCGCGGTGGTGTCCAAGAATAAGTTGCTCATCTTGATGGTAATTGCCTTCTACTACGCGATGCTTCTCTACTCTGGGATCCAGATTCTTGAAATGCGCAAGTCATTATTTAAAACAACGACAGGGCTAAACAGAGCCAAAGCGGCATGCTACGCTACTATTGGGATCACTGCCGCTCTTGCCGTTTGTCAGACATGTTTGGCATACATGGTACGCGAGGACTACAACTGGTACATGAACAAGAGAGTCACATCGCATCCAAAGGTGCAGCGAATGTTCATGATCTGGGAGATTCACCGCACGTTGTTGATTTTCGATTTTTTTTTCTTGGTGGCCTTTGGCATCCAGTTTTCTGTTATAATGTTGAATAAGACTTCCGCCGAGTTCATCATCACGATCGCGCTTACGCCCGTGATGGTGATCCTCCTATTCTTTGCAGACTTTAGTGCCTCGCGCGAATGGTTCGCAGGGGCCCTCATCTCTATGATCCTGTACTTGTGTGGCTTGGCATACTTGCTTTTTAAGTTGATTCGGTTGTACACCAAATACTCACCAAATGGGTCATATTTGTCGGGAAAGAAATCCCTCACCACGTTTGGGGTTTTGACGATCCTTTTTTTGATTGCAACCATGGTGGTAACGGGCATGTTGATGAGAAACTTCGGGAAGGGTTTGAAGGAATATGTGACATATTCTTGGAAGTGGCATCAACAACCGAAAGAGGCAATCGGCGACGATGAGAACATGGCGTTCCAGCATTTGAATGATCTATATATGGATTGATCTGGAGGTTTTATTGTACTGCGATGGCTAATGAGTTGACGTATAGGCTTGATGGTGAGTACTGAGTATGTTTGTCCTCGATTTCAGCAAGGATGAGAGTTAGAAAGAGAAATTAATTGTTAGGAATTATACGCCACTTTTACAACATATAACTCCAGCGGAGGCAGGTTTCAAGGTAGAATAGTGCTAGATCAAGGCTTTCAATGTGGACTGACTGAGTGAGGACTTGATTCCACACCGAAGAACTAGCTACCCTAGTACTCTGCAACATATTGTACTGTGGACTTAGCTGAGCCTTCAGAAATGTAACACGAATGGTTCTTATACCACCCTATCATATTTTTATAACTGGTACTTCTTACTGAGGTTACTCTTGTAAGTTCCTAGTCTACATAAAAAAACATCCAAATGACGTCCGGACACCTCGTAGAGAATGCAATAACCTGGAATATATTGTTCCTGGCATTGTATTTCGGCATTCTCAGACTTGAGCTGTTTAGTTTAATTGAAAATAAGGTTAGGGGGGTTATGGGCCGATTTTACGCATATCCGAAGGCTTCTAAGCGTGGGACCCCGTCTTCAAAGCTCTGGACACCTTCTCGACTTTTATATCTCCCCTTGCTACTTCTCCACGGTTGCTCGATATCGCTATACATATCCAAGTGTCAAGCTCTTCGCCAAGCAGACACTGTTGCACTATGCAACCTCGGGGAAACTTTCGCTTCTTAGTTTCCGCTGGGACGGTTTATCCTGTACATTAATAAGACCTAATGCCTCAAACGGGAAAGTAGTCGCGCCGGGTTTCTCTTTCCAGTCTAAACTCTACAATCTAGGATCGCCGTTCCCGGCCTGCAGAATTGTGCGTGATATAATTCCTTTTTACTCCGGGTTGAAAAATTATGGTCTTGATGATTCATCCTGGGACAAGGCTTTATATAAACACCGACCCTTCTGGCCTTTAGTTCAAAACGCTGGAAGTTCTGTATTATCCTATCTCTTGGAACTCAACTTATTTCATCCGCAGCTAACTTCATGTTCCGGCGTAACTAATCAAACCAGCCTGTCATCTACCACATGTACGAATACAACGATTGGATTAGCACCGAGGAACGCGACTTTCTCCTCAAGAGTGCGCCCCTATACAAACTCGACATATCAATCAGCACCAACGATGCCTGCCATCGGCTCAATTCCCTCTTCCACAAGGACGCAGATTTGTTCAAGGATATCTGGCGCATCAACGGCGACGTTCCAGACAGCAAAGCCAACTTTGCCCAGCAATTTCCTAAGGTGGCCACCAGCTTGGATGGGGAGTTTCACCATCAGATCATCGACCACACATTTTTGACGAGATGGCTACCGGGCAGCGTGCTCAAAGTGATCCACCCGTCATTCGCCGACTTCAAGATCGCTCGAAAGTTGACCGCGAAGCAGGTGCCCACCAGACAGGAGCATGGGTTGTGTCAGGAGTTGGAAGGGCAAGGCGTGTGGGACCGCACAGGCCAATGGTCTTGCGTGATGAAAAATTTGTCAAAACCGTTAGATTTCTCGTACAACGACGAATTTGGAAAGAAGTTTTTCTTCAGCTATGGTGACTGGTGTGACTGGAAAAAACAGATGAAGGAGAGGCTTACTGAATCTGCTGCCGAGGGGAACTACGAAACCCATCTCAGATTGGGAAATCTTTCCAAGAGACTCCCAGACAGCGTGAAGGTTGAAATTCCCTAAGTGTCTCATCCAAACACAATTATGCATTTTATTTTTTTGCCGCATGGCATTCTTTTTCTTTCTTTTACTCGGGGTTTTTGGTGTTTCAGTTTATGTATAAGCGTCTTTGTTTAATTAAATGTAGGGTTAGTATAGATATGAATACGTGTGTTGTCATAGTTATACATTGGTCCGAGGATTATGTGAGCAGCAGGCAGCCAGTTGAGTTTAATGGATAACTTTGTGAGTAAATAGAGAATACCTATTGTGTACGTTTATATAACGATATACACGTATATGATGCAATATTAATTAAATTCCAGACCTGGAAGTTTCCTTCTTCCAGCGAGGGGGGGGTGCGTACAGGATTTGCACCATGAAAAATTACACTCCAGCTAGTCATAGTCACCCAGAGAAACTCCCATCACACCGCAATATAATGATGAGATTATCTTCCAGACTTTATCCGAACCTTGAAAAATCCTTCAGGCTACACCAAACTGCAAGATTTCCGGTTACGCGAGCTTTCCATGCCACGCCTAGGCTGCAGCAGCCAGCAACCAAAGCTCACCCAGAGCAAGACACTCATTATCAGGTATGTTTCTACTGGAATCGGTGCGGCCTTGGACTAACAAATTAGAAACCCTCCTTGGCACAGTTCCAGGTTGCCATTTTTAACACGCTTTTGCTCTCGTCGCTTGTGTATCTCACAGCCAACCTCGCTTGGTTGTATTTGGACAAGCAGGAGGTGGAGCAGGAGCTCATCCAGGACATGGCTCGATTGGAGCAGGAGTTTAAGACTGTTTTAGATGAAAAAAAAGCTGAACACAAGGACGAAATTGCCGTTATCTACGGTCTGGAGGAGATTGGAAAGAAGTCCAAATGGATCTTCTGGAAGTAGTCTACAATACGACCCGTGTACATAGTGTATTAATGAATCTTTGTTAAATGAGACGAGATCCGTCATAGTGAATTAAAAGAGAGATGCTCTCTCGACGATCTAGATAGTTAGTAGTGCTCAAGGCCGGACAAAAATTACTCACGTTAACGGGGCTCTCCCAGGCGAGCCAGTCACTTCGGCTGTTGGGAATCAACCCTAAGCTGTTCAACTTCCACACACCCACCGCGATGCACCCGAGGTGACACAATATGAAGATGATCTTGGCTTGCAAGACTTCCGTTTTGTTCTTCTTTGTGGCAAGGTTGACGAAGTTATCGTTTACCGTTATGATAGACTGCAACGGGCCAGTGAAAAGCATCAACGTCATCATTATGGGGATGATTTGGAGTGAGTTACCCGACATGTAGCTCATAAAAAAGTTCATTGGAATGCTAAAGGTTAGAATCGCGTGCGGGGGAGCTCATTCACGGGGGAGAACGCACTCCCTGCCGTAGACAAGAAATATACTCATGAGAACGTACTTTTTGGCGGGGGAATACGCAGTTTCCCAAATTTTCTAAAGGTTAGTTTTGCTGTGATCAACACTGGACCGTACGTACTTTGAGTTTGAGTTGCTCCAAGTCGGGTTTCTTAGAGGTGGTGATTTTATCGCCAAAGCCCTTTTTGTCGTCCGGGTAGCCCGGCGGGTTCTTCGAGACCTTTTCCGCTGTGATCTGAGGATCCAATAAGTTCTCTATAAACGACATTGTGTGGGTGTTTAATGATCGATGTAAGACACGTCCTGAATTTGTCTGCGCTTATCTCGTCATTTTAGTTGGCAACTTCGCGCATTCTGATTTCGAGTACCTCAATATTTCGCGCATTTGCCATTCCGCGCATTCAAAAACACCCGCAAAATAAAATTAACGCCACAAATTCTATGATCTCTACTCTCATTAAACAACCCATGCCATGAGTGACGAGTACCTCAAACAACTAAACACCCAGGTCAATTTTGATGAGGAGACGCTTGTGGACGGTGAAAATGGCAAATTCAACCCATCCCAGGTCACGTACGTCCCGGACAGTGGCTTCGACGCGCCTACCTTGTACGATGGCGAACTCGCAGGCCACATGGTCGGCTCCTCCAAAGCTTTGAACCCGCTGAGCACTCAGAGCAAACAGCTCAAGGCATCGATGCAACAGTTGCACTACAACAACAACCGTGTGGCGTTGAATCGCTCCATCACCGCCACCATCCAGTTATTGCACGAGTTGAAGGCGGAGAACCTGGAGAGACCCGTGTTCTATCCAGCGCATGTCGAGGACGAGACGTTGAACTCGCTTTTGAGCAGCAAAAAAGCGCACCTTGCAATGTTGCGCAAGAAATCGCCGAATGGGGTTGTCAAGGGCAAGGTGTCAGAGGACGACTTGGAAGAAGCCCCTTCGTTCAAGGTTTTGACCTTGAATCTTAAAATGGGCCATGCTCGCGACATGCTCGCGACATTGGACAAACAAGCAATAGCCTCGTTGTTGGAGGAACGCATGAACCAGCTGGTTAAGCACCTTTTGTCTTTGCGGGAACGGATTGATGATACCACCTCCAAGGTCTTTGTAACCGGCGATTTGAACGCTGGCAAGTCCACGTTCTGCAATGCACTTCTTAAAAGACGAGTTTTGCCCGAAGACCAGCAGCCATGCACCAGCGTGTTTTGTGAAGTGGCGGACGCCTCAGACAATAGCGGCATCGAAGAGGTGCACGCGGTACCTGTGGGAGTGCAATACGCCAGAGGTGATGAGACAACCTACCAGGTATTCCAGTTGGCGGACTTGGAGGAGTTAGTGGGCGAATGCGACAAGTTTTCCATTTTAAAGGTGTACGTCAAGGACAGAAGGGCAGCCGACCAGAGCTTGCTACACAACGGTACGATCGACATCCAGCTCATCGATGCTCCTGGCTTGAATATGGACTCGTACCAGACCACGGAAGTGTTCTCCAGACAGGAGGAGATCGACTTGGTAGTGTTCGTGGTGAACGCGGAAAACCACTTCACCTTGTCGGCGCGCGAGTTCATTGCGGCTGCGGCCAACGAAAAGAACCTTATCTTCATCGTAGTGAACCGTTTTGACAACATCAAAAACAAGGAAAGGTGTGTGCGGCGCATCATGGACCAGGTGCACGACTTGTCTCCCGCGACCCACAAGGACGCCAGCGACTTTGTGCACTTTGTGAGTTCCACCCAGGCCCTAGAGGGGGTTCCTGAAGGGGATGATGGCCCTCCCGAAGGGGATGACCATGAGCCGAACCCCGACTTTGACCGCTTGGAGGAATCGTTGCGCAAGTTTGTGTTGGAAAAGAGATCGTTGTCGAAGCTCTCGCCGGCCAAGAACTACTTACTCAAGCTTTTAGAGGACTTGGAGGTGTTGGCAAGGCTCAACGAGAAGATGTATGCCCAGGACAAGGAGGAGATGATCCAGGAGTTGAACAAGATTGCACCGATCTATGCATCTGTGCTCAAATCCAGCGTCAAGGTACACGAAAGAATCAACAAATTGACCGAGGACACCGCCTCTGACGTTTACCGGTTCACTAAACAAAAGATCCTCGAAACACTTGACGATATCGGTGAGGCTCCGGTAGTTCCATACTATGGGTTGCAATACTTGTATGACTATGCCAACGAGACCCAGAAAGAGATTACCCGTAAGATCATGGAGTCTGTCGCTGTTGGTGAGAGCTATGCCAAGAAGCAGACTACGCAAACCGTCGAGAGGATTGGCGAAATGGGCGCGGAGGCTTTGGGCGGTGAAAGCGCGCCAAAGAAGGTGTTCAGAGACGACTTAATGTTTACTCGCAAGAGAGACACCATTAGACGCTCTTTGGATGATACTATCATCATTACTGATTTCTTCGACCCATCGTTCGACCATTTCTTTAATGCCATTGGCCTCACAGGGCTCTCTTTGAGTGCCTTAGGCCTCCAGATTCCCACCATCACCTTGCCGTCGGTCAACTCCTTGAGTATCCCCAAGAAAGACCAGATCGTATTGTGGAAGAACTCGCTCAGTATTGCCGCCGTTTACTCCACCGGAAAGCTCTTACATGCCGGCTCGATGGTGAACAAGTTTGTCAGTGCGTCACTGTTTGTGTCAGGCAGGTTTATCAGAAGCGCTGCCATTCCGGTGGTACTCTTGTCTGGTGTGGTTTTTGTCGGGTATTTGGTCTACGACGTGCCAAACGCCTTTGCGCGAAATGTATCTAAAAAGATCAGACAGCAGGTGATTGATTTAGAATACCCGCACAACAATGCGGATCGTGTCGCCAAGGAGTGTCGAGCCGTCTTAAACCATCCAACGCGAGACGTGTTGAATGCCTTCCAGACGTCTATCGATAAGACCACCATTCAAAAGGAGAAAATCTCCAAGATTGTCAAGGACGCCGACATCAGCTACACATACTTCCACGGTTTATTGGAAAAGGTCACCCGCGAAAAGAAGACGGTCGAGTCCTTCGATTTGGAAGCCATTCAAAGCGTTGAATAAGCACAGACTTACATTTTTTATTTAATTGTCATCACATTTAGTTGTCCATTTCTCAGCATCCCTGGGAAAGACTCCTTTGCGTGAACGATTTCGTTACCCCCTGCTATTTGTATATATGGTCCGGCAGAGGATATTTTATGTCTCCTAATTTAATATATTTTGTTTCAAACGATGGCAATATTTTAGCGTGCATTCGCAGAGTTAGTGAAAATGTGCATGCGGCTACCGATGTACACGTCCACATATAAGTTGATATCTTGAGTTCCAAAGTGCGTATACCGTAGATGAGAGCCACGCTCAAGTCAAGTGGACCCTCTTGTACGGTCTGCCATAGTTGACATGGATTAAATATAGTGGCGTTACTACTTTTAGTCGAGGTTTAAATACCAATGTCCCAGTCTGGGAAAGCCCTTAGGGTTACGACGCACAATTACGCACAATTTCTTTCCGTAATCCATGTACTTTTGAGTAAATTGTGTCCCAGAGGCTATAAATAGACATTTACCCGGCCCCAGCCTTAGGCATCGCTGCGAGAGCCATAATATTAGGATTGGGGTGCGGCGGATTCACGTGCCGTATTGCTAGCGAGCACAGAAATTGCCACGGCAACGGCGAAGCGTCGAAAAACAAACAACATTCAGTACCGGATAGCGCCAGGATCTTAAAACTTCAGGCCGTCTGGCCCGATTCGTTGCAGCTGTCGTTTCTTTTTCTCTTTGGGCAGTACTGGGCATACTGCGCTTGTTTATACATACTGGAGGCTGGAGCTTTGTGTCATTGTAAGACATAGCACACCTCCTTTCTTTCACGTTTTTCTTTCACGTATAAGCCATAGACAATTTGCCCCTTATAATATAATTGACACATTTCTATACGCATTAAAATGGTTTCTTTATCCCTTTTAACCACCGTCGCTGCTGCGATCACCTCTGTCTCCGCTATGGGTCAAGTAAGTGAAACCCCAAGCCCCTTCTCCCGAGGGAGTGCGACAACGCATACTAACCCATACTAGCTTGGTATTAACCTCGGTGTTCAGGACAACCAAGGTAACTGTAAGACTGCCGAGGAATACACCGCTGATTTGGAAGCCTTGAAGCCATACACCAACATCATCAAGACTTACGCCGTCTCTGACTGCAACACCTTGCAAATCTTGGGTCCAGTTGCCGAGGCCGAGGGTTTCCAGATCATTTTGGGTGTCTGGCCAACCGATGATGCTCATTTCACCGCTGAACAAAACGCCTTAAAGGCCTACTTACCGTCTATCTCTGCCTCGACCATCAAGGCCATTTCTGTTGGTTCCGAAGCCTTGTACAGAGGAGACTTGACCGCCACCCAATTGGCTTCCGCCATCTCTACTGTCAAGAACTTGTTGCCGAGTGTTAACGACAAGAGCGGTTCCTCTTACAGTTCCATGCCAGTTGGTTTCGTTGACTCCTGGAATGTCCTCGTTGACGGTTCTTCCGCCCCAGCTATCCAGGCCGCCGACTTCATCTACTCCAATGCCTTCTCTTACTGGCAGGGGCAGACCAACGCTAACTCGTCTTACTCCTTCTTTGACGACATTATGCAGGCGTTGCAAACCATCCAGACCGCCAAGGGCTCTACCGACATCGACTTTTTTGTCGGTGAAACCGGTTGGCCAACCGATGGTACCAACTTCGAGTCTTCTGTCCCATCCGTCACCAATGCTGCCAACTTCTGGCAGGATGCCATCTGTGCCATGAGAGCGTGGGGTGTTAATGTTGCCGTCTTTGAAGCTTTCGATGAGACTTGGAAGCCAGAGGAGTCCGGCACCGGAGACGTTGAGAAGCACTGGGGTATCTTTGACTCTAATCGTGCTCTTAAGTACAGTCTTGACTGCAAGTTCTAAGTGCACCCGGGCCACCTGGAGAACAGGATAATGTCCAAATCCTATATCCCGATACATTAGCGAAAGGAAAAGAATACTGCTTTACATAGAGCCTGAAAAGTTTGTAGAAATATATGCCTTGGTATTTTCTCTAAACGAAATGTCTAATATAATACCTTCTATGTTTTAAACCATACGATAGCATAGAAGCATACCCATGTTAGCGTCCAGTCTAAGATATTACTCTAAATGATTCCTTTCGCTTGGGGGGAACAGCTAAAAGTTGGTAGCTACGTGTGTTACCAGTACGCAGAAAAGCGTGTATTCCAACCATGACCGCAGAGCTTACAAAAAAGGCATTTGCCGAAAGATCGCCAACATTATATAGACAGAGTAGGATACCACAACGACCTTTAGATAGGTGCGTAATATATAGCTATCTGGCGGCTAGAGTTTGTAGACCTGATTTCTCGAAGTTTATTGTCCGAGGCGGTCCAAATAAACTTCCGCCAAAATTCTTATGCCAACTACCTAAATTAGTAATATCTAACTTGCAAATAGACTATTTGGGCATATATAGTAGATCAGTTCCCAATCAGGAAATGCTTCTCTGCATAGCTTACGTTTAGTAGTGCATCTGCACCACAAATATACAACGCATCTATCACGTGAGAAACAATTCAGACATCAGGCTAAAATCAGTGGCTAACTGATCTGAGGTTAACTCGTCCTACAATAGGCCACCTGTGTACGGACCAGATCTTTGCTAAGCCGTTTTGAGCCAGATAGGAGCCAGACTATAACCATTATACGCGTCTACAACATGAACAACGCCAGAATTGCCAAAGACATAGCGAGCCTCTTCAGAGCTCCACCGCCTGACATCGTCTTACCCGCTGAGGGACCCGGGTCGTTGCTACACGATATATCTGTCTATGTGAGGGGCCCCGAGGAAACCCCATACTATGGTGGATACTACAAGCTCACACTTAAGCTACCAGCGGATTATCCTCAATCGGCACCACGTGCCACTTTCATCACAAAGATATTCCACCCTAATGTGAACTACTCTTCCGGAGACGTGTGCGTGGACACATTGAAGAAGACCTGGTCCACAGAGATCAGTATCTGTGATGTCCTATCAATTATTCGGTGCTTATTAATCGAGCCAAACCCCGAAAGTGCGTTGAACGAGGACGCAGGAAAATTGTTGCTTGAAGACTTTGAGTCGTTTGAAAAGACCGCTAGGTTGATGAATAAAGTACATAGTTTGAAAGAAGTAGAGGGTAGCACAGAAAAGGGAGATAAAGAGGCTGGCGGTGTGTTACGAGACTTGGGTGATGGATTAAACATCATTGGGGAGCCAGGGGTTAAAAAAGTGAAGCCTAAGAAGAAGCGCACTGGCTTGAAGAGGTTGTGATGTACTTGTGTGTAGATGTGCAGTTAAATGTATGCTGAAAGTCATGTCTTAGGTGATATAGCAAAATACAATAATCTCAAGATATTTACTATGTATTAATTAAGCGGTAATTTAAAGAATATAGCGGGTTGGAGCTGGTTTTACTATTATAAAAACATGAAGGTCATTTTCATTCATCCGTAAAAGTACTTTCACTTGTCTAGGTTATACACTTGACTTGCCATATGAAGAAAGATTGAAAGGCGTATACCAAGACTAAAATTCATATAAAAGTCATATTGCGATTCGGAGAACCTTTTGTTAAATTTCCCTAGATCACTCCCATGATTCTCACATAGAGAAGAACTTTGCAAACGATGTTTAAATTCTCAACGATTAATAGTCCTGGGAAATCCTATTACGCATTTAAATTTCTCTATGCATGACTTCATTAATTAAAGCTTATCTAAAAAATAACTTTGCGTTTCCGTCCTTATTTACCAAATACAAATACTCTTTTTCGACAACGTTCAAACCTGTGACGAGTCTCATTTCCTCACTCAAACCGCCTCTGACAATCCGCAACACCCCTGTGACATCGTCGGCTCTGCCTGTCGCCAAGGGCTGCACCTGTAATACCAAATGGGCACGGTAAATCATCTTAACGAGGAAGTCGGTGGCCTTGTAGACGGGATTATGCGCTGAAGACGCGACCGTGGAGACATCGATCGCTTCGGGGGCTAACTGCGTGACCACATACAAGTGACTAGCGATGTTCTGCAACGCTGAGACCTGGCACAAAAGCTGGTTTGCTCTAAGACAGGTGGCAGCTATCAAAAACTCGAGGTTTTCAACCACCACAATAAGACGTTGATGCGCGGGTTTTGCGCGCACAGCCGTCACGATCTTCTGCGTCACGTCCGCAAACAACTCCTGCACCTGGGCCTCGATGGACTGGGCAGAAGTTGGTGCCGTGATAAACTTGCTAAACAAGTTTGTGAAGCAGTCAAGGAAAGTGAAGTTGGGCGACGAGGGAGTAACATCGAGGTTGTTACACTTCTTTAAGTTCTTGGACCAGTGGGCCAAGTCATTCATGAAACTGACAACCACCACATGAGCCTTGGCATCCTCAAGGTTACGGCTGTTATTGAGGCTTCTGGCGGTTTGAGAGGAGTCAGAATTGAGCGAACATGTGTCAAGCAACGCGTTTTCGAGCAACGCTTGTGTGAGCCACGTGTGGTGGGTTCCCTGCTGGTATGTAACCAAGTTAAGGGACTTGAATGCTGGATTGAGAGGCGGGATAATGCACCCATTGCTATATATAGCTAAATCCTGTCTCTGGGAAGCGGACATATTTAGGTGGGAAGAGTGGGCAAGAGAAGAGTAGCTGATGCCGTTATAATTTTTCTATCAGTTTATGCAGGAGATATGATGAGAAGAGGTTAGGTAAAAAAAATTAAAGGTAAGAGGTGTATTATATATCCTTTTATATCCAGCCAGCTTTATGAAAAAATTATAAATATACCGGTCTACGGGGTAACTGGGCTCAATAACCATCACTATGGCGAATATGATCCCAATCTATATGATGCATGTATGGTTTTCATGACCGCAAGACAAAAAAAAGGCTTTGATTCCTCGACAAAGTCGATGATTCAGGTAGAAACCAGTATTAAGATAATTTGAGACTCTGAGAGTTTAAAAGTGTTAGAATAGCTTTCCTTAATTACTATCTCGGTGAATGAACGGACTATTAATGCTTAGAAAGCAAACGCATGCTTTCGTTGTATCACGTGACTAGAATATTATTGGAAGGATATGGCAGTAATCAACAGCCCTGCAGGTTTCCTGGTTGATCGATTCATATTAAAGCGCTTTTATTTAGTCGCAATAGTGCTGTACCGAAAAATCAGCTTGGAATATCGGATACCCGATACGTCCAATGCAAATCTTCTTCGCTAATCAGCATTCCTTCATTTATCCTGTATATACCAATCACCCTTCCTTGGTTGGCGCGAAATTTTTCATTTTTTTTTCCACTTCAAAATCATTCACCATACATTTTCTCTTACTCCTCATCCAAAAATGTCTTTCACTTTACCATCCTTGCCAGCCGGTTTTGAATCCCAATTCAAGGTTTCTGCCGCCTACACTGCGCCAGTGCGTCGTCCAGTCGAGCCAGTTGGCCGCTACTTCCTTGCCCACGCGACCAGATCCATGAGAGGCCACACCTGGTCCGAGTTCGAGAAAATTGAGGCCGAGACCAACGTCAAGGTCGTTGAGGAAGCCATTGATGAAGATGACTTCGATGTCGAACAGTCTGCCGAGTTATTGTCCCATGACCCACGTAACTGGAAGACCGCTGATTTGTACGCTGTCTTGGGTCTTAGCAAGTACAGACACCTTGCCACCGAGGCACAAATCATTAAGGCTCATCGTAAGCAGGTCTTGATGCACCACCCAGACAAGAAGTCTGCTGCTGGTGGTACCTTGGAGCAGGATGGTTTCTTCAAGATCATTCAGAAGGCGTTTGAGACCATCATGGATTCCAACAAGAGACAGCAGTTTGACTCTGTTGACAAGGCTGCGGATCTTTTACCACCAAGCGCCAAGTCCACCTACGACTTCTTTACCGCCTGGGCCCCAGTATTTGCCTCTGAGGCACGTTTTTCCAAGAAACAGCCAGTTCCTGAGTTGGGAACCTTGGAAGACGACAAGAAGACCGTTGATGCCTTCTACAACTTCTGGAACAACTTTGACTCTTGGAGAACCTTCGAGTTCTTGGACGACGATGTGCCAGATGACTCTGCCAACAGAGACCACAAGCGTTACATCGAGCGTAAGAACATCGCCGCCAGAAAGAAGCACAAGGTCGAGGACAATAGAAGATTGATTGCGTTGATCCAGAGAGCCCAGTCCGAGGACCCACGTATCAAGAACTTCAAGGATGCTGAAAAGGCTGAAAAGGCTGCCAGAAAGTGGGAACGTGAAGCTGGTGCCCGTAAGGCCGCTGAAGAAGCCGCTGCCGCCAAGGCTGCCGCTGAAGCTGCTGCCGCTGAGGCTGAAGCTGCCGCCAAGATCGCTAAGGAGGGTGGCAAGAAGGCCAAGGAAGCTGCCAAGGCCGCCAAGAAGAAGAACAAGAGAGCCGTCAGAGCGTCTGCTAAGGACTCTGAGTACTTCGGTGCCGCTGCTGACTCCGAGTCGATCGATGCCGAAATTGACATCATGATTGACTCTTTTGACGATGCCACCTTGGGTGAGGTTGCCAGTAAGGTTACTGGTGCCTCTGCCGACACTGTCAAGACCACTTTGCAGGGAATTGCCGCAAAGTTGGTTTCCGAAGGTAAGGTTGCTGCCTCTTCTTTGAAGTTCTTCTCCGCCTAAGCCCATAATAAGCCTCTGCATGGAATGAATTCTATTAACACTTAATATTTGTAGTGGGGGAGCAAAACTGTCTATTGATGCGGTAGAGAAAAAAAGGGTCGGCGCATTGAGTAAGCATCGACAATTAAATTCTAAAGCTAAGTTTGGGGGGATATTAACGAAACAAGAGGAGCAAGGTGCTGATTAGACCATTAGAGCTTATAGACCAGATATCCGATGCTAAAAAAGTATACAGAGCTAGGAGGAGAAAAAACCATTGATTGTGAGTAGGAAGCTAATATTACAATTTAGGGTTAAGAGGGTTTAGCAACGTGCGACCTTTGGTGAATAGTGGAAGGCTAAGAGAGTGTGGGGGAGGAAGATAAGGAGCACTAGCATATGTATATGGTTCCGAAATAATTTGAATCTTCACCAGAAGTGCCAGTTGTTGGCTGTTTCTTTTCTGGTTTCCACTTTTCGTTTTATTTTACTTCTGACCCGTGGATTTAATCTACATTTCAGCCACAAAAACTTGTTATCCTCTTGTTAGTATTCGAACCAACTCAAAACAACCTCAACAATACTACAGACTTATACAGAGTCCTTAAAATTGCCATAACCAGAGGTTAAAAGCAAATAGGACACAAATAATTTATAATTTATGTCATATCCAAAACAAACATTAATCTTGATACAATAAACTTCGAAATGACTTAAACAGCCTATCCCAAGTGATTCATAGTCAGCCTACGGACACGCTATCTACAACCTGCATGCACCCGGATATGAAAAATCGACTTCCACAAGGACCGGGACTGTAAGTACGCCCCTCCACAGTACTTCAATTACCACAACCAACCCTTTTAAAGATACTTACCATGAACTCCTGGGATCAGAAGAAGTTTTCACTCAAACCGAGAGCTCGCGGCTGCTACCTTGTTACGGACGAGGTCCTCTCCAACGTGCCTGAGATATGCACCTATACTATCGGCCAGTTGACCTTGTTCCTCCAGCACACGTCCGCCGGATTGACCCTTAATGAGAACTGGGACCGCGATGTCCGCAAAGACATGTCTTCCTCATTAGATCGAGTTGTGCCTGAGGGCGATTTTTACGTACATTCCGACGAGGGCCCTGATGACATGCCTGGCCATGTTAAGAGTACTATCGTCGGCGTGACCTTGACTATTCCTATTTCCAACGGGAAATTGTGTCTCGGAACCTGGCAGGGCATCTGGTTGTGTGAGTTCCGTGACTATGAGCACACTCGGTGGTGCGTAGCCACTGTCAATGGGTTGAAGGAGGCACCATAGACGTTAAATTAACATTATTTATATTAAATCATGTATATGTAGGGGTCATTCAAGGACAAGCGTGGCGTCTGTCTCGCCAGATACCACAGATAAGAAAAGTTGAGTAGACTTCGGAACGCGAAATCTGGATGAACAACCCAGAGTTAGCGGAGTTACCGTGACGAACCGAGGAGGATTACGTATCGGCCAATTGTGTATTACACCGAGTGACAGCGCAACATTCATATGTATAACTGCGAGCGTGGATGAAATCCATCCGTGTTAAACCCAGAGGTATACACAGATATCTTTCGTAAGCTCCAAACATCTTATCCACAATTGGCGGCATTTCACTCAAACGGGATTGCAGTTGATTCAGGTGTAAGTAATTATTTAACAATAAAGCTGTCTACGACAAAAGATCGCATTCAAAATTAAAATAGAGTTTCAGATTATATTACACTCTAATAAAATTCCCCTATAGAAATTTCTTACACCCGTTATAGCTGACATGGATTATATTCAATATGACAGAAGGATAGTGGACGAAGTGATGAAAAAAAAAAAAACCTCTCACAGGGATAGCTAGATCCGAGATTATTAATAGAGGTGCAGAAATTTGTAGAAACAAATTCAGGGTGTAGGAGACCGGGAAATTTCAGAAATGAGACAAAACTAAGAAAAAAGGAGTTCTTAATATGACCATCCAGGGGGCTTTGCCGGTAGGCTCTCGACTGCTGTAGCCATCAGTGTGCCGCTTAGTATGTCTTCTTCTTCTCATCAATGGAGAACTCGCCCGCACCGGTGTTGACAATAATCAACAACCCGCCCACAATCGACAACGTCTGGAAGTACTCATATCTCAACAAATCTCTAGTCGCATCAACGTAGTCGTAGCTCCAGTAGTGGTTGACACTGAGGTTGTAGAAGAATAACAAGGTGCACAAGCCAATGGCAGCAAACTTGGTCTTGTACCCAACAGCTACAGAGACACAGCAGATGGCACCCACAAGCTTCAAGAACAAACGGATGAAGGTGAGCTTACCGGCAAACAAAAACCCGACAAAGAGCAACAACAACATCAAACGACCAGCGAGCAAAAAGTACTTTCTGTTGTCCTTGTACTCCAACATTGGCAAGCCAGGCATCGCCAAAGAGCGCTTGTCACGGATGATAGAGTCAGAAAAGGTAATAGACAAGCCACCCATGACCGAGAGCGAACGCAACAAGAAAGAATAGTCAAAGATCAAGCCGTAGAACAAGCCTTGGGACACGATAACACCCACGAGCGCCGGGATGGTGTACTTCTCCTGCTTGCGCATGATCAGGAACGTGGAGGCAATAACCATGACGACGACATTGAGCATCAAGAAAACGACCACAATGAACCACGGGATGCCCTTATAGTTGTTCAAGTAAAGAACCTGGTCCTTCCACTGCGTGACAATACGCGAGGAATCCTCGTAGAAAGTTGCGACAATGAGGAAACGCGCGATAGATGGTACGTACGGCTTGATTGGGCCGGTGTACGTGTCCACCTTGGATTCAATCACTGCTGCAAACTTTTCAAACTTTTCCACAGCATTGTCGAGCGCAGAGGCGGGAGCGGCGGAGCCAGCGAACCCAGCTGAATACTGCTGTTGGGGAGAGTGGGTGGCGCGGCCGTCAAAGCCCGCCTGGGGTTGGTCGAATGGAGAGCCTCTGAAGGACATGGTATCTGGAGGTTAGTATCGGAGAAGATGTCGGGAGGGTAGGATGAGGATCGGTCGGAGAGTTAGTTCCGGTGGGGTGGTGACAGCAGCTCGCCATGGGCGAATCACCAGCTTGCCCTGAGAAGAGTCCTAGACTACACATCAAGATTATTCTGGTATTCTACCCAATGATTTCCATCATAGCTTTGGGTATCTCATGTTTTGATTGCTCAAAGTGGCACCCCGAGCTTTGTCTTAGCTGCCTCAGTGACAACCCACGGGATCGCATGGCTGCTCCAGTGACAATCCAGGAGAATTTAAGATTTGTACTTACTGTCGTGTAAGAATGGATAGCGTAGGAAATAAAAAAACTAGTATCAAAGCTAGAGTAGGGGCTCGATTGAAGTAGCAAGTGCAGGAGGTCTATTTGTAGCATTTTCGTGGTTGAAGCTTTACTTACTTCGTGTTCACAACAGTGTACAGGTGACCTGTTCCTTACCATGTGTGCCGGATCGCCCGTTTCAGTCAGATGGGGCATTCCTGTGTCTGCTGTCAGGCGCAATGCCACGTATCACTACTGCTCCCTTGTCAAATGGCGACATATTTCTAGATTACATACAAGGCCCTTATTCAGGCCTTAAAAATGGCTGAAAACATTCATTTTAATATCTTATCTTCATTATCCTACGATGAAATAACAGAGGGGCTTAGGTACGGGTTTTCGGCCTGCAAAGGCTTGGGTGCATGCAGCCTGGAGTCTCAGCTAAGTGACTGGTTCTATCTCGCCATCTCATCCGCCAGAGTAGATACCGTAAACCTACGGGATTAAAGAGGCTTCTGCAACAGGTGCCAAAGGGTAGAGAAATCAGGGGTGGAGAGTATCGTTTTGGGAACAGTCAAGGTCAGAGCTCCCAGGGTGCACTGAGCTAGGACCGGAGAAGAGTCGCAGTGCGTGTCTGTGCATGCCGCCCGAGGCTTTAGGACGCACTTGTATGCGAATAGAAACATGTGGTACTGAGCCGCGAACTACGGCGCTCAAGACAAAGGAGGGTACCCCAGATTACCCCAAATGAGCGCCATACCTACTAGTTACTAATTACTAGATCACCGAGCCAAGATCCTACGGTATCGCTTGTAACTATAAGAGAGTGACGTTACAGCACTAGCCGCCAGTGCCTGCCACTGTTTAGACAAAGCGATAACGTCCAGATTGTAGTATATCTAGTAGGTAATAGTGGATACTGTTAGCTAGCTAAAAGAGAATACTTCCTATGTAAGATATCTACAAGAAAAGGGTAGTCGGTGGCCTTATATACTGAGGCGGATACGATGCCAGGGTGTCCGCTTATCAGGAGTAAGGGAACAATGGCCTCCGACTTCCGTCTAGTCAAATGGCACCTTTACTACGCAGATAGTCTTAAGCTCATAGAGTATACCTCCCGAGGAGGTTGAATCATTGGCGTGTAAATCTTAAAATTAGCCATCCCAATACCAATGGCAGCCACATTTATGCCTCGGCAGAAGCTCTGCAGCTAGTATCCGGCCATTCTGGACGCTGCAGTCCGAGCCTAAGGGACTATACCCAGATTTTCTCACAGATTTACCGAAAAAAAAAGCAAAAGTCGTTGCCCGGAAACTGTGAGTAATGCTTCAACACCCTCACGGTCGTAGACGTTTGGCTAGACATTATCGAGTGCTGTTTTTCAACCCGGCTATGATCTCAGGGTTTTAATATTAGTTCTACCACGTCATCAATCTTTTATCCATGTAGCGGCCTAGTAGTATTGGTACGGTATATCCCCAGACCACCGAGCTATTACAAGACATACACAGATCTACATCTGACAGTGAGAAAACCAAGCAAAGCTGGCATTAGATGGTCACCCCGTTCCAAAACCTATTGCACCAATTCACTCAATGCGAGTTTTTGGTGTTGCCAAGCTTACTAACTTTACATCAACTATGACAAAATGCTTTATTAATTCTCTATGGTAGCTATGGCGCTAATGTTTACTCCAGAAAGATGTACAATAATTTATACCAGTCCACCTAAAATATTTGTTAAATTCAAACCCAAATATATGGCTTCGACGGCCGAAAATACAGGTCACGATCCACAAATCTATTTTCTGGCCCGAATGTATACCCCCGAGTTATCTCAGCGACGATACACGTGACCTGTGATGCGGATCTCGCTCTTGTCCGAGAGGCATACGTGCGGCGCGTGCGTTGCCGTATATATAGCTGCCCTTCCCCAGTTTTTTTAACCTCTTTCATTCAATATCTCTCAGCAATCCACTTGTTAAGATTTTCACCACAGAGGCCTTACTTCCAATGGTTTTATCAACATTTGACGTTTCAAAGATCGCAGTGATCACAGCTAAACCGATCACCCCAGAGAACTTTGCCCTGTATGGGTCCCTCCTCTCTGCTAACGAACAGATCGAAATTGCCGCCAGGAACAGCAAGGGCCAGGGCTCGAGTCTGGCCAACTACGGGACAGCTATAAAGCTCCATAAAGTATCCCACATTGCCAATAATTATGCCCAGTGTCCGCTGGGAGCGCCTGCTACAGCTAACTGGAACATCTTCCGCTGTTCTCCACCTAACCACTTGATCGACTTTAAGAGCTCCACTTCCGGCAGATACACCTGTAAAGTCCTTGAGAGACACCCGTTCAGCACCCAGACGTTCTTACCACTTGGACGTCCGGCTGCAGGGATTGCGTATCTAGTCATTGTGGCCAGGACGGATGTTTCCACCGGCCAGCGCTTGCCGGACCCGGAGACCGTGGAGGCGTTTATTGTACGGGGGGACCAGGCTGTGACCTATGGAATGGGCACGTGGCACGCTCCCATGGTTGCCTTAGGAGAGACCCATACAGATTTTGGAGTGTTGATTCATGAGAACGGGGTGGAGGACGAGGACTGCCAGGAGTGCTACTTTGAGAACCCGGGGTACACCATCGAGTTTGAAAGCAAGTCCAGACCACTGTGTCTTTAAGATATTTTAGCTGGACACATATTGGCTTGTGATTAGAATTTTCCACACGTAGATTGAGTGCTTAGCAAATGACATAATACACATCTTGCCGCAAACGACAATGGTATATACATAATTAAGTAGCGTTCTGAGCTTAGGATTTCAACCATTCAGAATCTGTTATACTAATTTATCGTGTACGCCCTATTTATCTAGACTTTAACAACGTTAGATGTGTTCCATTCATTAAGTGACACCCATTTTTCTAAGGTTCACGGAGAAATATATGTCACATGTAATCCAAACAGAGGGTAGCATGCAACTGGAGCCTTTTTACAATCTGCATGAGCAGTGCTAGGAAGTCTGCACTCCTTGAAAATAGAATTTCATAAAAAGAACGGGAAAAACCATCTACACACTTTTCTCATTCCTTATCACAGATTCACAATTATTTATTCATAGGTATTGCATACTACTCGTCGTCCACCTCCACCAGAATCTTGTGGAGTGCCTCGCCCTTCAAATGGTAGTGTTTCTTTCTCATTTCCTCGAAGCGTCTGTGCTTCTCTTCGGCAGACAACTGTGGTTCATCCTCCTCTTCCTCCTCCTCTTCTTCCGCCTCTTGCTCACCTGGGATGATGCTGCCACCATTGATGCTCTGTCTGTTGACCTCATCGTCTTCGTGAAATTCGGATTCACCTAAAGAAAAACTTGGGATGCCCAAAGCAGCAGTTTTGGTGTCTTCCTCATCATCGTCCTCCTGGTAGTACTCACCGTTAGGATCCACACCGCCAGTATATGGCGTCTTAGGCTCGTCAATCTTCATTGTGGCAGATTTGTTTTGTTCATTCAAGTACAAATTGGCTTCGTCCCATTTCAACTCATCGGTTTCAGTGGCCTCGCCCAGCAAGAGATTCTCATCGCCCGCGCAGGACTTCTTAGCCCCAGTCTGTTGCAACTCCAATTTCTTCTGCTTCAACTTTTCCCTGATCTCCTGGCCCTTGGAGTTTTCACTAAACAACTGGGCGTTCAACATTGTATTCTCCAAAACCTGTTTGCGGTTAATCTGCGAAAGTGAGTCCGAGGCTGGCGTGGTAGCGCCGGTCGAAGCGTCTGGCAGCGAGTCCAAGACTTCGTGGTTGTTTTTTAAGATCCCATGGGGTTCCGGCATTGTAATAGTTGGTACTGGATAGATATATAATTGGCTGTGTTGTAGACTGTCTCTCAAGTAGTTTTGCATCCAGATACAAATAGGTCATCAGAGCAAGTCAGACATGTGGGGGGAGTTGTTCCCCTTTGAGAAGGCGTGTATAGACCAAAAGGTAAACACACGACAATTGTTTTTGCTATATACCGGATATAAATACCAGCCGTGATGAGGTAGTATGCCGGACAAACGTGACAAATTTTCTGGTGAGGTATATACCGGATATGGGGTTTAAATTTTTCCGTCATAGAGCCAAGGAAGTACTGGGATACTATAGCAACTTATCTGACACCTTATTCGGCTTAAGATTCAGTCATCATTTCTTTAGCAACCACAAATGTCTTTTAGAAAGAGGAGTGATGTTATTGGGGCTCCAGGCCAACCAATCCCCACGGGAGGGATCCAACGCGGTATTAGGGGCCTGCCACAGCCGATTTCCGCTCAGAGTCCAAGAGGCGAACCAATGACAAGAGGCGTTCCTGTTTCCAGAGTACCGCCGTTTCAGCGTTCTCAAATGTTCACACCTACTCCGGAGGTGGTACATCCGGGCGTCAGACCGTCCACTGTGACATCCCAACCTACCGTTTCCACGGGGACCAACGACTTGGACAAGATTTTGCTCCACCAGGGCTTACCGTTAGGGACATCTCTTCTTTTAGAGGAAAGCGGAACGACTGACTTTGCTTCCGTGTTGCTTAGAGTGTACGCGGCGCAGGGGATCATGCACAACCGGTTGGATGCCACGAAGGCCGCACCTCCCAACACCCACGTGATCGTCGTGGGCCAGCAAAGCGATTGGGGAAAACAGTTACCGGGCTTGTACAAGGGTAGCAGGAAGGATATCAAGAAAGCCAAAGTCTTGGAGCACGAATCGAAGCTCAGTGTGTCCAACTTGACGGACGCGCCTGCACCAGGCACGGGTAGCGCTGCTGCGGCGCGTGACTTGAAGATTGCGTGGAGATACGGCCTTAACGACAAAAAGAGTTCAGGATCCAGCGAAAATACCACATATCCAGACTATAACAATCAGTTCGACATTACCTCCAGATTGATCCCAACACCGAGCAGTAACGAAATTTCATACATCCCCGTCACTGGGACGCTGTTCCTCGGCGTGGCTGAACAGATTGAAGGTGTAATCAGGCAGAACCTTTCCAGAGTACCTACCAAGATCATCCGCGTGGTGGTGCCGAATTTGCTCAGCCCGACCTTGTACCCACCACACTTTTCGTCCTCGATGGAGATCCTTCCTTTTGTGCACCAGCTCCGCGCATTGTTAAGAAAGTACCCGGGGAACCTTTCAGTAGTTTCGTCACTTGCACTTGATCTCTATCCGAAGCATAGCTCCACGACTGTGCTTTTAGAGAACTTGCACGACGCGGTGATCCATTTGCTGCCATTTAACCAGGAAATAGCCGCGTTGATCGAGAGAACGTACAAGAACGACCCCACAAAGATCCAGCACGGCTTGGTCAATATCTACAAGCTCCCAGTGTTGAGCGAACGCGGTGTCATGGATATCAGATTGAACGAGTTTGCTTTCAAAAACGGGAAGAAAAAGTTTGAGATTGAGGCGTGGGGAATTCCCGTAGAGGATGAGGGTGAGCCTGAGGGTGAACACGGCCATCAGACCACCAAGAATATTGATTTTTAGCTGTACGATACGGGGGGCATGTGACGTTTTTAGACTGAAGCCTCTTTCTGACTAAAAGTTGGCTGGATTTTAAATAAAGGCTCATTTCTGGTAACGGCTATACACAATGCCTGTGCTTGAACCATAACACTAACTGTACTGTGCGTAGCAATTGCTCAAGTTTTAAAATATCTTTATAAATATTACATTCTATTCAGAGACGAATTATTATTTTTAGCTTTGGTTCATTTCCATATTCAAAAAGCTACCTCTTGGTGTGTCTCCTGCATTGAGTCATATTTCTATGAAAAGTTTTGTCCAATTTAACACACAAGGTCATCAACCAACCACTACTACACTAACATGGCTAAGAGACAGGCTAGTGCCAAGGAGGGGAACTCCAAGAAGAAATACAAGCAAGGAGGGATCGTGGAACCAGCCACCTCCGGGATCTACGCCACGTGTGTCAAAGGCCGTGAGCAGAACGCCCGCAAGGAGTTGATGAACTTGCTTTCCGACAAGGTTGCTGAGATGTATGATTTGGACAACCTCGAGGAAGAGGAAGAGGAGGAAGATTTGTCCATCGAAGACCAGATCAACAAGGAACTCAGCGAGATGAAGGCCACTAAGGATACCAACAAGGAGTTGTTGAAACCAATTGAATTGGGCTGCGAGTGTGTCATCTTCATCAAGACCAGAAAACCGATTGCGCCGGAGGAGTTGGTTGAAAAATTTGTTTCTGAGCTCTGGGAGAAGAGCCGAAAGGTCACCCGCTACACCCAGAGATTGTCTCCCGTGACATTTTCCGTGACACCTACGGCCTCGGAGTTGAAGAAGCTCTCCGCGCGGGTTTTAGCCCCACATTTCCACAAGCCTGAGGGCCAGGAACCGGTTCGCTATGCTATACAGGTCCACAGAAGAAACTTTGACTCCTTGGAGAAGGATGCGATTATCAGATCCATTGCCGAGTCTGTTGGCAGAGACCACGGCCACGTGGTGGACTTGAAGAACTTTGACAAGCTTATTTTAGTCGAGGCATTTAAGAGTAACATTGGGATGAGTGTGGTGAACAACTATAACAAGTATGAGAAATACAACTTGCAGCAGATCTTCGAGAAGAGCCAGAAGAACGCCGAAGATAGTACGTCTAGAGTCAGGGCTGCGAACGAAGGAGGAGCCACGGAGGAAGTTAAAAAGGATGACGAAGTCAAGGAAAAGGCTCCAGAAGAGGCCAAGCAAGAAACCCAGGAGGTGAAATAAGCGTGGGAACAGCTAATATATGTCAACTGTTATATGTAATGGGGGTATGCATAGGGCTCTATGAATTGGCATCTAAAATAAAAGCAAACTTTAGAAATTTGAGTCTTGGCAACCATGGATAAAATTTAGTGACAGAAAATGGAAGCTATAGCACTCAAATATACCAATACGGATGTTGTTGTATCTCATTAAATTTCAAGGCGTACTTTTGTCTGATGTCCACCTTAATGCGCTGCTGAATAACGTCAAGCAGAGAATAGCTTAGATTATTGTTATTTGTATCCATTAGCTACGACTAATGTGTACAAATACAAGCTATCTAACTTTATCTCTTTCCGAGAGAGTTCACAAGCTAAATACCGACGATTTGCCAAAGTATACCTGTCCGACATACACTACTCTATATGCACCAAGATATGCTAATCCAGGGGCACTCCTATGCGTTTACGATACGGTCCTAGAAAATATGTAACTACATCATTTAGCCATTAATTTTCTTATAAATAGAACTGGTATTTGATGGTCCTGGGAATTTGGTAAACAGGATTACAACATTCTGTTGATCTTATTGTCCTCAAACTGCGTGAGGTTGTCCAAGTTGTCCCACCACTTAAAGAGGTAGGACTCACAGATCAACTTGAACCACGGGGTAAAGACTAACTCTGGATCCACAAACATGGCTTTCAACTCCCCAGCGGTCACGTACTTGTGGTCCTTGATTTCGTTGAAGTTCGCTTCGACCTTTGCGTTGGCTTTGGCGATCAAGATGTAGTCCACCTCATGCTCGCCCCACAACCCGGTGGACGGCGCCTTGTAGTGGATTCTTGTCAAGTACTGGAAGCAGTCGAGCGGCACGTCAGTGGCCTGGATCCCCAACTCGTGTTCCAATTTTCTGACAGCGGCGTTCTTAGCCCCGGCGACGGACGATACCAAGTCATACCCGAGCTCAGACTTGATCGCCAACGGGTGAGAGCAGCAGGTGTTGGTCCACATACCGGCAAAGGTGATTTTTTCGTCCGCTCTCTGCTGGATTAAGAGTTTCCCCTCGTCGTTAAACAAGAACACCGAGAACGCTCTGTGAAGAAGGCCCTTCTCAATATTCTCCATGAGATGACACGCCTTCTTGGTGACAGCACCCACCGGCTTGTCTTCCCAGTCGCATGCGATGCACAACTCCTCCATCAAGCGGATCTGCTCCTCATCGTGGCCCGCGAGGACGGCATCGTTGCTCGACCCGGATGAGCGCGGCGCGCCGGAGGTGTGGGCCAACGGGGTGACGTCAGGAAAGTCGGCCAAAATTTTTTCCGGCGAAAGACTCTGCACTAGTTTGGCGTAGGAAGACATGGTGGTGATGAGGAGGAGAACTTGGTGATGGTCATGTTGACCTTTTTAATGCCGAGAAAAAAAAGCACAGTGCAGGAGACTGAAAGGAGAAATATTAGCATGAGCTTCTAGCGCATATAGTGGCTGTACAAACGGCATAAACTTGGAGTATAATTAGCAAATATACTTGTCTTTTGATGGTCTAGATCTTACGACAAGCTCCTGAGAGTGAATAATGGAGGTTTTTGGTTCCTGTTGTGAATCATACAAACCTGAAATCGCGCAACTATTTAAGGCACGAGATGCATTCTATATGACCATATAGTTGAGTGAGTATCTAGACATCTTGGAGAGGTGTATGATGTCTCACTCAAACAAACATGACTAAGTAAAAGCAATACTTAGTACACCACATAATATTGAGATAATAATTCTAAATCCCATAGATTTTGGGATTGACACCAGAATTAGACCAAATAGATGGCTCCCTCTTGTGGCTGCCCTTGCGACCCTCTCTAAACGCCAAAAAGGTAGCTCTAGCTGTATAGATCGCTGCCCGTCGTATAATCAGCATACTACTGGCACCACCGACTTGGAACAATGAAATGGAATAACAAGGTATAGATTCAACTGGGGAGCTGTACCGTTTTCACAGAATACACGTACGTAGTATACTTGAAGGCTAAGTTGGTACTTACACTTGCAGCTTCAAAGCCCCGTAATTTAAACCCTGGATAGCTGTCACCCTACACCCACTTGATTAAGCACGTCGACTAACATTAAGAACTAACCACCGATACTCGGATCCCAACCGCCTTTATTGCCGGTAATAGGGAACCAGATCCTTAAACGTGAAACTCATGATGACTTCCACGTCTTGTGGCCAAATACTCAATGATTGTAGACACGTTTCTCACGGTCATCTTAAATAACGCGCGAACCCGCTAGAACCCACCATTTACTGTTTCAGGTCTTCCACTTAAGGATTTGGTATCTATTTTTTTTTTAGCTCCGGGCGTATACCGACATTATACTCCGGCTTCGAAATAAAGCCTCACCTGGAAAACGACAAGTTCGGTGGGGATGATGTCGAGCTCGTTCTTTCATGCACGTCTTCCATCTTTCTCAGCTAAATTTTTACTATAAAGACCGGCTGTTTTAACTTCGATACTATCGTAATAAATCATTTTTCTATTAATCTTGCCCTAGCATATTCCAACCATCGTCCAGATTGAGAATAGAGGGAACTCAGGCGTCTCCCTACGGCAGTGCCGAAATGCACTAGGCATATGCGCGAATACCCGGAGAAGTCCGAGTCGTGCAGGCCAGCTACCGCCGAAAAGTTTAGCCTCCCTTTTGACTCAACGCGGATCTACTATGGCTGTCACGGGAAACTGCCGACGGTTATTTTTTTTCCCTCATGTTGCCAGTAACTATAGTACGGAGAATCAAACCCGCATGGGGCCTTGCATATGTATCCCCCAATTTTGATCTTTGATTTCATTTACACGCTTTGCTTTCGATACACAGTGAACTTGGAAATATAACAAGCTAAATATGTATACACCGGTTGTATCGACTTATTTAAGCACCTACAGAGGGACATAAAGCAGAAAATTTGGTCTAATGGGGTCACGCATAAACCACCTCCACAGTGATCTGCAGCCCCATGCTTTCTGAAAGGTGCATAAAGACCCAAGCCCTGGCCATCCTCCCCGCTCCGCATTGAATCCTTTGCGAGTATTTAAACCCGACATACGCCAAACCTGTACAGCATTTTTCTTCAATTCAGGTAAAAAAATATGGGCCACTCTTCCCTTTCCACAACGGATGATGAAAAGGTCGCGGTACTACAAACTGAGTACCCCATTGCAATCCCAGTTTCGGGTTTAGCCGACGAATCAAAGTCCCCAGGCCATGCTTGTGAGAGAGAAGAAGCGATGACAACTTACGAGAGATTTCGCCATAGAAACAGGGAAGTGATAGCGGAGTGCTTCGGGACCATGATCCTTGTGGCATTCTCCGATGGTATTTCTTCCCGAGTGCTTCTCTCAAAGTCTGGCGGTCTAACAGATATTTCATCGTCGGCAGCGTCCGCCCTTATGCTAGGATACATGGTTTCCGGCGGAGTTTCCGGAGGGCATATGAACCCAGCGGTCACATTGGCCTCTGCTGTTTACAGAGGCTTCCCGAAGAGAAAGGTCATTCCTTACATGTTGGCCCAGTTATTGGGTGGATTCATCGGCTCTCTACTAGTGTATGGTATATACATCCAGTCGATAAACAATTTTGAAGGAGGGGACGGCATCAGAACTGTTTTTGGAGAAAACGCCACGGCAAGTGTATTCTCTACATTCCCACAGCCATACTTGTCCACCCGAGGCCAGTTCACGTCGGAGCTTACTTGCACAGCTTTCTTGCAGATTGGCATTTTCGCTTTAACCGATCCATACAATGCCCCCGCGGGTGACTTGTTTCCCTTGGCGTTATGGGTTTTGATGTACGCGGTGGGATCTTGCTTCGGGTTCCAGACCGGGTTTGCTCTTAATATCGCCAGAGACCTTGCCCCAAGGGTTGCTGCTGTGGCTGTTGGTTATGGTAGCGAAATGTTCACTGCATACGACGCCTATGCTTGGGTTCCAGTGGTTGCTCTGCTTGTTGGTTCCTTAGTTGGGGGTGGTTTGTATGATTTGTGCATCTACAGAGGTAAGGACTCACCAGTAAACCAGCGCAATTTTGGCTTCTCTCGCCAAATGTTATGCTTTTCCAAGAAAGCCCCCACTAGGGTTTAAGACCCACGAGAAATATTCCAACACAAACCTTGGACGTGTATACAGTGTGGTTTACTCCGTACCAGTGCACACACTTGCATTTTGCATTGAGGCTTAACCCTCTTGCCTTTCAATAGAATTTATATAACGCATGAAGGTCAGATTCCTAGAAGTGAAGCCAAAAATTTCAGAGGGATCCGAACCGCTGCTACGAGCATGCCAGATTGGTAGAGAAGGATTGGTAGCACATACCTCCACTTCTGACTTCTCCACATCGCCTCAACTTTCGGATGTCTTTTAATCTCCTTAGCTCACGCTCGGCCGTCGGCCTAGCCCAGATAGCTATAAAAATATACCCGATCGAGTAGCTTTTCTATCGTATGGGCTACACAATCCTTTTAGTATATGCACATTTATTACACAAAATTTAAATAAATTTTAAGATTTTTAAACCAACCTTGGCTCAGCGTCCAGCCTCAGCACAGCTCGGCCTTTGGACTTACTAGGCTCGCTTAGGCTTCGACTTCAGCCTGGGATTCGCCTTCGGAAGAAGCTTCGGCCTTCGCCTCGGCCTTCGCCTTGATCTCAGCCTTGATCTTCTCCTCTTCCACCTTGTACTCGGCCTCAACCTTCTCAAGGTGAGCCTTGGCCTTCTCAAGGTTAGCGACGGTTGCCTCCTCCTGTTTCGCCTGGTAAGCCACCAACTTCTTGGCCAACGCCTCCAAGGTCTCCGGAACCTGCTCCTTGCTGGTTGGCAACGAGATGGAAAACTCGCTCAACTTGGTGATGATGTCTGGGCCCAATTGGAAGGAGGTTGACTTGACCGCCTTCTTCTTGTTCTTCTTGCCGCCATTACCGGCAAAGAACACAATTTCCTCCTTCTTTATGACCTGGACATCCACTGGGGCCTCAACGGTTCTCACATTGGTGGTCTGGGTGAAGGTGGAGACAGGCAAAAACGCCTCAACCGGCTTGACGTAGGTTGGGTCGAAGAACGTCAACAAGGAGTGGATGCTGTCGATTTCAGCGGCAAAAGCTGGGACAGAGGCAGCAGCGACAGCAGCCTCAGCGTTCTCCTTCTTCTCAGCAAAGGCTTCCTCCAATCTCTGCAACTTGGACTCCTCGTCTCTGCGCTTCTTTTCCTCGGCAAACAACGTCTTGAACTTTTGGAACTCCTCGTCAAATTCCTTTCTGACGGCACGAATCTCGTTGTAGATCGCATCCTTGGCCTTGTACAAAGCTTGTTTCTTCTCGTACAACGCCTGTCTCTTGTCAGAGGCGGAGGAGGTGACGACCTTACATTCATCCAACTCCTTCTGCAAGGCGTCGTACTTGGCATTGATCTCACGGGCCTGGAATTCGGCCAACTGCGCCTTCAATTCCGCGATTTTAGCCTTGTCTGCGTCAATCGCGTTCTGCTGCTCCGCAATTCCCGCAAAGTCGCGCTTCATCTTTCTCAATGACGTCATTTCCTTGACGTTCATCTTCTCTTGCACCAAAGAAAGGGAGCCTCTGCCGATCTCCTCGTCGATCGCCGCGATTCTCTTTTCGATATCCTCGACAGACTTGTAGTTGCTCTTAGAGGTCTGAGCGGTGATAGTCTTGAGCTTCGCCTTGAGGGCGCCATCCACAGATTTGATCTGATCGTTGATGGCGTTACGGGACTCCTTGACGGACTGCTGCTTGGTTCTCAACTCCTTCAACTGCGCGATCAATGCGTTCTTCTGGTCGTGCACCGCCGGCGCGGCGCCGATCTTCTTCATCTGCGCTTCCAACTCCTTGACCGCCGTATCCTGCGCCTTCAATTGCTCGTTCAACGCTGCGAGCTTCTCGTCTCTGACCTTAAGGTCTGGCTTCTTGATGAAGCGTCTGGCTGGCGCGCGAGGGGCTGGTGCTGGGTATTCCACTATAAAGCGTTAGTACGGTAATATGTGATTGGTTGGGAGAATCCAAGATAAAAATATCATGAATAAAGAATATTGGGAATTTCAAGAAAAAAACCATGGGAAAGTCTGGATGAGATACCTCAAAGATGTTTCTAGATAGCAATAGAATCACAGGAAGTAATTTCAAGATTCTGAGAGGACCACAAGACTCTATAAAATCTCAGGAGATTAGCATAGGCCAAAACCATCGAAAGAGCTAGGTTCTGGAATCCCCAAGGATTTCCCCCCAACATGTGCATCAGGAAGATTCCAATTATTCCGAGATGCGATACTTGACAAGGTGGGTTGTTTGACGAGATGTGGCATTTGGTGGACTTTGAGATTTTGTCTTTGTGTTGGTGCCACGTGGAATTTTTCAGATTCTACCTCCTAGATTCTCTTTCTCTCGCAATGGTACCCTTTTACAGGCAAAAAATATCGAACATACTTTTGTATATATAGTTAATTGGGATTGCTAGTCGTGGGGAGAGCTACGGGTGGTGGTGAAAAATTCACAAATAGGTGTCAACACCTGGCAACTGACAGTAAATCGAGATTCGAGATCCGACGATAGGCACATTACCCGGCCAAATTTCAGAACGCAGCCTGCACGTAAGAGCACAGCTTGACCATGGATTGTACCACGGGATGAAACTGTTTTATTATCAGTAGTCAGTATTAACAAGCCCAAAGAAGATAAAATCGCCGGATAGATATCTTGAATTTAATAACCAGTCTAGTTCATGGTAAAAGGGAATACCAGGGATGATATGGCTTGCAATCTTGCATGTTTCTGGATCGAAGGCTTCGTCGAAAGCTCTAGAAAAAAAGGCGCCACATATGCAGCTCGGACCTGAGGCGAGCCACCATTCCATATTATCAGATTTTTCAGGCATTTTCATATATGTGCGTGATAAAAGGAGTGAATCAAAAGAAACGACGAGAAGGAATTCGTCTAGTCAAACTTATACACTCCAAATAATGGGTAATGGCTCATTAATAATAATGTAAACCTTCTTCAGAATTCGTGAGCAGATACCAGAAACCCGGTTTCTTTCGGAGCTTATTATATTCGAGGTGCATACAGGGATTGGAACCCCTGGTAGGCCAAGTATACCAACTGTCCAGTATGCTCGGTACTCCGTAAACTAGAAACTATAGACCAGAGACACCAGCTGTACCTTTATTATCGCTAGACGTCAATGCAACTCTCCTAAAACCGTTGACTCGACGCCGTTGACACGTGAAACTTAAGCACGAAGCGCTCTTCTACCAGGAAAGACAGTGGTCAGAAACTTGGGACAAGTGTTTGTAATCCATAACCCAGAACAATATTTTCCTCCATAATTTGAAAGAGAATTATAAACTGGTACAAAAATAGGGTAGTGACAGGTTTTGCCTCATACGCCAGAGAGGAATTTTGTCAATGAAACGGATTAGTTACAGTTCATAAATACGATTTCAGTTCGGTGTGATACTGGGAGAATCGATCGACGTCATACAAGCAAGAGTAACCTAACATAGTGTAAGTTAGCTATATACAAGTTACATAAACAACAAGGGCCAAATATTTCATCTTTTCGCTCAACCGGGAATTGCCTCGCATTACTTCTTCGCCTTCTGTGCCTTAGCAACTTCCTGGAAGATACCCACGCTATATTGCTGAACAGCATCCGCTTTGGCCCTGATAACACCGCCATCTATGGCCTTTCCGCCGCGCACGGCCGCGACTAGCATATTCACTTCTTCCACCATTGCCGTCAACTCCAGGGCCTTGGTGTCTGAAACAAACTCGCGGAACCGGGCCAACGCGGAGGACGCGTCGGTGCAGATCAAGTCAGCACGCGTGGCGTTTTCTAAGCTCTTCTTTTTGATCAGATCCTGCTCCTTGTACTTTTCACCGTCTTCTACCATCTTCTGGACCTCCTCCTCGGTCAAGCCGCTGGTGGCAGCCACTGTGATACTCGCATCCTTACCGGATGTCTTGTCACGGGCGCTGACATTAATAATCCCATCGGCATCGATGGCGAAACTTACTTCAATCTGGGGAACACCCTTGGGCATGGCGGGGATGTTGCTCAACTTGAACTGCCCAATGAGTTTGTTGTCTTTCACCAACGAGCGTTCGCCCTGGTACACCCGCAACTCCACGCCGTTCTGGCCATCTACAGCGGTCGAGAAGATCTGCTTGGTTTTCGCAGGCACGGTGGTGTTACGCGGAATCAACAGAGAAAAGATCCCCCCGTAGGTTTCGATCCCCAAGGACAAGGGTGTGACATCTAGCAACAACACATCCTTCACCTGGCCGGACAATACAGCTCCCTGTATGGCAGCACCAAGGGCCACTGCCTCGTCGGGGTTCACGGCCGTGGAAGGAGCCTTGCCGAACAAATCCGTGACGACGTTGCGGATCTTGGGCATTCGGGTCATTCCTCCGACCAAAATCACTTCGTCGATATCCTCCTTCTTTAAGCAGGCATCACGGAGCGCCCGCTTCACCGGATCAATGGTCTTGTTGATCAAGTGCATCGACATGGTATCCAACTCATCCTCTGTGAGGCGCATGGAGATGTGTTGATTCTCGGTGATGAACGGAAGATCGATTGTTGTTTCCTTCACGTGTGACAATTCGATCTTGGCCTTCTCAGCTGCCTCCCTGATGCGCTGCACCGCCAACTTATCTCCAGACACTTCTATACCAGTTCTCACCTTGAAATCCGCCATAATGTGCTTCAAGAGCAAAATGTCAAAATCCTCTCCGCCCAAGTGGGTATCCCCGTTAGTCGAACACACTTCAAACACACCGCCTTCGATGTCGAGTATGGAGATGTCGAAGGTGCCGCCACCCAAGTCGAACACCGCGACGATCCCATCTTCCTTTTTATCCAACCCGTACGCAAGCGCCGCGGCAGTCGGCTCGTTGACCACGCGCAACACGTTGAGTCCCACGATCTGCCCCGCAGTTTTGGTTGCCTGGCGTTGTGAGTCGTTAAAGTACGCCGGCACAGTCACTACCGCATGTCTGAGCTTCGTATGGAGCTGGGTTTCAGCGATCGAACGCATCCGGCTGAGGATGAAGCCCCCAATTTGGGCCGGGGAGTATGTTTCGCCAGTGCTTGCACGCAACCACGCGTCTCCATTTTCCGGATTTGCCACAATCTGGTACGGAACATTCTGGATGTCACGCGCAACCTCTTTGTCTGTAAAGCGGCGCCCTATTAGCCGTTTAGTGGCAAAGAATGTGTTTTCGGGGTTCACCAAAGCCTGGCGCTTGGCGGGGGAACCCACAAGTGGTACGGAAGTTTCTCTGGTGAAGGCAACCACGGAGGGCGTGGTTCTGCCACCCTCTTCGTTCTCGAGGATCTTGGGCTGGTCGCCTTCCATGATGGCAACTGCGGAGTTGGTGGTGCCCAAATCGATCCCAATCACCGAAGTATGGGCTAAACGAGCTCGAACTTGCAATACGGATCTGGTTAGCCTTTTACTCAACATTTTTGCGTTTGGCTGATGAAGGCAAGTTGAGGAGGCCAAGTTAACCCACAAAAATATGCGTAATCGATAGAGGCACGTGTATTATGGGAGAGGCACGTAGGGAAAGCACGTTTGAGAGGGGCACTGCATTTCTGAAGGCAAGCGCTAAAAAAAAAAGGTGGAGTTTTGAAAGCTCAAAGGCAAGGTATAAAAGAAGACGCTACGGATATTCTTTCCTTCGGGTAGGAATATTTAGTGGGCAAAAAAACGTGACTTTAGTCATGGAATAGGAGACTATTCGTGAAAAGTGGTAAAAACAATGAAAAAAGATTTCAGTTTACATACGGTTGAATGTTCATCGATCATTCAAAATATCCTCACCCTTCACATTTGAACGCTAGTTTAGCCCCCAGGTTTAAAATACGATAAAGAGTAACGGGTAGCGTGCCGTTTAACCTGAATCAAAGGTGAAGTCATGCCGCGTAAAACTGCCTTCAGACCAATTTTTCAAGGTTCCTCACGGTTTTTGTTTTACGTCGCATGTTTTTCAGGCAACTATACCAATTAAGTATTTTCCAGTTTGAATAAATGTAGGGAAAATCAGTAAATTATCATACGTGCACACCATAATACCACTTTTATTAATCAATGAGTTAGTGGCACAAAATGAGGTTGAGGGGTACAACGCAGGATGGCGCTGAATAAATTCCAAATATTTATTAGCTGTCTACATGAGACCCTTGTCGTTTTACCTCTTTGTCAACACCGCTGCTTCCTTCTCTGATTAACGTTAACCCTCACCTCTAATCATTTGGATACAAACACTTCAAATCCCTGTTCGCAATGAATCGCTGTTCTTTCTCCGAAAACCGCTCAAAGAAACATCCGATATTCAACGCCCTGGCTATGGCACATACTTCATCCTGAAGGCCGTCACGAATAGCCACTAAAGAATCTTGTTTGATGACGTCAACATCCCCTCTCTCGTTTAAACAGTTGTAGAACACTTGCCGCCGCAAGACCTGTGTAAACACGGATGAGGATACCTCATCCGCCTGTGGCGTAGGAGATCTCTCAACGACAGTTGCCTCGTGGATTTTCCATCCAACAATGACATAGGCCAGAAGGGTCGAGTTGTGCCTAACCAACACCCCAATTCTATAGATTGGATGTTCGCAGACTCTGTTTTCCGGGGTTTCGTCCTCCCAAGCTATATCCTGCGTGTAGGTCAGCCGGTCAAAGGCCTCTAGGTTGTATCTGGAAAACTTTGACATCATGGTGAATGAGTTAGCGTCCTTCATGAAATTACAGCTAGGAACAAGGGCATCGAGACCAAGAATCAAGTTGTGGTGCTCCAGTCTCACCCTTGTCGCAATGTGCATCCAGAGGAGGGCGTCCCTCAGGGCACCAGCCGGAGCCGATACCATCCGATATACGGTTTGGATGAAGTCAATATGCAGATATCCAACTGGAACCAAGGAGTAAGGGAAGGCCCTCTCCCGCGAGCCTTCCTCGCCAACGTGTTCATAGGCCCAGTTACGATGAGTCTTCACCAACAAGGCCTCCACTAGATCCCGATGGGTCACCGGCCTCAAGATGTCGTTGTTGATCATATTTTCCGTGACGTTCACCACCAGTCGTCTGAGCGAAGCAAGAATTTGGCTGTGAACCAAGATCCGCACGTTGCCTCTGATGAGCTGAATGAAGGCCCGCTGCCTGGGGAACACTGGATCAACCACCACAAACATGGCCTGGGTGACGTAGCAGTCAATGGCTCTCAGCCTACAGAGCTTTTCGATGATCGAAGAGACCACTAGGTGGTGGCCCCGCACCTCTCCCGAGTATACCCGAAAAAGAAAGTAGTCTTCAATGTACTTGCTGTTTCCTTGGTCTCTAGCAAACCTGGTCAATTTAACTGAGTGGAAGAAGGCCTTTATCATCAATAAGGCTTCACCCGTAGGGGACCGGGGCGGCTCTCGCTCTCTAAGAGTGTCATACCGCCGAAGGGTCGCAACTAAAGCATCGTCTCTGGCGTGGCGCAAGCGGTTAACCGTTTTATCAAATCCACTGAGCTTGAGCCATACTTCTTCAAACGACAAGGTGCAACGGTCCTGAAGAACGTCCTGGATCATCGTAAATGCCAGAGAAAAGCGCAAGGCCTCCAATAGTTGCAGCGCGATCCACCGATGGTGTAACCCTTCAAGAACAGACTGACAGCTAATCGACGTAAGCACGGACGAAGACAAGTGTCCCATATGTAAAATTTGGAACTCCAACGCAAGCTTTTGCTTGTACGGAAAGTCTGTCTCCGTGATCTCTGAAATGGTCTTCCGTATTTGCACGTCCGTTCGGTTTCTATCCCCGAAGAACTTGAAGTAGCCACTGGGGGGGATGTGAGTGGTTAAATCGCTGGGAACCGACCACCGTTCCACACAGATCCGGCGCCAGATATGGTCTAGTGTAAAGACCTGATTAAAGTAGTGGTTCACCAGCCTGAGTCTGAGCAAATCTGTGGGGTTTAGCAAGCAGCCGATGGCGCATAGGATATCAACCGGGAGACCAGCTGGGGTTAAAAATTTCTCATGGCTAATTTGAGAATCGTCATGGTCCGCAAAACTCTGACAGAGGCTCATAGAGACTTGACATCTGACCCTTAAAGGCTGGTATGTAGAAGCAAAACAGATCTGCCCTGTAAGTGTCCTGCATGGTGGCGCGCCGGGTAACTGCTCCGAATTTTTCACGCGCCGCAAGCCATCGATATAAGAGGCAATAGCAAAATGAACCCATCAGCAGACCAGATAACACTCAAACAACAAACCAACATGTCTTTCTTAGGTCTCGGTGGTTCCCCAAGTATTTCCTCGCAAGCGAAGATTCAGGCTGCTGAAGCTGAATTGGACATGGTTACTGACATGTTCAACAGATTGGTTGAGCAGTGCCACAAGAAGTGCATCGACCTTTCTTACAAGGAGAGCGCCGTCAGCAAGGCCGAGTCTAACTGCATCGACAGATGTGTCGCCAAGTACTTCGAGACCAACGTCAAGGTTGGTGAACACATGCAGCAGATCGGCCAGACCTTTGCCGGCAGGCCATAAGAGGCTAGTCCTTGCGGTCGCAAAGCGTATATACGATTAATTGTACATATAATGAATTTCGAAGAGATTATTGTAGAGAACGGCATATCTAGGGGACGGTATAGTTGCGCCGTATGCTTCCATGCTATGGGTCTACCACATTCCATACATCCTATGGTGCCATGTGTAGTTTGTTCTGGGATTGTAACGGATAAAACTGAAATTATACCTAGTTAGACAAAATGCTCGTTATAGGCCCCCGCTAGCGTTGTATCGTTCAACCAACCACGGAGTGGGGTTCGAATAAACATTCGAGGCTGCTACGGGACAAGAAAAATCTCACAAACATGAAGGATATGACAAACACGAAGGGTGTATCAAATTCTCGGAAGGGCAGCATCTCTGGTTGGAAGTAGGCCGCAAACCCCAAAACTAACGATAATCCTCTGGTATAGCCTAGCGGCCATGACCTCACCCAGTGCTTCTATTTGGTATCCTGTAATGTTTATAACGCTTTTTCTTATTTTAGAGAGAAATGTCGGATGCGTGGGTTCACGGTTTACACTTACCACTAACTGAAGGAAGGTTATTATATACATGACCTAAATAAATACCCCAGCAGCTAGGCTGCTTCAACTTCTCCCAGGTTCAGATCCCCAAGACCTTCTTCAACCTCATCTTGAAGCCCTCCACGCTGTTAAGCTTAGGTCTCACGTCAAGATAGAAACTAGGCACCAAGGCATTCTGTGGGTTCGCCTTGCCACCGTAAAAGTCAATTACGTACTCCACCTCGGTTCCGCATCTGTTGATCGTCCAGTCGTGCCTGTCGAATGGTTTTTCGTACCCCCAGAAGCAGTTCCACCTGGCTCTAGGGGTCAACTTCTTGGAATCTCCCTTGAAGCTGGTCAACTGGACCCCACCGCACTTTTCACCGCCCTGGCTCTTCTCCCAGCTCATTATCTGAGCCCAGGCGCGCTCGTTCACCTGGTTGTGGATTGGCACCACAGTCTTCATATCAGCCGCGTTCGGCGACCAGTCCTTGCGAGCCATAGCATCAAAGAATTGCTTCTGCGATGGGTAAATCCAGTTGGAACTATACCCCGTTCTCGGGATAGTGGAAATCTCTCTCTCAATCGGCAAATTGTTGGTATTTGGGAGCGCCTGGTGTGCCCCCTGATTGTCCGAAGAGCAGGCTTTGGAATTAGTGGCAACTTCAATAGCCTCGAGAGTGGTGGTAACCACCTGTGGCTGATTCATGTTCTTCATCCAGTCGGCCCTGGCGGTGTGGTCTACCGGGCACTTTTCGGCAGTATCAGTCGCGACTAGGTGCAGCGCTTCGGCCTTCTGGGACCACACTTCACGGGCAGAGTGGTCTACGGGACACTTTGGTTGTGAGTCGTCAGACATAAGGAGATTTTTTAGCGGAAAGAGGAAGCGGTGGGAGTGTAAGGGTGCCTTTGAATACTGTTACCCTGGCCTGATCTGAAAATTACTCCAGGCGATAGGCATAGGGATTAGTAACATAGCATCACGTGATAGATATATATATATATATAGAAAAATGCTCGCTGAGAAAGCCAAGTGACTGAACGAAGAGGGGCCAAGAATTCAAGTGTGTATATCAAATATGTTTAAATCTAAATGACATAATAACCCATCAATAATAAAAGGTGTCAGCTCAGTTTTAGATAGTATTTGTATGTTAACCTACTTTAACAATATCGGAGGATTACACCAGTACGTTTAACCAAATAACTTGATAGAGGCGTCACAACTTATAATAGGCAATCTCATTCGTTCCCCGCCGATATACACCAAGTTTCCACTCAAATTGAGTAGAATAATAATGGCTACAATAGTATATCTATTAAAATCTAGCAAAATATTGTGGTAAAAAGTAGTATATTGGATAAGGAGTACCTACTCATTCTAGGTCGTTTTGCTTCTTCTGCTCTCTGTAATCCTCGTCCCGGTCATGCGGCGCGTTCCTTGTGGCATCGCTCTGCGTATATGAACTGACACCGAAATCATATTCGCTGCTCACAATATAATCCAGCCGCCCCATGTCTGCTTTCAGTGCCCCAGGTAAGGCGTTACTCGCCGGTGGTTATTTGGTGCTATTCCCCAAATACAAATCCTATGTTGTGGCGTTGTCTTCGCGCATGCACGCTGTCATTTCGAAGACCTCGCACCATAACAGTGACCTGTCCCGTGTGACGGTGCGGTCCCCACAATTTGCAGAGGGCGAATGGTCTTATGAGTTCGACACTTCCCTCCCCAAGATAACTCCCAAAGAAACCAGTGGAAAGCGCAACCCGTTTCTCGAAGCCACCGTTCACACCGTTTTGTCGTACATCCAGCCCACAAGTAACTTTATCGTCGAAATCGTGATCTTCTCCGATGCTGGCTACCATTCGCAGGAAAACACCACTGTCAGTGTCTCTGACAATAAGCATAAACGGTTCTTGTATCACCAGCGCAAAATCACGGATGTGGCCAAGACCGGACTAGGCTCCTCCGCCGGGCTTGTCACTGTGGTGACTGCTGCTTTATTGGCATTTTTCCGCCCGGAATTGGATGTTACTCAGCGTACATGCAAGGATTTGATCCACAACTTGGCCCAGGTGGCGCATTGCTCGGCCCAGGGCAAAATTGGGTCCGGGTTTGATGTTGCCGCGGCCGTATACGGCAGCATCGTCTACCGACGCTTCCCGCCTCTGCTAATCGATGAATTGATCACCTCTCAGGCTGCTTTGTCTCAAGAAGCTTACTCCCGCGAATTACAGCGCGTGGTGAACTCACAGTGGGAGTTTACTGCCGAAAAGTGCGAGCTTCCTCCACAGATTAACTTGCTCATGGGGGACATTGCTGGTGGGTCTGAAACACCCAAGTTGGTTTCCAAGGTCTTGCAGTGGCACAAAAACGAACCGGAACAATCCGAAAAGATTTTCGCCAGCATCAACGCTGGAAACATGACGTTGATCGACTGTTTGGGAAAATTGACAACTATGGCGAGCAAAGAACCGGAAACCTACGCTGAAATTATGAGATGTTTGAGTAAGGGCCCATTAATGGCCCACCCGTCGCTTGATCTCTCTGTATTTTTAGAGTTGAGTGCTGCCATCCAGACCATCCGTGCCAACTTCCGCGAGATGACCAAATATACTGGCGCGGAAATCGAGCCAGCTGAGCAAACGACGTTGCTCGACAACTGCAGCTTGCTCGCAGGGGTTGTGGGTGGGGTCGTTCCTGGCGCCGGTGGTTATGATGCCATTTGCTTGCTCGTGGCCCGGCGGGCCATTGGGATGTTGATTGAAAATACCGCTGAGGAGCCTCAGTTTACCAATGTCGAGTGGTTAAACCTCCACCAAGAGGACGATGGAGTGACTATCGAGTCCCAAGAGGACTATGCTGGGCTAGTTTAGAGGCGCGGATAAGATATGAATCGATCCATGATCTTGTATACTGCGTAAAGCTGAGATACCGTAATTTCAAAGTAGGAAGCTTACTCGTAGAAGCTATTCCGCCTATCGTATGATAACCAAAATGAAGAAAAAAGCGTAGTATCTAATTTAGAACACAAATACATAAAGTGACGACCAAATCATATTACTATATGATCCGGAAGCTAGAGTAAGATTTGATCCGCTAAAGAGAGTAGTATGAGAGGCTAACAGATCTAGAGCTCATGCTATGTGCTTGGAGCTGGAATGATAAGTAGGTGAGGACCTAGCCTATAGCTGTATAATTCAATATTTCTGAAGTAATATAAGTATTTATATTCTATTATTTATAATAGCAACGTAGCTATTTTGTATCAGACTGGTCGTTAAATAAACTGGCCAGAATGTATCATATAAAACAGTACTCAGCTCTGGCGCTCTATCGCGCGAAAAATCGCGCGCGTTTATGTAACGCGTCTACAACTTTTCGTGCCGTTTACAGTATTACCCCCATACCCACGCCCCAATCTATACATCAAAGCCTCCCATGCAATTACCCTACGGAGAAATCCACCACGCGGTGTTCCAGTTTTTATTAACCCACAAGGCTATCCCCGAGTCACAGCTCCTTCACGTGCTTACCCGGCTCTATCAGACGTTGTTCACTGCGGAACACGACGCGGTGAACGCGGAGAGCGTGTACCAGGACATCTTGGACGGGGTGCTTGAGAGCCTCAACGTGAAGCTTATAGCGCACAAACTCGCGTTTGCGATCCGCAAGCGGCGGTCGCAGTTTGACGGGAAGTTTGTGGTGATGCTCGTGAACACACAGGCAGACGAGGCGACAAAGATGGCCATTGACCATGGGGAGATTGAAATTGCCATTTTCAACGCTGCATTGGACTATATCTTCAACAACGAGGATGGAGAAACGTCTTACGCGATTGGTCAGACTAACTTAATCAACATTATGAAGGATAAGTCTGCAAAGTACACCGCTACAAACGCCATTGAGTTGGCCGCAAAGTTTGTCCAGGAGGGCTGGCTCATAGAAACGTCCAAGAAGAAGTTTACAGTGACGGACCTTGCTTTGTGCGAGCTCCACGACTCGCTTATTGAGAAGTACGGGCTTGCAAGTGTCTCTGTGCGAGAGGAGGATGACGACCAGCCGTTTTCCATTAGCATCTGCCCCGCCTGCGACCAGATTGTCACTATGGGCCGCAAATGCCCTGGTGGGGTAGTGCCATGCCATGTGAAATTCCATCTTAACTGTGCCAGACGATACAAAATTGCGAGGGGCAGTGCCTGTCCCAACAGCAGCTGCAGCGGAGTGATCACCGATGAGGTAGAGCCAACGGACAGAATCGGCTTACCCCAGGAGGACTTTCGGTTCACGTTGTACTATCAAACAGAGTAGGATAATGAGATAAAAAAAAAGAGAAGTCATGGAATATTGAATGACTAGAATTTGCCATGGAGTCGACGCTCACCTTACAGCCGGAAGTCATGATGGATCCGACATTCTATAGGACTAGCACATAGCTCGAGGTGAGATAACGAAGTTTTTTATTTTTCTTCGCTAAAGCGAACTTTTGGCCATTGTCTACTGGTAAGATGTATAAACATAAAAACACTGTATTCTAATCAGATATCTTTTTGTGTCTAGTCATATAGGATTTTACATTCAGCAGGCTTATAAGGAGTTTAAACTTGCGAATACAGACCTGCTTGCATCTTTAATCAATATGGATTATTACATTATTCTAGTTATTTACTGGTTGCTAACGACTTGCATCCCTATTGTCTAAAGGACTTGATACTTTTCTATAAAATATGAACCAAAACCTGTCTAGCAATACTTTATGGTATGCAAATTTTGGTTGCAGTAAATCGGATTTTCAATCATACACCTACCGCTTCCATAGTTTTGCATTGGGTGAGATTCCTCATCTCTGTCCTCTTTTGTATATGTGGTGTCGGTCAATGATCCCCAGAGTCTTGGTTCGCATTAATTCCTTATATCGACTCCTCAAGTTCCAATCCTTGACCCTGTCTTTCACTTTACCAGCAGTATATAGACATAATACTTGCATTAGAAAATAGGTCTAATTTTTTCTTCGGAAGCTATTATCACTCAGTATTCAATCACAACCTTGAGAAGAAAACAGGACCGTAACTAACCAACGACTGCTCTATGCAATTTAATCGAGTTAACTTATATGCAGTTTCAAGGGACAGGAGATATGTAACTTGATTAAAGTTTCAAGCCAGCGGTTACTTGGAGTTTGCCCCAACGGCCAGCTTATACATAACTTGATTTAACCAACGAATAACCTACCGCGAATTGTCAAAACCAACGGCTAACCTTACCATATGGGAGCCAGTAACTGTCACGAATTCACCCTCAACGCCTGTAACAATTAAATAGGCACCAGTCTGAACGTACTTTGACAAGGGCTACTCAAAACCACTCATCTACATCGTCTTTCATCATGTCATCGTCGGCGGGCCCCACAAACTCACCCAAGATGCCGTCTTCCTCACTCATCAACATGTCGTTTTCGTCCTTAGCCTCAAACTCTTTCAGTTCCTTTGCAAGGTAGTTCTCGGGGTACATCTCCGGCTTGTCGTCTAGGACAAAGGCAAAGTCTGTCTCCGCACCCAATCCGGAGTGCCCGGTGGTGATAGGCACGGTGGGATGCGACACCGGCGTCGAAATGGTGGTGTTGTCGTTGGTCAACGTGAAAGTAAAGTTTTGGTCGTAGCCGTACGCCTGGGTGTACGGATGTGGGTTCAAGCCGGCGCGCTCGGTGATAAAGTCGTCACCGTCATTGAAGTCGTCCATCATGAGCGGATCTTCGACGTTCTGGGGAAGGCTGAGAGTCAGGGGAAGATTATCAAGATTTTGCGAATTGTCTAGGTTCAGGGGAAGATTGTCGAGAGGAAGATTGTCTTCAAGGTTCGGAATATCTTCGAGATTCCCTGGCGAATGAATATTCAATGCGTGCTTCTGCCGCGCCTCGTACTCGTTCGTGTAGCGCATAGCGGGGCTGTCGCGCGTCTCGATTTGGAACTGCGCAAAGTCCATCACTGGCATCTTCGCGGGCATGCCCATTGGCGACTCCATATACGCGGACGCGTCGAACGGAGCCTCATACCCGTCCAATTTGATATTAAGGTTGTTTGGATGCTGCAGCTGCTGGTTGTTGTTGTGCTCGATGATGTATGCGCTTAAAAACTGCAACGCATTTTTGCTACCCACCAACGCGTGCGGATCGCCCGTGCCGTTACCCCCGTTGTACGCGTTCTTCACCTGTTGGTTTTCACTGAAATCCTCACAGATACACCACTTGTTTGTGTCATTGTTGCTGAAGTACACACAGAACTTCGGTGGTGCATTGAGCGAGAGGCGCAACTCGGTCGTGACATACTCGCCTTCGGTTTGGTTTTCCAATAGCGACGAATTGATGACAGACGCAATCGGGTAAAAGATGCGGAAGAGAATCTTCTTGTTCTCAAAAAAGGAAGAGAAGAAGTAGTTGATCTCGTGGTTCTTGCGCGAAAGGAGAATGAGCAAATCGCAGCGCTCCAACACGTCCGTGAGTACCAATGGCGAGAGATTCATGAGCAAAGCGAGGGCACTAGGGCTGATGAACCCTGACTTCACACGCTGCCAGTTGCCCACGCTGAGTGTACTGCATTCAATAAAGCAATAACTATCGTTGACCTGCACTGGGAGCTCATTGAGCGCTAGAAAGTGGCCCGCATCGTCCGACGCGTTGCTTCCACGCGTACGCTTAGTGCTGTCCACGCTGCCACGTTTCTCGAGCTTTCGCGCCTTTGCGCGACGGTTCTGGAACCATATCCGTACGGACTTCTCAGGCAAGCCAGTCTTTTCGGAAATTGCCTTTTTGGCCTCGTTCGACGGGTTGGGATTGTTGTCGAACTCCATCAACAAGTAGTCCAAGAGCTCCCCGGACGCCCGGGTGCGCTTGTTGGGTTCGTGTGGTTCGTTCGACATGTGTGGATGTATTGGTTACTGGATTGAAAGCCAGTGCTGTGGGGTCGGTGCTGGTGTAATTGGCCAATGGTGGAGAACAGTGGAGTGAATGGAGGTTGGCGCCCTTTTTTTTTGGGGGAGGGGCGGGCGATATCACGTGGGTCACGTGCAAAACGCACCGGGGAACGGCGCGTGAGCGTGGACCGGGGGAGAGGGACGGCAAGACACGGGTATGCGAAGATGCGCGTTTGGGCGAAATGGGTTTCGAGAGATATTGTTTTTTAAACACATCTAATGTGAGCTCATGAGATGTGCCAGACAATCGGAACGATCAGTGAGCTGAAGGGCAGAAAGGGGAACAGGAATATCCAGCAATGAACCGAGATTACATTCTACAACAAAAGTTTCAATGTTGTTCTACGTTCTTATGGATGCAAAATTCCAAAGATAGCACAAGTGAGCTTTTCGATAAAAATCCGAAAAGCATATCTATAAGACATTGATATATCTGCTTTAGCCCGCTGGGATCTCCAAGCCGGAAGTCCGAATTTTCGAGTCGGATATCCCGACCGACCAGCCCCGCCAGTAAGCCACTCGTGAGCGGTAGATGCACGTCCAACCTGCCGTAGCGCAGGGGTCAAGGACCAGTGGCGCACAAAGCTTAAGATGGGTATCGAAGATAACTGTATGCCGGATACGATGATGGGATAAGGTAACATACTGCCTTCCAGACTATTGTATGATAAGAGATTTTATTGGTCCAAAGAAATCAGAGGGGTTTGCATGGTGAATAATTATGTTTCTTAGCTTTGTAAAAGTTGTATGGTTATAGTAGCCTGAGAGCCACAACATTCAACCCTGGACTACAGGCGTGGGGCCAGTTGGCGTTCGAGCTGAGTTTTTACAGTGTTCCAAGCTTGGAAGTTCACTCAAGGTTGAACTAAAGTGGGTTAGTCAGGTTAGGGTATATAAGTAGATTGTCAAATAGTTAAACCATGGAAACGAAAATAAAATTTATAGAAACAGGGGTGGGTACAAAAAGGGGACAGTTAGCTATTGCTCAGCCAACGTCTCGGACTTAGCTTCATCTTCGGCTTCAGATTCTCCAGTATCATCGGACTCCTCCCTAAATTCCTCAGATCCTTCGGATTCCTCAGATTCCTCCGCAAGCACCTTCTCAATATCTTCAGAGTCTCCATCGTCAGCTTCTGAAAATATAACTTGTTCAGAATCTTGCTGATCTGTGGTTTCCCTGTCGGCGACAGGCTCGTCTGGCACGATCGGCAGCTCAGCCTCGACAACAGCTTCAGCCGATTCGGAGATTTCAGTTGGCTCTTCGTTGTCAGATTCGTCCTCCCCAGATTCGTCCTCTCCAGATTCCTCAGATTCCTCAGATTCCTCAGAGTCCTCAGAGCCCTCAGAGTCCTCCTCAACAGCCTTGGTCTCCTCCTCAACAGCCTCGGTGTCCTTAGTAGCATCAGCACTCTCATCTGAGTCTGAAATAGTGACAGTCTCCACATTAACGTTGTAGATAGTTTCAAATTCCTCCTCGGAGTCAGACTCAGCTTCTAAGACGGCGGATGCGTCGGCAGCCGCTTTGGTAGCGGCGAGGGACTCGGCTTCGTCTCTCTTGCGCTCTCTCTCCTCCCTAAGCTGAAACTGCAAGTTGGCCTTGGCCCTCAAAATCGCCAAGTACTCGCCGCTTTCGTTCAAAACATAGTGCAATGTGTGTTGCACCTCCTGCAAATATCTCTCAAACACAACCAAGTCGGCATCAAAGTTAAACAACTCGTCTCTGACGTCGAACAAAAAGTTCTTGATGGCATAGAACTGCTTCCAGTCCTCCCACTTGTTCCCGTAGGTGTTGACCAAGTTGGACAGGAACTGCTGTGTGGACACCTCACTGAAGTTTTCCAATACATCAATGGAGATTTGCTTCTCTGTGTTAATCTTGTTTTGAAGGAGGGATGTCTTTTCGCTCAAGAGCAGCTTGACGCTATCTGAGTTGGTGTCGCGATTCTCGTGGGCCGCAGCAAACACATCTCTGGCATCTTGTCTAGACACCTGGCGCTCGCTAGGGTCAAGGTTGTCCGACTCAATCTTCAAGATCATTTCGTTCAATTGTTTGTAGTAGACCTTGGAGCCATTTTGGATGTTTTGCAAGTGCTGGGTGATCACCGGCTTGATTTCCTTCAAAACTTCCTCCGCAAACTCGCTGATGCTTTTCTGTAAGTCGGCAATGGAGGACTGGCTGATATCGATGACCGAGGCCTTCCATTGTTCAATCTCGCGCTTGATATTGACATCCTCGTCTGGAACAACGTTTTTCTCTTGGACTGGCACTACTTCCGTGCCGGTAGCATCGAGGGTGCTGGTGGCAGTGACTGTGAGGGTCCGGGTCTCTATTGGTCCTAATTCATCCTCAGAGTCTGGATCAGAATTGTCAGAGTTATCGTCAGACAATTCCGGAGAGTCTTCAGATACAGCTTCAATGGTTTCATCGTTTTCAGACGCAGTTTCAACTACTTCATCGTTTTCAGATGCAGTTCCAGCGACTTCAACGGTTTGCTCGGCGGTTTCAGCAACCTCAGTGGCTGATTCAACCGATGCTTCAGTAGTTTTAATGACCGTTTCAGCAGATTCAACAAACTCAGTAGCAGATACGCTGGAAGCAAAAGTCTCAGAGACAGCCTCGGATGTTTCAAATACAATTTCACTTTCAGCACTGGCAGGCTTGTAGTAGTTTTCCGCGACGGCCTCGACGGCACCGGAAATCTTACCAAAGAGACCTCTGGCATCGTCAGCCATTTCCGCCTGGTAGTAGTTGATATTATCAATGATGTTGTTTAAGAAGCTCAAGTTAACCCGGTGGTGGCGCTGGGTCGTCCCCTCCGAGTGCTTGGCGACAAAACTGTGAAACTCCTCCTTCAAAAAGTGCTGCTTCTGCTCCATGACTGCCTTGTAATCGTGCGACTGCTGTTTGACATACTGGAAGAATCTGACAAAGTGTTGGCCAAGTGGAGTCTTAAGAAACTCTGCGTACTGCGCACAGACAAAGGCATCAACAACATCCAATTTTGCAAAGTAGTAGAAACGAATGACATTGGTGCGAAGGTGGAGCTGGTAGATATTCACCGCGACAGGCTTGATGGACTGGTGGAAGGTGGAGTGTACCTGAGGCAAGATCCGACTTCTGGTGTAGGCAGAGGCAGTGGTGTAAGCCCGTTGCAGCTTCAGCTGCGCAACGTGAAAAATTCTTACGGCGTGGATCTGGGCTTTGGAGAGGACAAATGTGGAGTGCTTGATGACCACAGGCTTGTAGGTGCAGAAAAGCCGGGTGGTATGGACCCTGGCGAGCAACACCTTTTCGGCCAAGTGGTTACGATAGAACTGATTAGCCTTGTGCCACGATTTCTGGGAGTATGGAGAAAGCACATCAACAAAGAAAGACTGCACCGGTGCAAAACCCTTGGTGATTTCTCCCAGACGCGCAGTAATACTATTGACAAAAACGTAGTAGTGCGCCACATACGGCTTCATCTTCTCGCTCCAGTGCGCATCATAGTGGGCTTGGACCTGTTGAAACACGACCTGACCGTTCTGAAGCTGCGTCGTCACAAACGGCGTAGCCTGTTGGACCAACGGCTCAACGTGTTTGGCATAGAGCTCGTGAGATTGGATGGCGGTTTTGCCGTGCAAGATAGCGGGACACAAGCCAGAGTAGTTGCCATCGGAAGGACACTTCCAGAAGGCTAGAAGCGTGACATAGGCAAGTAGGATATTGACTAAAACGAGCTTGTAGCTGCGGAGTAGGCAAACCATTGTGATGTGGATGTGAAGGAAAGTAGCGCAAACGTGTTGGTATGCCAGATATCTGTCCTTAAAGGTGTGTGTGCGTGTGTGTGTGTGTAGGGCACGACTGTGGCCACCAGCATGTGCACGGAAAGGAACCCTGAGGGGTGCAATAATACTTTGTAATAGGTAAAAGTAGTGTCCCGGTAATGGTTATAATGTAAACGGATAGCGAGGTCAGAAAGTTTGAGTGGAATTGAAAGCATATGCCTGAAGTTTGTAGAATACCATAAAATGGCATTTACTTGTGTCTCACCCACACACTCTCGTTGCTCGTAGCCGTTCAAGCTACAGTTATGGAGAATAAAAACATGGGGATATTTCGCACCAGGTAGGCTTTATTAGGACAGAGATTCACCCACAAAGCGGATTGATACCTTTCGCGTGCAGACTAAAATAGATATAGAATCGAAGAAAGTGATTTCACCATGATCGTGGAGATGAGAAGCTGTGAACCATATTTTCTTAAGCCTGGATCAAACTTTTACGCTTGACACACGTATCACTCCGGTTGGTGTACACATATCGTCATTTAAAGTTAACTGGCTATTGTATTATAACTGTAGTAGCATTATACAGCAATCCTACGCTAAAACAAAGACCCCCCCCCCATTGTCTAGATTTCTGGTTTAAAAATTAAGGTATTTTAGCCCCATTAAATATCGTCAAAAATCGCTGTTACAAAACCATAATACCTGAAAGCACCGTTGTCCCATCCGAACCTTGGGTGACGTGCCTTTGTGGCCGCACACTTTATGCAGGCGCCGAAAATTTTAAATTTTTATTCCATACATGATTTATACAAAGATAAAGTCTCTTCTGCCAACCCAGATCGATTAGTCTACACAAAATGGCAAAGAGAAAGGCGGAAGAGCCTCAGGCAGAAAAGCCTACTAAAAAAGCATCCAAAACTGAACAAAATAATCGCTTGTCCAATCAATACACCTTGTGCATTCCCTCCGCTGTAATCTCTCCAGCCAACGCCTACAGCTTGGAACAAGCCACGTTCATTGCCTACCAGATCGCCAAGACGTGTTGCACTTACGACGTGGGCGAAATTGTGATTTTGGATGTGACGGAACCGGAACCAAACGTCGCGTCGGTCAAGGTTACCTCTGGCGCAGAAGAGGCGGTCATCATGGATAACGGTAAGAAGAAGATCAAGTTCAACTTCGATGATGATTTTGCCGATACCTCTAAAGACAAAGCGGCTGCTAAAAGGGCAGTGGCGGCTGCAAGCACCATCTCAAACGAATCGTTGCTTTTTGCGACCTTGTTGCAGTACTTCATTACCCCGACCTACCTCGCGAAGTCCCTCTTCACCGGCAACCCTACGACTAAGAAGTTGTATCCGATGTTACAACATGCGTTAAAATTGCCTAAAATCTCCACCTTGCCATTTATGCAGAACAATGAGGTGTACAAGAACTTCAAGGAGGGGTTGACCATCCCCCATCGACGCGTAATGGGTAAGAAGAACAGGTCGAAGAAGATGGCCAAGACAAAGTACGTCAACATCGGTGAAAGCGAGCCATTGGAGTTGGCTGAGGGGCAGGAGGTTCCAGTAAATGTCAGAGTTACCGTGGACCTCTTGAACAAGAAGATTGTGTCGCCAATTGACGCGTACGGTATTCCGCAAACCGCCAGCGTGAAGACCTCCTTTGGATATATGGTGAGAATCGCCAAAAAGTTCAGCGATATTTTCACCGAGTGCGGGTACGGCGAAAAGGGCTACGACCGCTCTATCTACATCTCTGCCGGGGATTATTTCATGAATAAGGGGCAGGGCAGACAGTTGGCTGAGATCAAGGAGGTGGGCACCGGCACGGACGATGCACAGCGCGTGCTCTTGCTCTGTGGAAAATGGAGCGACTTTGACGCAAGCTTTGCGCGTGACCGCGCCTCCTTGGAGGGCGTTGCGTCCACTGCGCAGATGTTCGAAGGTGAGATGCGCGTGCCGCACGGCGTGAAGATTGAGGACGGTGCCTTGATCGCGCTAGCCAAGTTACACAACTAATACCAATGTAGTATACGTATATTAGCAATATCGAAAAGATGTAGGAGATATATATGTGGTGATTTGGGTATAACAAAAAAATAAGCGGTGCGCTCCGAAGAGGACTTGGAGGGATAACCAGGCTTAGAGGCGGGAAAGACATCCAGAGTAGAAGATCCATATGCGAGATTCACTAAAGATGCATGCTAAAGATATCACTGGCATCCACTTTGGTCACGGTTATATCGTATCCTACGAGAAAATCAATTCTTCATCCAGATCTGGATCCCTATTGCCTCTAACCTGCAATGTCTCATCTCAACGTCCCGAGATTGTTCAGGCTCTACAGCCGCTAATTTCAGTGTTTGCTATCATATATTACATCATATCGCAACCTCTGACTCTCCATGCCCATCCACCTAAATCTCAAAACTCTCCTCCCCAGAGTCAAAGTAGGTGGTGAAGGCAAAGACGCTGGCGTAGATAAGGGACCCGCCAAGCTCGGTCAAGATACAGGCCACGGTGGTGAGGATCAAAGAGTGGCACAACACAAGGGGAATGGCGAATCCGGTAAATAACAAGAAACCGCTCAAAAATTTTCCAAAGTCGTTCACGTAGATCGACGACTCGTTCATGAAATCGTCGCGCGAGTAGTTGTTGGTAACCACCATCGGTAGATGCGCCACACTGAAGATAAGGGCAACCAAAATAGGGTACCAGTTGCCGTAGATTGCACCGGCGAGCACAACAAAGAGGAAGCCGAGTGCCAACACGTACGACAAGGATATTAGTCTGGCCAAGGGGCTCTTCTGGGACATTTTAGGAGATGAATAGGAAAAGGGGTTGCTAAAATGCCTTTATCAATAGATTTCCCGATAGCGATATAGCTAGTCAATTTTGTGATAAGGGTAGAAGGATAATGGAAGCAATTAGAGTGGCTACGGAAGGCTGAAGTGGCAGCCTTGGCTACCGTCAGTTATCGGAGCCCCCATCAAAAATCCTGCACGCAGGTCTATCGGCGAATGTGAGAAGCTAGCCAGGCAAGACAGGGAGGGGAGTGTTTGCTAGGATCATCAAAATTGATTAAATCACCGATTAAATTGTTCTATCACGAGTATTACCAATGAGTAAAGATTGAATATTTACATGATGGTGCTGAGTGTCGGGGTTTTGAAGCTAGCCAATGCTAGGGCCTTGAAGAGGGCTCTTCTTGTATATAGTCAGTGCTACAAGTGTAAAGTAATACGTTGCAGGCACCCTTCGGCTCGCCAGACCTTTTTTTTTACCCAGAGTGGCACGATACGGTTACCCTTATAGTAAGGAATTCCTAGTCTTCCTCTTGGTTATATGTCTGGTATATAAAGTAATCAACAATATCCTTTCTTAGCTAATAACATATGCGATTGACTAGATATAATGCAGCATCACATATATATGCCTGCTGATGAAGACTTTGACTCATATGCAGCTCTCGGATCAATAAGAGGCAGGTATAATAAACTACAAGCTACTTACCCACAGCCAAGTACATTACTAATGATATACACAAAAATATCCTCATATTAACTTTCATCAGACTTACACTTCAATACAAAAAACCCCTTTGTCCTGCACCGAGTCCTATCGCCTCCGAAGTTACCCTCTTAGTAACCGCACGCTTCAACATCTACACGAAAAACGCCACCACTCAAATGTAACCAGCACCAGACAACGTAAACCATCCACCTACATCACACAATTGATGCAAAATGGTACGTATAAATCAATTGCAGTTGTCTGAAGTACCGGGTCACGCTCAAATAGAGCCATTCTGGTTGTCAATCTGGATGCTAATCTGATTACTTCAATCTGAGGTGAATGCTGCACTCCGCGGCGAATCCGTTGCTTCATACCTTTGCAGGTCCTCGTAATTCCATTGGAATTGGTCCGGATGTGTATTAACCTTTCCAGTTTAGAAACAACTACGACAACGACTCCGTCACATACTCCCCCACCGGCCGCGTGTTCCAGGTCGAATACGCCTTGGAAGCAATCAAACAGGGCTCTGCGGCCGTCGGGCTAGCCTCTAAGAAACACGTCGTATTGGTGGCATTGAAGCGAAACGCGGAGGAGCTTGGCTCGTACCAGAAGAAGGTTCTTAAGATTGATGACCACCTCGGAATTGCCCTTGCGGGCTTGGCCCCGGATGCTAGAGTGCTCTCCACTTACTTGAGATCCGAGGCAATGCAGAGCAAAATGGTGTTCAACAGACCATTGCCGACCCAGCAGGCAGTCAACAGCTTGGCTGACAAGGCGCAGAACAACACACAGAGCTACGGTTCCAGACCGTACGGGGTGGGTTTGTTGGTGGCGGGCTACGACCAGACAGGCACCCACTTGTTTGAATTCCAGCCGTCGGGTTCCGTGTTGGAGTACGTGGGGGCTTCCATCGGCGCCAGATCTCAAGCCGCCAGAACCTACTTGGAGAGAAACCTCGAGACTATCACTAACTGTGCGACCCACGAGGAGTTGATTGTTCACGGCTTGAATGCCTTGCGGGACACCTTGTCGCAGGACGTTGAGTTGAACCTGAAGAACACCAGTGTCGCTGTGGTTGGTGAGGGTGTCAAGTTCACGTCATACGACGATGAGAACGTCCAGCAGTGGTTGGATAAATTGGACTCGGTGAGTAACAACAGAAACAGTGGGGATGTTAAGGAGGAGGAGGACTCAGCTGGGGCTGTTGACTCTGCTGAGGCCCCAGTCGAGGCTCCGGCTGACGAGGATAGAATGGACACCACTGAATAAACGATTGTAGATTCACCATTTCAGTACCCGAATATATCTGTATATTATAAAGCAATCTCCGTAGCTTGAATTCGTGAAGATCGGAGTTGGTCGAGTGAACTTTTCACCCCGCATGTAACATGAAAAACAGGTTTGAGCCAAGGCACCGTGGGTTGCTAAGCACTTGCTATATACATGCCTACACTCCATATTGCCTTGGTCAGATCTCAAAAACATCGCACAAACTGGATATACCAGTAAACACAATAGTTATCGCATCATTTTCTCATGCCCTTGGTAATTCTCCACGGACCAGCCATCTTCACATACACCCTCGCCAACATCATCCTCGACCTGGGCGCCTTCCGAAACAGAACAAATATCCTCATAGTGGAAACTCCAGGCGAGAACCAATCCCAATTTTGGTGTTACAACCCTACCAATGATTGCACTCAGTTTATTCTTCACGAGAACCACATTCTTCCCGTAGAGAGCATGGTCCGTTCACACGGAAGGGACACGATGAACATGGATAGAGTTCCTAACTGCATTATATCGCTAAAGCTAGGTCCTCATAAACCCCAAGGTTTCCTCTACAACCCGTCGGTATACCTTCACCACCTACGGGCTAAGCTTGGGCAGACGGGCCTGGTCTCCTACACATCGTTGCTCTCGCATTACGAACTCTCGCATCACTCACTCGACCGTTTGGCGCGCCAATTTCAGGGCCAAGTGATGACATTTGACGCACTGAGTCTTGCAGAGCAATCCCACTTGCTCCGACGCGCCGGCTCCGGGGTATCCCTCTGCAACATGCACTGCACCAACTTTGACCTCCCGCGTCTGTGTTTGGTGCCCAATCGCGGCGGTGAAACGTACCAGATCACCGGAAACTTCCACAGCCAGCTTACGGAGCATTATGTAGTACAAGGGCCCACGCTCACGAGCCACACTCTGGCTCTTGCAGAATGCTTGCGCGTGGGGTTCCAAGTGTATGAGGAGATCATCTATCCGAAGTTCATCCATGGAGAATTCCATGCCAACTGGCATAAAATATGAGAGCGGAATGGTAGTTCAAACTTTAGACTTTTAGCGATTAAACTTCCCTTTAATGGGAACTATGTTGTCGCTATAAGGATTCAACATTGAGAGTTTGCCAGCAGATTCCCTGCCAGCAGCATTGCGGCCTTAAGCTTTTACTATAACCGAAATCTCCCGAAATAGGTAGATGAGCCAATTACATGTGTTTCTACCAAGTATGAAGTTTAGTAGGGCTTTCAATGCGATTGCCAAGTTGCACTAATCCTGAATCTAACTCAACCTTAAAGCGTGGACGAAAGGTGAGGCTTACTTGTTATAGAGAAATAAACTACGTTAGTGTGCAAACCATACCTAGATTTTTGACGCCAATATCACTTAATTCCCAAAGTTTAGATTTATTCTTGACGATGCAATGTCATGCTCAGTTTACCAAAGACGTTCACAGTATTCCGTCTACGACGTTAATAGTTTTCTTCATCCTTTTTTACTAGCATTTAGACGTATTGACTGATATAACACAGAAAAATATTATAAGATAATAAAAAGTAACCCAGCCATTCATAGCTATACGAAACCTAACCACATCCCAGACAATCATTTCATTGCGTGCCCGTACCACCTCGGAGCGATCTGATGGCTAATCTCGTAAATAGATGTCAACACTATCTCAATTGTACTATCCATTGCTTACACCACTTCTAGCTTTTCATACCAATTCCTTGCTACCACATTGCTCCCATAATGGCCGACTCCTCTGACACGCATTTGGAGCAGCTCTTGGCCCCCACGGATGACCTCTTTCTCAGCTCGTTGAGCTCCGAGGACTTTCTTGAGAATCTCGCACCACTCGTGAAGGACTCACTTGCCACAAACTCGCTCAATAGCCTACTCACCAAGTTAGAGGGCATTGCAACCCAGAAGGATGCCGAGTTGGAGCAGCTTACACAGGACTCCACGGAGGACATTCTCGCGGCGATAGAGGGGATTTCGCTGGTGAAAGCCAACTCAGACACGATTAAAGACCAGATTCTTGAGGTCAGCAGCAACTTGGAACGCACGGGTTACGAACTTGTCGCACGCAAGAAGAGTCTCGTGCAATGCAAAGCCGTGCGTGCGCGCATCCAGGAGACAACCGCCACGCTCAACGCGTGCTTGTATGTGTTGGAGTTGACGAACAAGGTGCTCGAGTTGATCCGCGAGCGGCGCTATTACAACGCGTTGCGCAACCTCGAAGACTTGTCGCACGTGCACTTGCGCGAGGTGGGTGACTTTGCCTTCGCGGCGAAGATCGCGCAAAGCATTCCTGCGTTGCAGCAGATGATCCAGAACGATTCCCTTGAAAACGTCACCAAGTGGATGGCGCGGGTGGAAAAGATGTTGCCTGCAGTGGGCGGTGTCTTATTCGGCCACATGCGCGACGTCAGTGCGCACTGGGCGAGCGCGTGCGCGGCGTCTCCCGCGTTAGACAACTACATGGTCAACACACCCGTGGAGCGTGCATTGCGCAGCGTGGACCTCAGCCTTGACCTATTTGATCCGGCGCTTTCGCTCCAGCTTGACTTGACCGTAGTCTACGACGCCATCTTAGTGTACCAGACGGTTCACCAGATGGACTTCTTCATAGACAGCTTCCAGACCGAGTGGTTGAAAAAGAAGGAGCGCGTCATCAGACCCTTGTCGCTAGACACCAATTCACAAGTCAGCTTTGAGTATGACGAGCTTAAAGCATACATTCACAAGGTGGCGGCATTTTTCGCGGTGGATCGCGCGGTTACGGCTCATACTCATGGCAAGTTACGTACGGAAAAAGACAATAATGATCTCTGGGGCGCGTTCATGTTACTTTGCAGCCCCATGCTTCGCGCCTTTATCGACGACCTCGATACCATGGATGAGTTCCACCAGACGCGCGACTTGCTCGGAGGGTTTTGCCAAGTGATGGAAAACTGCGGGTATAATGTCGTCGCAAGCGGCCTCTACGGCTGTCTCGTGCATTTGTTTGAGCGTTATTCACACGCGTTGATTCGCATCTTTGCGCATACCTTCGCCGCCAACATCGACGAGGACGACTGCATGCCTATGGTTATCCAGGACCCAGGCCTCTACGCACAGGTGGTGGCGGTGTGCTGGTACGAGCCACCGGAGGCGGAGCTCACGAAACGCTTCCCGCGCGCGCTCCCCTTCAGCAACATCCTACCGTTATCTTGCCAACAGATCCAGACTTTTGTGCTCGACCACACAAAATTCATAGCTAATTTCTACGCCCACGACGGAAACGTCCTCTGGGGCATTCTTATTGATAATATCGAGCACATTTTGAGCCAGGTGATCTGCGAAAAGTATACTGCAAAGTTGACATCCACCACACGAGAGGAAATCTCTCAGAACTTGATCAACCTAGAGTTCTTCTTGCATTCGGCTAAAGAGCTCGCGGAATACCTCTCGGTGTTGAAGATTGGTGGCATCCTGCGAGATGTGCACCTCTCTTCCATCGCGCGGTTTGTACAGACAAAGAAGATTGCCGAAGACAGTTTGTTCGGCAGTGTGGACAAGCGAATCGAGGATTTTATGGGGATTGTGGAGTACGACTGGTTCACCACCGTGCGCTCCGACCAGCCCAACTATATCATCAACGACATTGGCCGCTTTGTGGAGGACATGTTCATCCAGACGTTCTCCAACTTGCCCGGCAGCGTCAAGACGCTCTTGTTGTTCCGGACGTTTGATAAATTGGCCGACCACTTCCTTGGGTTTCTCCAGGACGCGCCGGAGTTCACTCCTGTGGCAATCGAGAACTTTGATCTCGATGTGACACTTTTGGAGAACACCATCAACGATCTAGACGCTGGAACCGAGCCGCCTGCCTCCAAAAAGGCCCAGAAGAGTGCCGTTTCCTTGTCCTCCACGTTCACCGAGTTGCGCCAGACTATCAACTTATTGCGGGAAGGGAATCTTGAGGGCTACAAAGACTCGACCGTACGGATGCGAAAATACGACCGGATCAAACAGGACGACGCTGTGGCGTTGCTTAACAAGTTGCAGACTGAGGATGAGGAGGATGAAGTGTTTGCCAGGGAGGGTTCGATGTCGCCGCGCGGGATGAGCTCTAGAAAGTCGTCATCTAGGATCGCCTCCTTGTGGGGGCGCAAAAAGGACTCGCAGAGGTAGTCCCTAGTATATGAGTCAGGGATAGTTATAAAAATAGGAATGGTGAGGTGGTTTGAATAAAAAGCTACAATTGATATTGGAGCATTTCTGAGGAAAGCTACAGCGTTTTATTGACAAAGTTTCAGATGTTCGGTATATATATGGTACTTCATCTGGGTGTAAGGTAATCCGGAACGAGCTCGAAGCGAGCAGTGTAGTATAGTCTGGAACGTGACAATGTGGATTTATCTATGGTAATGGCTAACGAGATGGATCCTGTACTCAACTGGTTGTGAAGGTGTATACAAATATCCCCAGAAAATGATAACAAAGAGCATACAGTTATAAAAATATGATATTCTTCGTGATTCATGTACGAACGTTCCTGGGACACCTGAAGGGTAGTTTAGATCAATGTCTCGGCCCGCATGCTCCATCATATGGTCAGTAGTCTCTTACGAATGCGGGTTTAACTTTAAGACCTAGCCATAAGGTTCACCTAATGTCCACCGGTATTACAAAGCTGCAGTCAAGGTACATCTTAGAGCTCCGAATGAAAGTATATAGAAAGTTCTCATTTTGTTTGTTTCTGGGCGTTGGACTAGCTAAAATAAATGCGACTACCATTCGGACTCACCGTTGGCTTTCTGAAAGGCATAGTCCTTTCCGTTGATGTTGGCCACACCCTCCTTCAAGTTAGACTTCCACTTGTTCTTGACTCTCTGTACCTTATCGTACAAGCACAACATGGTGTTGGTTTCCACGTCGCCCTCGCCCTCACCTTCACCGTCGAAGTCGGAGTCGTTGAGGAGGTCGTCCTCATCACTGTCGTCCAAGTCGGAGTTGATATCATCGGAATCGTTGAATCCCTCCTCATCGGAGGAAATATCAGACAACCCTTCTAGAGCCGGGTCGTTGGAGTGGCTTCTCTCCTTCTTGACCCTCGTCTTGGGTTTCCTCTCCTTCTTCACCTTGACCGCCTTTTCGCCATTCAGTGTATCAATCGTCATTTCAAAGTTGGCTTTTGTGTCGGCTTCTTCCTTCTTCAATGCCGCCTCTTCGTGCTTGATTTGCTCCGCCGCAGCGGCCTCTTCTGGATCCGGCCTTGGATCCCACGAGAACTGGCCGACACCAGTACCGCTCAACTTTTCTCTCCATATTTGCATCAACTCTTGTAGGGTAGCCTCATCGATCCCACTGTCTTCAAAGTCCTGTCTGGACTCGTTGATGACATCGTCGATGATCGATTCGTATAGTTTTGCCTAGAGCGTTAGTATGGATCGCGAAAATCTCCAGAGGTCACGTACTGCTTCGGCCGCCGACATTGTAATAAGCTGTGCAAGTGAATGTATGGATTATACCCTGAAGGATGGGTAAGTATCGGTGTAGAAATCAATAAATGAAGGCAAAGTGTCAGCGCAACCGGAGGCCATCTCTTTCTCAAAGGGGCACTTTCCTTATATACCCGGTGCATGCACGACCTGATACATTAGATTGGATAATGTAGTAAACATATTTGTAGTGCCGAAAATGCCCGTCACAGTGAAGACCTATACGCAAAATATATTCCAGCCTTGCGATTATCGATATGGCAGATTGCAAAGGTGCTGAGAAATATGCCAAGTATATATTTAGTTAATGATTAAACACCACCAGCCCATTAGTATCAGCGTAAGCTCTTTGTGTTATCGCAGTTAATCCTCAGTCTTGTCATCATCGCCTTCCATCTCCACAAACTGGTCCCAGAGTTTGACAAGCTGGTTCTTCTCATTTCGCTCGTTCTCCATCTGGATCTTGAGGCTTTCAATTTCACGCCTTAACGTCTTGTTGTCAAACTCCAAATTGTTCAATTTTCCGTTCCACTTCGTCTCGTAGCCCTTTTTGAGAATAGACACCTTCTGTTCGTGTTTCTGTGAGTATTGGATGTACAAGTCCTGTGCCAATTGCTGTAACTTCGTCTCGGTACCTGCTTCTTGTTCGGCTAGGCGCTCTGTCAAGTCCTTGATCTGCGAGTGGAGCTTCTCCATCTGTACTTGGGACTCACCGGCTTCGTGCGACACGGATTGTTTCTCCTCCACCAAGCCACGGTTGACCACCATTAGCCGGTTCACCTCACCGACTTTCTGTGTAACAACTTCTTCAAACTCAGCACACTTTTCGTTCAAATCGCCAATTTCCTGGTCGTACGTATCTCTTTGTTGGACCAAGTGCTTTTCTAACTGGTCGCGTTCTAACTTGAACTCTTCTGCTTCGTTCTGAGCCTTCTCGAAAGCATCCTGTAACTCTTCAAGTTGAGTCTCGCTGGCCTCTAATTTCCGGCCCAAGCCCTCTATTTCAGCGACCGCAGCCGCGGTCGATTTGGCAAGCTCCAGCATCTTGGCACTCAGTTCGTCGGAGGTAGATGTCAAGGCTTCGATTTCAGCCCGTGAGTCCTTCAACTCTCTTTCCTTTTCCTGAAGTAACAGCTTCGCATTAAGGTACTTTTCATTAAGCTCCTTCAAGGATGCATTCGTAGCTTCTAGCTTCGCTTCTTTCTCATCCAAACGGGTACTGCGCTCCTCAGCTTCATTCTCAAGCCCTTCAATCTGGGTGGCTTTTTCCACGAGTGTCTTCTGGAGCTCACTAAATTCTTGGTTCAAGAGAACAACCTTGTTGTGCAAATCACCAGTGTCCAGTTCCTTTGCCTCGAGCTCAGCAGCAAACGTCTCCAACTGTTGCTCCAAGGACTTGTTGTCAATATCTTGCTTTTCAATCGTCTCTTTGAGCTGGGTGATATGCTCGGTGGATTGTTGGTACGCAGCCACTGAACTTTTGTTTTCATCTTCAAGTAACCGCATTGTCTCAACCGCCTTGGCGTTCTTTTTCACCATTTCATCGTAATCTTCGGACTTTCTTGCCAATTCGTCCTGTAAACCCCCAATGCTGGATTCAGAATCAGCAAGCCGAGCCTGTATTTTCTTTCTCTCTGCAGCGATTTCCGCTGCCTCTGTGTTGGCCAATGCGAGGGATTCCTTCAACCCTTGGATCTTTGCAATAAACACATCGTGCTTCAGCCGATAGGCCTCCAACTTCCGATCCTTGGAGTCTATGCTGCGCGATTGCAACTTCACGTCCTTCTTCAAACTCAAGTTATTCTGCTCAGCAGCATGTAACTGAATCTTGACCAACTTCAACTCCTTGGACACCTGTTTGTGCAGAAGACCCAAAGTCGTTACCTTGGTATTGAGATCCAAGATTTGCTTCCCCTGCCGCAGGACCTCGCCATTTAACTCGACAATCTCTCGGGTTTTTTTGGAAATTTCCGTCTGTAAGCACTCAATGTCCTGCGAATGATCATCCTGGACGGTCTTCATGTGGTCGATTGAAAACACTGGTCTGGAATTTGGGTTCATGGAAAGCGTAAAGTCATCTTCATCGTCGCTCACCATGGCATCGTCATCCGATGGCAACGCGTAATCGGACGGTAAGTAGTTTTTGGAAGGGCCATCAGTATCAGATTGGTCCGATTCCATGCGAGAATGGTTGTGCAAGAAGCTGTGGCTGTTCAAGGGGCTCGTGGTGCTTTGCACGCCGGGGGAGAGTGTGGGATCCAACGCCAACACCGAGTCGTCCATGATTCGACTATGCTGATCGTTTTCAGGGCTGACATTCACCGCATGCGTGAATCTCTGGGGAGTATTCATATTGTTTGAGAGGATAGGCTCTTCCTCTTCAGAGTCTAGCTGCTGGGGGTGGCCTTCTTCTGCCATGCTGAAAGGTTCTAGTCTCGGCACCTTTCGCGCTGAGTCATTGATACTCACAGCATGGCGTTTGCTTCTATCGATGGGAGACGAATATGAAACGGGGTCACTCAGTGGATTGATCGTGAAGTACTTCAGCGGTGACACGTATCTGAGACTGGCCTTTGGCCCTTCACCTATATTCTCTTTATCAGTTTTCTTCGGGCTCCTACTCGGCTCTTCCGCTGGCACGTATGCAGATTTCAATCTCTGGTCCAAGTTGATCTTAGTGGACTTTAATTCTTGGAGCGCCTCAGGGTCCATGTTAACGGCATCAGGTCTGGGGCAGGTTAGCGGAAGACGTTTAGTTTCCTCTGTATCATAATTGGTGGCTGTAGGATGGTGGCTTTTTCTTCTGTTTCTCTGCTTCGCCGCTAAACCGTGGGGATGAATACTTGCATCGTGTTTTGATTCGTCTGGAGAAAACAGCTCCGCCATCTCCAACATCTGCTCATTTGGGGTATCCATTACGCGTAGAATGGAATTGAGTTGCTTTTAAGGTGCTGTCCTCAAGGAAAAAGGCGTGTAAAAATAAGATGACGCGCTTTTGATCTGGTCATCAGCAAGACGAGCCTGTTTTCATTACGCTCTGAGTGAAAATCCTATCTCAAGAATCAACACAGATCGGTGTAGTGCACGACCAGGAAGCAGATCGGTGCAGAGCACGACTGACACCCTGGAATCTACTCTGGAGTCGACGAGAACACGTACTTTATCACAAAAAACGGTGGCAGTGACATATAGCTATAGATTGTTCTTACTCACACCTCCGATGATATTTCTCTGTCCATTTGTGCTCGCTTCGTTGGCGATTTCCGCGGTCCAGGCCGGTTCGTACGCCCATGACGCCAACGTCATTGAATTGACACCAGCAAATTTCGACAAGGTAGTCCACGGCACAAACTACTCCACAATTATCGAGTTCTATGCCCCATGGTGTGGTCACTGTAAACAGTTGTTCCCAAAGTACAAGAAGGTTGGGAAGGTGGTCTCGGACTTGGCGGTTCAGGTGGCGGCCGTCGACTGCGACGAGCAGCAGAATAAGCAGTTGTGCTCCCAGCAGCGAATTGAGGGATTTCCTACGTTAATGGTATTCAGACCGTCAAAGTACAGTCATGACAGCCCTCCTCCTAAGAAGAGCCTGCATGCCGGTGAGGTATACAGGGGTGCCAGAGAGGTAAAGCCGATAGTTGACTTTCTCACCTCCAGAATCAAAAACTACGTCAAAAAGATCGGCAGACCAGAACATATCGGGAAATTCGTGGCTCAGGAAAAAACTAAGCATAAAAACAAGGTTATCTTGTTCACCAGCAAGTCCAACCCGTCTCCGTTAATCAAGACCGTCGCCATTGATTTCTTGGAAACCTTGGAGTTTGCGTTTTTGAAGGTCAAGGCTGACGAAACAGCCCGCATCAATGCAGTCTTGAATAGCGATCTCGATTTTGCCAAGTCTGTGTTAGTGGTGTATGACGTGGTCAATGGTACATACACACCACTCACTGGCGAATTGACTAAGGAGTCAATCGAGAAGTTTTTGCTAGACAGCGGTGCTAAACCATTGGAAGGGCCGTTGAGCAAGAGAGGCCGCTACATTGGGGACGTCAAGGAGGGAAAGGCCTCCAAGAAGGCGAGCAAGCCAAAATCGAAGGCTGGTAAAAATACCAAATCTCGGGCTGTGAACGATGAGTTGTAATGGGTGTAAGCTTTCACTGAAATAGAACTAACTTGCTGGTAATAATTTATTTGCCCTATAACGATAAGCCAGAGTAGAGAGTGCGGTGTGAAGTTATTGCCGTTTTAGGAAGTCAAGCTCGGCAAAAAAATCCTACATAATGATGTTCAGTACTGAAAAAAGTATCGAACCACGGATGTAAGAAAACGTCGGGTTCGAGATCTAGTCGCTTTATACTGTCCACGCCCCTTCAAGATGATGACCAAGTATTTTTCCAAGGTGTCCGTTAGATTCAACCCTTTTGGCCCAGAAGGTATGTACACACAGCAAGAAGTTCTCGATTCTGGCATCAAAGAACTTAACAAAGACCGTGGCCTGTCTGTGTTAAATTACGTGAAATGTGTTGGGGGTACCAGAGCCTTGAGCATTTCAAATCCCAAAGAACTCTCGACAACCATTTCAAGATTCAAAATCTCATAAGTCACTCCCAACATTCTCAGCTTCGCATACTAACACCCGTAGCTAAAACCGCCAGGTTGTTCCTTAACACCCTCCCATCCACAACCAGAGGTCAGTGTCCAGTGGACTTCAAGATTTTATCCGCCAGTTCTGCCGAAACCCCCACCATCAAGGTTACCTTCAAGGACAAAAACGCATTGGAATGTGACCCAACCGCGATGAGCTTTAGTGAGGCCCAAGAAGTCTTTGACAGACACTCCAGACAGTTGAAGTTGAAGGACGATCTTGAAAACTAGAACCGCCACACTTTTTGCATCATATGCCTTTGTCCCAGCTCCGGGAGGTATAGATTCGTCGGAAGTGTTGAACTTCTGTGTATTATAGACCGCTGAGTAGGTAACTCCTTCCAGCGTCAAGCCGACACAACTTAGCCTCTACCTTGTAAATATATCTCATTTGGCTTCGTGCGCTGTAGTATCAAACGGTGCGATTGTAATAGCTATAATTTACTATCTTACTCTACCTCTTAATAAACGGCCCTCTTGTGCTTAGGTAAAGCAGTTTTTCATAGGCCCTTGAATCACTTGTAAATGCTCCAACCCAGCCTTCGCGGTTTTCTGCATATGCGGTACTAAACATCGGCACGTATCAGCTTCGTCGGTCTGAACACCTGTCACACCAAGATGCTTCGCAATCAGGTTTTGATCGTGGGGGCCCCCAAATCTGGAAAGCTAACCATTATCAAGGGTATGTCTCGTCGGGAACTATCTAGGACGCACTAACTCTCACAGAAACCTTTGGCACGCTTCCCGAGATCATATCCGATGACACTCATTCAGGGCTAACCCACGAAATATCACTCACTACCAAATATTACACCACAGAGGTAGGCGTGATGATAGACGAATTCCAGGACCGCACCGAAACAAACACGCCCCAAGCCAAAGGGCTCACGGCGTGGTGCACCACTCTCCGCGACGAAGAGTGCCGCGAGCTAAGAGACGTATTGAGCGGGGTGGTTTTCACATTTAATCTCAGTGATTCCGTAGATCAGATTGACCACTACGGGTCTCAGTTGCTGCAATTGTTTGAGACGTTTGACGAAGACACGTTTGCCGCTGACCCCGAGTCGTTTGGCTGGGGCGGTATCAAGTTGGCAGTAGGGTTCCACCGTGACGACGACCCAATGGTGCTGGATGCGACGTTGGTACTGTTGGAAGATATCTTTATCGAAAATGGGGTGGAATTTGTGGTGTATCGGGAAACTGGTCTGGTATCTGATGAAGAGGGAAACAAGGTAGGCAAGCACCGGATTAAAGAGATCTTTGAGTCACACGAATGGAGTGGCATCGATATTGAGGATAAGACTCCAAGAGAGAGAAAGACTGAGGACGTCTGCAGGTCCTTGCTAACCGATGAAGAATTAAATTTGAACGAGATCATTTCCAAAATCGCCAAAGCAAGGTTAGATACGTCGGAGTTGCAGACGGACGAGGAGAAGGAGGCGCATGCACAAAAGATGGTGAACAGTATAATGGAGTACCTTGGGTAGAAAGATTAAGTAACCCTTGTTTATACGGTTGTTGATTGTACTTTGTGGTTCCATGCTCATTACAGTCTGTTTCTTCGGCTGAAACTAGGGTTAGCCCAATCCTCGTTTGTCTTGCTATCTTACAGTATAAAAACTTCTATATGGCAGATTCATCGATTGTCAAATCTGTCGTTGAATCTAGCCAGGTGGTCCGGTGTTGTTTCAGCATATGTTAATCATCTACCGTATTGTTATACGTTTCATAATATGAATGCACCTAGCACAAATCATAACCTTCTCTGGTCAGCCGGAAACACGGGAATGTCGTTAACAAAACATTGCGCTAGCAAGGATCTTGAATCGCAACGCAGACCGAGCCCAATACATACTTTAATACTCTTTATTTTATACTCTTATGTACACAATTAAACGCGTGTTAATCTTATACACCTTAACTCTCACTCTCTACATGATAAACTGAATGTTCATGTCCATCGGATGGGACGAACTCAACTGCGGCTTCTGGGAGTACTTCGGAGCCAAGATGCCTCTCATGTTGTTCAATAACGCCAAATAGCTCTGCTGTGGCTGCTGCGACAAGGTTTGGATGAACGACCAGCTCATGGCGCCGGTGGCCATCCCGTTCTCATTCGCATCCGCAGATGTCTGGTCATCCTTGCAGCCAGAAATAGACACCACATCCGCGGGTGACATTTTCATGCGGATCACTTGGTCTCTGTTAGAGCTCCCACCGCGCGAGACACGTTTGGCGATGCCTCCGAGGGCGGAAATAGCCCCACCAATGTTCCCCTGGGTATAGCTCAACACAGCATTTAGTGCGCCCATCCCGGCATCCTTCATCATGTTGGGCTCCTTGACCACCCCCTTGGTGGAGTAGACAAATGGCAAGTCCAACGCGGTCCCCGAATGGCAAGAGTCGTACAATGCCGTGAGACGGCACCCCTGCGGCAAAGGTTTCACCATGACGTCATGCATCAAGTCGTCAATAATCGGGCCGTTGGTCTGGAAGTCGAGTGGATAGATAACATCATCCATTCCGTCCTCCTCATCCCCGTCCAAGTCCTTAGTTTGGCCCCCGTGGCCCGAATAGTGGAAGAAGAGCGAATCGTTCGGTCTGGCGTCCTTCACCAACCACTGCATAGCGCGGATGATGTTCTCCTTCAACGGGATTCGATTCATCTGGTTTTGATCGTCGGTGAGGATTACCATGTCCTCGTACTTATAGCCATAATGGGAAACGAGGAAGTTTGACATGTTCTTGACATCGTTGATGCAGCCACGCAACGCGTTTTTCGACCCAGCGTAGTTGATCCCCACGAGGAGCGCCTTTTTACGCCCTTGACATGTGGAATACAGGAAGGTGTTGTTAGTCCCATAACCAAATGACTGCGGTGTCAGGGGTGGCGGAGCCATAGGGCGTTGATATGAACGGTCCCGGGACTGGTCCTGGCCCTGGTCCAGGTACTGGCTAGGCGGCGGGACACTGGGTCTGGAATAGCCATTCTGCTGATACCCGTTCTGGTACTGCTGTGGTGGTCCTGGTGGTCTATGAAAGTTTGACGGCGGTCCGGAAGGCGGCCGATAGTAACCCTGCTGGTTGTTATACTGCTGGTTGCCGTACTGTTGATTGTTGTACTGCTGGTCGCCGTACTGTTGATTGCCGTACTGTTGGTTACCAGAGCCTGGGTACATATTGTGTTGGATATGTCTATCCAGGGATGGTTTCGTAAGAGGAATTCAAAGTGTACTTTTAATGGCGTGGCTGTGGGGATGCAGAGACGTGTGGACGTGCGAAGTACGAGACCAGAGATTTTCCGTGCCAAGACGTCAGAGCTAGGCGGAGGATAGGTCATTGTCGTAAAATGCGTTTCAGGTCGGGCTTAGATAGAATGGGGTGGGTGGAACGAATAATAATATAATGGACTGAAACTTTTAGCGACTTTAGACTTTTCTTCGATAGGGGGATTTAGAAGCATGAATCGAACAACGAGCTGTCCTGTGTTATAATTGAAATTACCCAGATTACGGGAACTTATTCTACACGCAATACCCAAGAAATCGATCATGGGAAGCTGAAGGATTCTAGACCAGTCTTAACCAATGAACTACAAATAATCTCGTTTTATGTAGTAAAAGGAGTATTAATTTTAGTCGAGGTTGCAGAACTGTACACCGTTGTTTTGACCAATGCTCTTCACTAGTCTGTGTACTTTTATAAGCCATACTGGCATTCTCCAGTAGCTTCGTGCGCTACACCTAATAATGTTAAATTTAAAAGTATGCGTTTATATGGTTCACAAATTAACCATTAATAATGCAAATTGTTAAGCTGTTCCCTTGATCATTTATTACCAGCTTTAGGATGCCCTTGGGCCTTTTCCTCATAACAGCGCAGAAAAATTATTTTCCGGTATGCAGGACTAGTGTATATCTCCCAACTTGGGCGGGCACTACAATTGACATCGCCATACCGTACACTTGCAGATACCTCTCTCTCGGGTTGAATAAATCCTCATATTAAACTATGCCCCAGTCAGCTACGGCCTCAAAAAGCCTTTCCACATTCCGCGTCAAGCACAACCCCCCCAAGCCATTCTCGGTCAAAAGTCTACAAACCATTATCCACCTCAAGTCTTCCACCCCCTACGTTTCCGCATTGAAGCGAATTCAGAAACACATCATCCAACTCCCAAAGAAACAGCCATCTGTCAAGTATGTTACCGTGAAAGGGATGGGTGTGAAACCCGTCGAGAAGTTGATGCAGCTCGCCGTATTCTTCCAGGTTGAGGAAGGGTTCAAGGTGGATATGTTTACTTCTTCCGTGGAGGTTTTAGACGAGTATGTGGAGGAGGACGAAGAGAGTGGGAGCAGTGTGTTTAAGAAGCGCTTGGTTAGTTCCGTAGTGATGAGGATATGGAGGAAGGATGTGAAATAGGATAGCCATATATGAGACTTGAGCCTTCGGCAGCTTCAATTGATCAGAATTCAGGAACACCAAGAGAAGTATCATAGTGGTTGGCCGCTTGAAATGAGTGGGATCCTTCGAGTCAAAGCAACCCCAAGACTGTGCAAGGTTATAAACGGACCTTTTCTTTCCTCTTTAAGATAATTTTATGATTTTAATTTACGACCCGAGTTTTATATTATTGTAGTGCTTTATTCGCGGTTTTTCCTCAGAAGCTAATATTATCTTTCGGTATACCAGGTACTCCTTTGTGGCAGCTTGTTTTTGTTATTACCAACTCGTACGCCTATGATGTTTCCATTTTAGCTAGACATTTTTCTTTAATTTCCAACAACTCCTGAATGTGTCTGTCCAACTTTGGCTTCTTCGCGTGTCGGCCTGGAAGGTCCACTGGAGCTTTCTTCTCCTCGGCTAGCACTGCCTCCGCATTAAAGAGCTTCATCCCAAACGCAACAAGCTCCAAGCACTTCGTGTAGTCCCTTCTGAAGTAGCATAGCTCGGCGGTGTGTAACAACTGGGTCTTGTCCGTCTTCGACTCGTTCTTAAAATTTTGGATGGGGTATTCCAAGAACCAATCACCGGTATTGAGTCTCGGTCCACTCTTCCAGAACTGATCTCTCTGGGCCCGATATTCCTCATCAGTCTGGCCTTTACGTTGTTTGATATTGCCAGAAGTTCTGGTAAACACCACGGCACTTTTATCGGCTTGAGAGCTAGGCGTGACCTTTGGTTGTGGGTCCTGAAGCAGGAGTTCAGCGGTAGCTATCTCAAGCACGGCAGATTCTTGTGTGGGAGTATGGGGCTCAGACATTGCGGGATAGAAATGGGTGAGTATACGAGAGGTGGTATGTACAAATTGTTTGCTTTTCGATAATAAACGTGAGGTCTTTGCGTGAATCATGTACAGCCCGTGATGCTAAGCTACCTGAAAAATCTTTTAATCTTTTTAATCCTACATAGAAGAGCTTGACAATAAACAGAGAAAAAAGCTCTTATGCAGGACAAAAGATACACTAGATAGCTTAATTCAACTGGAATACACTTCTTTTTCTACCGTACTTCATAAGCATTTTAGGGTGAAGAAAGACAGCTAATCGGGTGGATTTGGTTAACCCTACAGTATATTTGTGTAGATACAATACCTGTCTTGGATTTGTTCCTCCTTGGTTTAATAAATTAGAAAAGTCATACGCGCATTTTCTTCTCCCTCCAAGTTTTTCCCGCCCTCCGTTTGGAAGAGGACTTTCCCCACTCTGGTAGCTGACGGAAGAAAATAATAGCCGAAACTACACTCTTTTTTTTGATTAAACTCGAGTGCTTGGTTCGAGTGTATCGATGTAAATTCGGAAAAGAATAAAATGGTAGCCATTTTCTCTACCTACACTCCAATAATTCCGCCGTTTGCACATAACCACCAGTGTCAAACTATATACGACTGCAAAGTGACATTTTGCTAGAGGAATATTCTAAGTTTACGATATAGCTAATCGTTCCCGCTCAAGGGATCCCTAGATTAACTGACCTATTGCGAATTCCAGTGATGGATAAGTTCATAATGATCATGGTAAGCCTTTACCTATGTTGGGTGTGAGGCAAAACGGGGCTGCTATCAACAAGCGGAGCAGTGCTCTGCGAATGCCGTGCCATTAATGGCCGTAGTATTCCATTAAGGATCATTTTGGAACGTGACCGAACATGTCACGAATTACGGTTTAGTCGGTAGCAGTTTTGCCTCTCGTCAAGAAGAGTTATCGTTTTTACCGACGTGTGGGGACAGCCGTTGACCCGAAAGACAGCAGACGCCGAGACACTTCCTTTACGTGAAGCCTCCAAGTTTTTTCCTGGTCGCTAAAGGCAGGAACATGCGCTTCAGATCTTATCGCTGCGGGTTTCCCCTGTAGGCGTGGCTATATGCCCGTCATCTCCTGCCTTTAAAGCGCAAGCGTCTGCCAACTAGCCTTCATGCATCCTCGGAGCTTTTCACAGATAGCCTCTGTATGGCATCAGCTCGCGTAACGGCAACAGTCTACAAATGGCGCTGGGGCTTCAAAAGAATATAAATATGGCCGGCTTCCCACCTTCCTCAACTCTCTCTGAATGTCTCCATTACCGATTAGCATAGTACCCAAGTACACCTCATACATTACATATACGCATAAAATGGAATCCACTCTCGAATACAAGTACCACCCAAACAAGAAGGCCACCTTTGTGCTTGCACCATTCTCCGGTGGCCAGGGAAAGTCTGGGGTTGAAGATGGTCCAGAACACTTAATCCAGGCTGGTATCGAATCCCAGATCAAGGAGCTCGGCTGGTCCACCCAGGTTTCCGAGCCGTTGAAGAACACCAACTACGAAAGCTTAAAGAACGACGATTCCGACACCCACGGTAACTGTAAGCGTCCAAAGATCGTTGGTGAAGCTACCCAGAAAGTCTACGAAGCGGTTAAATTTGCGGCCGAACAAGGCACCATGCCTATTACCTTAGGTGGTGACCACTCCATTGCTATTGGTACCGTTGCCGGGGTGCTTTCCAAGTATCCTAACGCTGGTGTCTTATGGATTGATGCCCATGCCGACATCAACACCCCCTTGACCACTGACTCCGGTAACTTGCACGGCTGCCCTGTTTCTTTCTTGATGGGCTTGGATCGCGAATCATACCCACCAAGCTTGCAGTGGGTGCCTGAGTGTTTATCCACCAAGAAGATTTCTTACATCGGGTTGAGAGACATCGACCAGGGTGAGAAAAAGATCTTGAGAGAACACGGCATTTCTGCTTTCTCGATGTACCACGTTGATAAGTACGGTATCGCCAAGGTGGTTGAGATGGCTATGGCTGCTGTGAGTGGGGGCGATAAGGACTGTCCAATCCACGTGTCCTACGACGTTGACGCCATTGATCCACAGTTCGTTCCTGCCACCGGTACCCCAGTCAGAGGCGGTTTGACCCTTAGAGAAGGTATGTATATTGTGGAGGCCGTGGCTGAGACTGGTAACTTGGTTGCTTTGGACATTGTCGAATGCAACCCAAGTCTCGGCACCGAAGATGCCCATATTTTGGACACCATCACCGCGGGCTGTGCCATCGGCAGATGCGCTTTGGGGGAGACCTTGTTGTAAAGATGTACATTAGATAAGAAATATTAATAAAGTAAAAACAAAGAAACGTATGAATGGTGTGCAGTTGGCCTACGCTGCAGGCTTCAAGTACCAGCCAAAGTCTCGGGCAATTTCTCCTATAGAGGCCTAGGAAGCATAACAAAAGTTCGAACTTAGATTTTTCTCAACTTTCATGCTTATTCAATCTTTATCAGTGTGAAACTATCGATGAAAGCCATGATTATGCAACGTACGTTGGTGGGCTAAGGCAGACAGTGGAAGAGCCCTAATCGCATTCGCAAAGCAACCCACCGGGCATCGACGACACATGACTGAGAGTTTGGACTAGAGTTTTCTGTAAATCCTCATAGATTGTTTTTAATCTCCAAATATGGCTACGAGTTCCACCGTCTCTACGGGAATATTTAGACTAGGTAACTGGTTAAAAGAAAGCCGCTCATGTTGGTCCACGCACCCTTAACGACAACATTGTGGTGATAAGAATGCCATGTGATTCTAGTTCAGAAAATAGACACTAGCACCAAATTAAACTTTCTCAGCTTGGAACAGCAAGCTTCTAACTCCGTCACGTCGCATTAATGACAGAGACAGCTCGAGAAAGTTGGGCAGCATATGCATACTCCACACCGGATATTCCCCAATCTACACTGCCTCTATGTGACCTGCACATAATATCCCTTACAGCCTCTACGTCCCGCAGCAAGGATATCTACATGCGTTTCCCAGTTGCTGGCATATAAATACTACCAGCTGCCATTGAAACTTCATTTATTTCTTTGTACCCACCACATTTTTCAACAATTTTCTTAGGTACACAATGTCTACCATTACTGCTTCCAACATCCCTGCGTCTGTCTCCAATGCCAAGTTGCAAGACTTCTTCTCCTTTTGCGGAAAAATCCAGTCCATTGACTCTAAGGACTCTGGGGCTATCACCAGAACCGTAAGCATCACTTTTGAATCTGCAGCTGCCTTGCAAACCGCCTTGTTATTGAACGGTGCTGAATTGGCCGGTAGTAAAATAGAGATCACCGAATCCAAGGGCGCCCTTCCTTCGGACGCTGCTGTCTCTCAGCCACCGGCTTACGCTTCCGCTTTGCAGCCACCTCCACAGCACCCAGACACTCTGTCTGGCACTGTCACCCCAAAGGAGGATATTTCTCAGGAAGAAAAGCCAAAGACTGCTATTTTGGCGCAGTATTTGTCCCACGGCTACCTTCTTTCAGACAACCTCATCAGCAAGGCTATTGAACACGACCAGAAGAACGGGTACTCGTCCAAGTTCAAGGGCTTTTTGGGCTCCCTCGACTCCAAGTACCACATCCAGCAAAAGAGTGCTGAGGCTGATAAGAAGTACAATGTCACCGACCAATTCCAGCAACACAAGCAGACCTTGGACCTGTACTTTGACAGTGCCAAGCAGACCGGTATAGGTTCCAAGATTCACGGATTCTACCTCAACGCCGCTAAGGATGCCAAGGAGGTACACGAAGAAGCTAAAAGATTGGCCGCTTTGAAGAAGCAACAACAGGAGGCTAGTGCTGGCACTTCCACTGATTCTGCCCCTTCTGGCAGCCTTCCGTCGTTTGCTGAGGCCACTGGTACCACCACCGATAATGACTATCCAGCTGATAACAAGATCCAATAGAGCATCTACTTGATCGTCATACTTTGTTTAGTATAACACTTTGGTGCACGCTTTCTTTTCGTATCTCTGTATTTTAATAAAATGATATTTTTATTGGGTGGTGTAGTTTTGTGGCTATTCGCTGTGTTTTTTTATCCCTATATGTTTAGGAAAGCGATAGTTTGAGGTCAGCTTTTTTTTTATAGATAAATAACCATGTCAAATGCATAGTCTATAATGCGTGAGGGCTCCACAACCTTCCCTTCCTGTTTGATCATGATTCTTTGATGGGTGTACAATGTATTTCCTGGAATATAATTAACTGTCAGAGCGGGAGTACCTCAAGAATTGAATAGAATTTACCAGAGTTTTTTTCAGTCTTAGCTACAAGGGAGAGAGCCAAGATTCCGGCCAAGGGTCTGTGAGCCAGCGCAGGCATCGGAGAAACTAGCACTCTGATCTTCCACTCGAGGCTTAAGCGAGACCACCCACAGAGTTATATCTATGATAGAGACTGTAAGAAGTCGTTAAATATATAATTAAATGCAAATTATCGAGCCAGTAGATGGTCCTTGCCGCTGTAGAGCTTCTCTCATAATTAGTCAGCCATAGTGCATGACGAGCTCTACACCAAGAGATCGCATTTGATTGTCCCACAGTCATGTCTCAGGTTCTCTGACAATATCCGAAAATCATATGGCAATAATTCATGAATATTCATTGTTTTACCTTTCTCTCCATTTGGACTGGAAAAAATCGTTGAAATTCTCGGAGTCTGGGCTGTCTCGGACAACCCTCCAGGCCAGACTACCCTTCGCTCCAAGCCCCTCGCACGCCACATCTGATTGCAGCCTGAATTCAAATTACCACTAGCTTAAATAGTCAAAGGTAACAGAAATGCATTCTTATTATTGTAGAGATGACCGGCGCTACGGCGCCTCCAAACCTTCTCACACTCTTCTAGGCGTCTCCTGCATCGAGCTAGGTCCAGGTGGCCACAGGCACGACTTAAAACTGGCAGCTATCTGATCCAACGCCGTATCGCTCTGGCAATACGACACACACACACCATGGGCCAGATTGTTAGTAGCTTCACAGGCATCTTCTCTAAGTTGTGGGGCATAGACCGAGAGATCCGCATTTTGATCCTCGGGCTTGACGGTGCGGGCAAGACCACCATCTTATACCGCTTGCAGATGGGCGAGGTGGTGAAGACCAAGCCGACCATCGGCTTCAACGTGGAGACGTTGAAGTACAAGAACTTGACATTAAATATCTGGGATTTGGGTGGTCAAACGTCCATCAGACCGTACTGGCGCTGTTACTATGCGAACACCGCGGCCGTCATCTTCGTGGTGGACTCCACCGATAAAGACCGTATCGAGACCGCCGCTAAAGAGTTGCATTTGATGTTGCGCGAGGAGGAGTTACTGGACTCTGCGTTGCTTGTGTTTGCCAACAAGCAGGACCAACCGGGCGCCATGACCGCCGCAGAGGTCTCGCAAGCTTTGTCCTTGACAGATTTGAAGGACCGTTCGTGGAGCATCGTCGCCAGTAGTGCTATCAAGGGCGAAGGGTTGTCCGAGGGGTTAGACTGGCTCATGGACGTTATCAAAGAGGAACAACTCTAATCGATCACCCTGATGGTGATATCGCATAGCCATAGCACCATCGTCTGTTGACAGCCGTGTGCCGTCATCCTGTATTCCTAATATCCTAAAATAAATGTATAATTCCGATGACACCACTTCTCTGTAATGGCCATCAAGTCTTTCTAAGGCACATTAGTCCCATGTGTTGTTGTAGGTGGTTTTGTCCCTCCTTTTTTTAGTTCTACGGCAATACGAGTCAGGTTATATGACGGTGTATTGAGAGTAAGGTATATCGATGTCTCACACTAGCTTTGTGGTTGGTATCCGCTAATATAAAGCTGTCTGACTCAAAAAGAAAATCTAAGCTCAAATCCCGGATCCCAAAACTTATAAAATTAACGGGTGAATATTATTTTTGGGGTAATTTTATTCACCGCATTGTTGGGACTTGACGCAAAGGTTATGTTTAACCCGATTTGTGGTATCGGTCCGAAGACACCGACAAAAATTCGTAAATTATCCATGACCAAACTGGCAAGTCCTTGTCAGGACCTGCCTTGACGGCTAGCGCAACCCAATCGAATGTTGCCGTCTGGATATACAATAATGATCCTACAGATTCGAATACTTGATTAATCTAAGCGATGTTTATGTGAGAATTTCAAGTTTAGAGCGAAGCAACGGTACATCTGATCCTCTCCGCTGGGAAAATCTTTCTAGCTTGCGTAGTGGTCTCGAAGCTCCCACCGTATGTTCAATCACACAGTTCAACTTCCGAGTAGAAAGACACCTATACACCTACCCCAGCTTGATGAAGACGTCAAACCAAGTTACGTCACTCAAGTTGAATAAGTTTAGTTCTAATGGCTTAAGATTCTTATAATATACGAATTTCAAATGGCCATTTCTCCGGCTAGCACCCGCGCGCGCATGTGACCTAAAGTCCAACACTCTGTCAGCAGAGCCCCTCAAGACCTGCATCAAATAGCAACCCTAATGTTTCTCGAGAACCGTCCCGTATCTCTCTCCTTACGGTTCCTCCCAATTCCACCGCAAATTGGTTCGACACATTTACCAACTGTCGCTCTTTAGCAAATCCCTCGTTTCGTGAAATTGAAACATTCTATTCTTTTAGATGTTTATTAGACGGTTGCCGCGAATGGGCCTCATACGGCCTGGCCTCGTGCGCTTCCACTCCAAGCCCAGCAGACTGAAATTCACCGGGATCCTCAGTGTCACGATGGTCGTGGGGACCGTATACATGAACACGTCACTCTTTGACCGCATCAACAACGACGCGGCGTTCGTGACCAAGCACAATTTGCAGCCGAGCGCAGCGGCGGAAACATACGAGTACGGCTTGTACCTCTCGTCGGAGGCGGAGTTGGCGGAGGAGAGTGCAGCATACGAGCGTGCAAAAAGCACACTCACACCAGTGGGGCTTATCTACCGCGCACGCTTCGCGTTTGCGCGCTACGTGTGGGAGCCGATAGTGACGCTTGGGCGGTTTTTAGAGCTCCTGGCGATATTTCTCCCCGTTTTACTTGCGTATCCAATCTCATACTTTGGGCGTACAGAGCGTACGGGTGAACGTGCGGGCGCGGTGTTGTGGTACCGCTACCTCAAGTGGTCCGCGGAGCTCGCAGGCGCATCCTTCATCAAGCTCGGGCAGTGGGCTGCGTCGCGGACGGACATCTTCCCACGCGAGCTCTGTAACCAGTTGGGACAGTTACACCTGAATGCAAAGGCCCACCTGTTGCACCAGACGAAGCGCATCATCTCGCGTGCATTCAACGGTTTGCCGTTCGACGAGATCTTTGAGGAGTTCCGCGAAGTACCGCTTGGAGTTGGTGCAATCGCACAGGTGTACATCGCGCGCTTATCGCGCACGCTCAGTCAGTGCATGCAGGCACAGGCTGTGCGCACGGAACACCACGAGGGTGTCTACGCCAAGAACAAGCGGTTTTTCAGGAAAATTTTGACCGGTACCATCAGCGAGAGCGAGCCTCTTGAGCTCACGCCGCTTACTGATGAGACACCCAATCAGTGGGTTGCGATAAAGGTTGTCCATCCGCGCGTGGAGGTGACCATCGCGCGCGATCTCCGCATCATGCGCTTCTTCGCGGCGTGCATCGACTATGTCCCCACAATGGAGTGGCTCTCTCTTCCCGACGAAGTAGCCCAATTCGGGTTGCTCATGAAACTTCAGCTAGACTTGCGTATCGAAGGCTTGAATTTACAGCGCTTCCGCGACAACTTTGCGGACCATGATGACATCACATTTCCGAAGCCATACCTTGAATTCACCTCGCGGGAAGTCTTGGTAGAGGAGTACATCCATGCGGTGCCGATGGAACAGTTATTGCGCGTGTCGGCCAACTTCGGAAAGGGCCTCTCTAAGGAGGTCAGCGACAAAGGCCTCGATGCCTTCTTGAAGATGTTGATCTTGGATAACTTTGTGCACGCGGATTTGCATCCCGGGAACTTGATGGTCCGGTTCTACAAGAACGAGCTCTTCAGACACAGGAGAGAGTACAAGATTGTGAACACACTGAGCGAAGCCGAGATGAATGCGGTGACGGACACTTTACTAGGGCTCAAAGATGAGGAGTGGGCGCCGGAATTGGACCGTTTGTACCGCGAAGGCTACCACGCGGAGGTCTGCTTCATCGACACCGGCTTGGTGACGGAGTTGAATGAGGTTGATCGCCGCAACTTTATTGACTTGTTCCGTGAATTGTCTGAGTTCGACGGGTATAAGGCGGGCGAGTTAATGATGGAGCGCTCACGTACGCCCGAAACTGTTGTTGACAGGGAGGTGTTTGCCCTCAAGGTGGAGCGCTTAGTTGATAAGGTCAAGTCGCGTACGTTCACGCTAGGCAGCGTGTCGATCGGTGACTTGCTCGATCAAGTCTTGGGCATGGTGCGCACGCACCACGTACGCATGGAGGGCGACTTCATTACCGTGATTGTCGCAATTTTGCTTTTAGAGGGCATCGGGCGCCAGCTCGACCCGGAGTTGGATTTGTTTGCGAGGTTCGTATATGCCATCACCATGGGCTTTCCCACTGATCAGGACATGATTGGCATCAAGTTTGTTTATTGAAGGAATTTTGTGAAGATATTAGGTGCGGAGGATGAAATGAAGTTGAAATTGGAATTGAACATTATACTATGATTGAAGATAATGGATCATATATGAAATCCGTGGCTTTGGAAATCGTGTGAAGTGGAATCACATGAGTGGCATGGAAAATACTAAAACACCTGTGGAATTGATATATTGAATGCCATGGTCCTGAAAATCGTTGATCACACGCGAATGACAAACTTGATGGGATGGCCCCTTCTACTAATAGACATTACTAACCCTCTCAGTTCCTTGCCTGTGTTGCGTCAATTGGGTATCCAGGATGGACGTAAGCTCTTGCAAGACTCTAACATATCCAGCATGGTCAAGGTGTGGATCACCCTTGAGTTGAGAAGATTCATCAACGCATCCATCCAAGACGTGAGTATTTTCCGATTTGTAACTTGAGCACAAGCACTAACACTTTCAGGTCAACAACACAGTGAAGGCGGACATGTTGAGTCCTAATGTTTAGATGTGGCTACGGGGGGCTTCTGAAAAGCCCTCTCGGATTATGAATGGGACAAAACTGGGTGGTCTCAAAACGTTGACGATAGAGACTCTCAAAACGTTTCAATGGTTTCAAGTAGATACCCTTTGGTAGTGAGCTTGTCGCTATAGGTATACCGCAGTTGGAACGCAAATAGATAGAATTTTACTCGTAGGTATGCTGAAGATCCAGTCTAGTGGACAAATGAGACCGCTATATCTCTAATTCAGTATCATTAATCAAAATGACATGTAATGGTATATTGGTTGACTATCGCCATCTGGTGAGACTAGACCTCAGTATGCACAGAGTCGTTACCCATATAAATGGCTTTATATCTACCTATGCCAATACCTAGCTCATAACTTAAATTTTACAGTCAATATCATGACCAGTACTTGTATAAACAACAATAACGATGGGTTGAAAGGGGCATATGGTTTAGTAATATACTCTGAGAAAAGGAAAAAAATAATAATAAAAAGTGGCACTTCTTGTGATGAATTTCCGTATAGTGGAAACAAAATCGGAGATAAGGACTAGAGTCATTTCTTGGCCCTGCTCTTCTTTGGAACTCTGGCGGCCCAGTATAAAAGGAAAGTACCGATGATATTGATTACAATGAAGCAGATAAGAATACCGATGTTTCTCCCCCTTTCAGAGTAACGAGCATTGACACTGCCTAAGAAATCGTTGGTGGTAGCCGTGGTACAAAACTCACAAACACCAGTAGCAGTCTCATCCACCAAGTAACCACCAAAAGAGGAAATGTAAGATTGCATGTACTCACCACAAGTCTTTCCAGCAGCTGGGACGAATTTCAATAGCTCTTCAGAGCTACAGGTGACTGAAGAGTTGGCAAGGCCATTGCTCAACATAGATTGGATCAAGTAGGTAAAGGGGTTGCATCTGTACATGAAGACCCAGAAACCAGGTAGCCTCTCCTCGCTAGCCAATACACCACAAAAGTTAAGACAGATGGTGAATAACAAGTTTGCCAAGTTAGCAGCGTTATCGGAAAGCTGCATGAACGAGATACAAAGCTGACCCATGGTAGAGGTGTAAACATAAAAAATCACAATGAGAATCCACATGATGATACCTCTCGAGTTCACGGTGTCAGTAACAACGGCATTTTGGTAGAAGCCGATTGGATAATACCAGCAGAAATAGGAAAGGGTTCCGCAAAGGATCAGCCATGGAATTTCAGCTGTAACTTGAGCGGCGATGAAAGCAACCCACGAAAAGGCCTTGGATGGTCTTTCTCTGGCTTCGTAGAGGTCTCTTTGGGACACAAATTGAGGCAAATACTGCTGAACCAAGGTGTTAAACATAACCATCAACATGAAAATTGAGAACATCTGGTTTTGTAAACCTTGAAGGGATTTGTTGGCCTTGAAGAAGGAGAACCCATTGAAAAGCGAAGAAAAGACTGCCAACGCTAACTTGGAGTATATATACATTGGTAACCTCCAGTATTGTTCAAACACACGACGGGTGACACATACGTACTGTTGCCACAAGCTAGCAGCATACGTTTGGTTTGCATCAGCAGCATCTTCCTTTGGCAATTTGCTCAATTCCTGTTCCATCACATCCAAATTTCTCTGCACTTCTTGAAATTCGGTGGAGTTGCACCAAACCTCATGATAGTCTTGGTTAGCCTTAGATCCAGGAGCAGCACCGATGACCTCCAACATCCATTCAGCGGGATTAGCTTCAGGAGGACACTTTGGAGCACCGTGCTCCTCGAAGTAATCAATCAAGGTGTTACAATTTTCACCCAAGTCGCCAAAGTAGATGGTCTGACCACCCTTTTGCAAGAACAACAATCTGTCAAATTCCTTCAACAACATGGCTGAAGGCTGGTGAATGGTACACAAGATGGCCTGACCGTGATTGGCCAACTTGCGCATCAACTTGCAGATGGACCAGGCAGTCTGGGAATCTAACCCAGAGGTTGGTTCATCAAAAAATAGCAAGAACTTGGGCTTTGCAGCCAATTCTACACCAATGGTCAATCTCTTTCTCTGCTCGACATTCAATCCTTCGCCAGCAACACCGACGACAGCGTCAGCATATTTTTGCATCCCCAACAAATCGATACAGTACTCAACGTAGTCATCTTTTTCCCTCTTCGTGACAGAAGCTGGTTGGCGCAAGTAGGCAGAGAAGCGCATGGCCTCCCTAACAGTAGAGGTTACCAAGTGCAAATCCTGCTGCTGCACATATCCGGTGGTTCTCTGGAAGAAGTCATCCAATGGGTGGCCGTTAACCATGCGTATTCCGTTGGTAACGGCACCGGAGGTTAATCTTTCGGATAAGGTGTTCAACAAGGTGGTCTTACCAGCACCTGAGGCACCCATTAAGGCAGTCAATTGGCCAGGCTTTACCCAACCACTGATATTGTTTAAAATGACCCTGTTCTCAGTTTTGATCTTAACCTGGTACGTCAAATCTCTCCAGTGGAAAATGTTACTTGAACCAGATAACTTGTCACTATCATTGTAGGAGCCTTCCTCCTCTTGTTCCCGAGAAACCTTCTCCAACGAACCGGTTTCCTCATCGCTAATTTTCTGTTGCTGTTTCAACTTCTTCAAGGATCTCTTTTGAAATAACAAAACTTCACCCTTCTGCATAGCTCCCTTGTTGTACTCGGTAAGGACAACGTAGGTGAATAAGAAGAAGACGGTGAAGCTGACAAGGATACCCCAGTTTCTCCAACGATTCTTGTTGTAATAGGCGTAGGCGGTGTTGATGTATGTTTCCCCCGAGACAAAAGCTTGGCCAGGGACAGCACCGACAACAGAACAGATAGTGGAAGCTTTGGGGGCATCGAGATAGTCAGGACCTTTTGGTACATATCTTGAACAGGCAAACGTGCGACCGCTGAATTCGTTGGAAATCAAAGCTTCGAATGCATAACCAATTGGATCCAAGTAGTTGATCCAGCGAGACCATCCAAGCATTTTAGGGGTTGGGATGACAAAGCCGGTGTAGATGGTCAATGCAAGTAACAAGATGGTAGCCTGGGTCATGGCTTGGGAGTGTGAAGTAGTAGCAGCACCAATGGTTCTGAACAAGTGAGACATGCAAATGGTTGAAGTGATGCTAACCAAGTAGTAGAAGAAGAAGTGACCCGGAGATCTACGGAAGTTAACCATAAAGTAATAGATCAAGTTAAAGCCGATGGATACAAAGAACTTGGATGGTAACTCGGTGATAATCGAAGCAAATGCATCGGCAGATGGGTGGTACAACGCATAACTCTTGTGCTTTTCGACAATAGGCCTGGATTCGTAGAGGGCAAAGATTTCCAAGATGGACGAGAAGGCATTGAATAAGATTGCTATGAACATGGCAGCGTTACGGTAGTAGAACGACTCCGTGTCAGCTTTCAAGTTGTAAAAAATAGAGGCCAAGAGCAAACTCATAAGAATGTTACCAATCACGGTAAAGAGCATCACAGAAGGATCACCCTTAGTTCTCTGGACGTTACGGCTCATGATGTACTTGATCTGCATACCGTAGGAGACAGTGTAGGGGGAATTTGGGCGCACGCTGTTCGACTGCTTAGCAATATGGGAAACTCTGAAGTTTTCAGCATCATTAGATGACTGGAAATGAGCCAAATTTTCATCAATCGCTTGTATCAATTGGGCTCTGTCACTGGAGCTGTTCCAGTAAGCAGAAAACTCCTTTGGAGATCTTGGACTCTGTTTTCATAGCCTGGCCTAACAATTCTTTCGGCAGGGTTGGTCAACGAGGTTAAGAAGTCTGCCGTGGTTTGTCTTGCCGGGCAGTCGTAGCCCATGTTGACAAAGTACTCCTTGGCGCATTTCGCATCTCCAAAAAAGATTTGGTAGCCTTCGTAGAGCAAAATCACGTTATCATACAAGTCATAGGAATCCTGGGAACACTGGTAGATAGCAATAAGCTGGGTTGACTTCATGATGGTAGCAGAGGTCTTCAACGCCTTCATAAATTCCAAGGCAGTAGCAGAATCCAAGCCTCTGGTCGAGTTATCCCAGCACTGCAAAGAAGCCCCGGCAAGAGAAACCTCACAGATAGATACGCGCTTACGCTCACCGCCAGACACACCTCTGACCAAATCGTTACCAACCTTGGAGTTCTTAGTGTGAGACAAGCCATACATGGCCATGATCACCTCGGTGACGTGTTTGGCGTACATCTTACGCGTGACGCCTTTGGGTCTGTTTTGAGGGGTTCTCAACTTTGCAGCAAATTCCAAGGTCTGGCCGACGGTCAAATGAGGGAAATGCACCTCGGTTTCAGCACAGTAAACAACATCACCCTTGTAGTGCGATTCAATTTCGTTTTGAGTCAAGCCGCTATAGCTGATTATAGACTCCTTGTCGATGTGGAAACCGTAGGTGTGGGCACTGATGGTTTTCAACAAAGTGGAGCACCCTGCACCTGGTCTCCCCAAAACAACAGTTAAAGTACCTGGCTTGATCAAGACATCCATGGGCTTCAAGATGTCAAAATTAGAGTCCTGAGACTTGTTGGGGAAGAGTAGGTGGTAACAAGCGGAGAGATACTTCCACGGAAAGTTGGAAATGGTAGCCTGGTAGTCGGTGTCATTTGAACTACCGTAAGCTCTCAAATTCTTATAGGCAATACCTAAGGAAGCAGGCATGTAGTGGTCAAGATCATTGTTGATCATCTGCTTCATGTTTTTGACCCAAAGGCGGGAATCGAACTCAGTAGAGCTAGGATCCAACCTTTCATCTACACCACCGTAGAAGGAGTTTTCACCTGGAATCTGAGAAACGTGAGACATCAGAGACAAGGTGCGCACGATATCGGTGTCGTGAAAATTGGCAGAATCATGTTGGTCAATGGCAGCGGAAGCGTTGGTGATGCTTCTAGCGAGTCCTTGGATTTGGTGAGAAACATTCTCGTCGAACCCCCGATACAGGGAAACACCGTTGAGCTCGCTTTCATCACCAATGCTGGTACTGCCGCTACCTTCTTTGAGAGAGTTATTGATGGCCATAGCGGTAGATAGTTAACAATAATTAAGAATGAAACGATAATAGGTAACAATTCATGGAGACTTGATGGTGGGGTGTTCCTCCTTTTATATTAAATACGAGAGCGTTCGGTAAGTAGGGGGGTGAAGCCGTTCTACCCACTCTGAATTATCTCCTACTTTTTTTCTGCCCATGCCCTTGTGGGCTGAAATTATATAGTCAAAGGGCTTTGATATTCAAACTATCATCTAGGAAACAATAATATTGGTGTGCAGAACGCTCCGTAGGTCTGCATGTTTCCGATACACAGTCTTGAGGGCCGTCTACAAGCCTTGGATTTTTGGTCAGTTGCTGAGTTTAGAACCGGGTCCGGAATCGAGTCCGGAACAAAAAATTATGTTATTTTCACATCAATCCCTTAGATTAATGCTATTTCCTTGGTCTTACTCCTACGAGTTGAGCCTTAGGGTGTTGCAGACGTACGTCACCAGCTCGCATATGCATGTATATGCTTCTTTACATGCAATAATGTATACTCCGTACGGACTGGCCACCTTACTAGCATTACTGATGTTTGTAAATAAGTACCCCTTATGGCTTTCAACTCATACAAGCTATCCGAGATCCGGGAAGCCAATACCGTCCAAACATACCAACAGGTGCATGTTTCCTCTGTTAAGACATAGGCTTACTCCGAAACTACAGGCTAACCCTCCGATTCACAGTGCAATTGAGAGACCCCAGGGAGAGGTGGTATCACATGAGATCATGGTATACCTATAAGGATAGTTCGCTTTGAGTTGGGATATCCAAAGTAATGCTATAATAAATATGATTTCGGAACCGGATCAAATATGACTTCGGAACCGGATCAAATATGATTTCGGAACCGGATCAAATGGATGTTAGGCAACCATCTAGGCATAGTTGTAATGCTTTATATTGGTATTTCCTCAGCTTCCTGGGAGTATACGGTTTCCGGTATCTCCAAGTGGAATAAACTTGAATCGAGGGTATACAGGGCATCGGGCACGCATCGGAAGCTGGGCGCTCTGCCGCGTGTGACAGAAATCCGAGAAAGTGCAGCCCCTCCAGCTTGGCTTCACAAGCTCGTGCATTTATCCGCGCATACCAAAGAACGTCTATTACACGTGACATAATTAAGGAACAAATTATATGTAGATGGAGGGGAAGTACTGTATACTTCCAATGCTTACAAAGTTCTAGCTACTGCAAATTCCGGACGTCTCATATTCAGCGGAAATTCCGGGACTTTTCGAGTTCCAGCCCTATCCGATCCCGCCTGGCCCTGAACACCATACACCTCTAAATGCTGACCGTTTTCAGTGGCACATTCTTTCTTGACTACCCGTTTGCCCGCTAAATGATTAATCTGCATATACAGGGGTATTCCCCCTGTTTTTATATTTTGGTACGTATTGGTATCACTCCATACGTATACTATAGCACATCTTCGTTCATATTAGGAGATACTTGAGTGCAAACATATTTATACACGCTTTCACATAGTATTTTGGATCTTCTGTTAAGTTTCAAGTCCAATTGGCGATCACTATTATTCCGGTTGTGGCGACTGAGTGGAGCTATTTTATCTATATTTGTGAGGAAGTTGTCCAAAGATCAAAGAGGGCTATATGGATGTAAGGGATAGTAGTTCTCACGTTTGACATTCTATGGGTATGGAGTTAAATCATAGTCGGTGCATCTTAGTACGTGAGCTAGTACATGTGCTGGTTCTACGAACACTGTACTAGCCGTCGACGACTTTTTTTTGTTAGCTACAACGAAGGTTTATGGTATAATGGCGTTTCTGCAGACACGCTTGCACCTCTAACGAAATTTCTAAGTCGTATTAATATTAGACATATTCATCAAACTTCAAGTCTGTGGCCTTCGGCCTTACTTCACTGCATTCAGCAAGTCAGCACGGCTTTCCCTCCTCCTCCTTCACTCGCTTCAAGATCGTCGAAATCATCTCGTTCCCCAACTTGGTCGCCTCTGGGAACATAGGCCTGAAAAACTCCTGCGTGCGCTCAAACACCTTCTGGTATAACTTAGAATCCCCAAAGCTCACGATGCTGCTCCACTGTCTGGCCGCCAACGTGAACTCCAAATCATCGTTTCTAAACGTCACGTCCGAAACCGCCACCTCGAGACACTCTTCCAACAACCCTGGCGTGCAGAACAAGTACTCGCTGACCCCCAAGAAGATTCTAAACAACGGAGTGGAGCAGATCATGTGGTCGTACGGCACAATGTTCAAGGCGCTCCAACTGTCAACGATCCCCAAAAGGGACAAGTGTGAATTCGGCTGTCTGCCCTCTGGTGGGACCTTTCCCAAGGAGAAGGTCTGGAGCAAGTCGTCATCCAACAAAAGCTGATGATCGTCGCCAAGATGCCCAAAAACCCGCTCCTTCGCGCGGAAGATGCGTTCCTTTAACTCCTCCTTCTTTCCCTGTATCATCAACGAATACAAGCTAGTAACCGACGTGGCATACTGCAAAAGCTGCTCGTGGGCGCTGGGATTGGTGAGCACCAACCCGGCATAGACATGCCATTTGTTGGAGAAAATACGAAGCGAGATGTTGATCTTGGCGTTCTCGATTCCCCCGACCCATCTGGTAGCCTCCCACGGATACTGGTTGCAGTTGTGCCACGCGACCCCCATGGATAAGAATGCCGCATGTGTCAAGGCCTGGGTGTCGGCCGTGATTTTGTCGTGCTCCTCAGCCGAGAGGTATGTAAATTTCGAGTTGAGACATGACATTAATGCCTCAACAAAACGGAAGCTCTCGTCGGATGCCTGGTGCTTGATCAAGACGAGCGGCTGGCCCGTGGTGTCGACAAGCGGACCGTGGAGCGAGTGCACGGTGATGATTTCCACGTCTTTTGGGAGATACTTCTCAAAGGCTGCAATTTCTGGAGCCTTACAGGAGGTTTGGCCCCCGACAATTGCCCCAACCTTAGTCGAAGGTCCGTAAAGCGACACAATCTTGCCGATGTTCTCGGCCTCCACGCTGTAAATTACGTAATCGCTGATACGCGACACAAAGTGTCCGTTGCGGAAGATCTTGAATTTTTCGTCCTTGTATTTGGCAGAAAATGACTCGTACAAGTCGTCGCGGTCACACGCCACGACCCTGTTTCATTAGTGTCTGGCAAAAGACTCGCTTTTGTATACGTACTTCCAGCCAGCTTCGCTGAAGCGCCGAGCGTAGAGTAGCCCCATATCACCCAACCCGATGATCCCAATAGTCTTGGTCGCTTTCCATTCGTCCATGTTCAGCATTGTATGTTGATCAATGCAAAATGAAGCGTTGGATTTGTGGCTCAACTTAAACGCTGAAAAATCGTGCAGGAAATCTGGAGGTTCATGTGCGAAACCAGACTTTGAATCACGTGATGTAAGGTATCTTGAGACGCCGGAGAGTAGAGCCAAGAAAGCAGACTTGACAAATGTTTTGTAAAACATTCTCTCTGGGAATCACTCAGGCCAAGATTTTAGGGGAAATAGTCAAGATCCTTGCCTTATACTGATGAAAGGAAAAATCATCTTCATTATAAGTGGCAAGTTTTGAGAAATACATTTAACCGACGTGAACGAGAGAAGAAGGAAATACAAGACGATAGTTTAGAGGCGAAATGTGGCCACTTTAAATTTATTTAGAAGATAGCTAAACATATCACTTACTCCATCTGGGCATCATGTGAGTATATTATAAATCAAGCCCACGCACATTTTGCATACTGGCCCAATGTCACCTTGCTAGAGATCTCTGCCGGAACATCTGGGTTATGCTTAAAGGTCGTGCGCGCGCACCGTCGAATGGGAACCGCCGAACCTGACGGACCCTTATATAGACGGAGTCAAAGGGTACGCTCAGCGTCGGGAATACTCCTCATCTGAAAGCGTTACGGGTTATAGAAGGCGTAGCATATATCTACAACATAGACATTGCTCACTGCCCCAGCAACGTTTCAAGCAGATTACCAGAGCATCCATTGGACCTTCTGCTTCGCAATACCCACCCAGCACAACGTCCCTTCTGGTAGCTTCCATCCAATAACTTTACCTATTAAATAGCACTGTCTATTCAATAGTATCCATCTGTTAGTTTTCACCAATTTAACAGTCTCTATCCAGTAGCATTCGCAGTGCTTTTACTACTGTTCACCCATCTAGCCGCCAGCGCTTCATTTTGCTTCCAAGACGTCGATTTTGCTTATCTAAACCCATTCGCTTTCGTCAGTTAGTACCCAAATCCTTTGGTATTAAAAAACGCTTATTTGACTCACTTTGTATTCGATAGCATCGGTATATCCCTAGCTGTCTAGTGAATCCTCTCCCGAAACCATGTCTTTCTGGCCGTTTGGGAACTCGAATGGGTCATCCTCCCTCAACAAGTTGTTGGAGTCCCCGGACCTAACATTGGACGAACTCCTCGACAATCCAGACCTCCTCAGCGAGTTGCGTGAGGGCAACAACAATCGGCTCCTCGAGTTCGTGGTGAAGCCGGACAACCTCGTGGCGATGGTGAACAGCGTTGTGGACTCCGTGGACTTTTTTCTCGCTGATGAAACAGCGGACGCAGCCGAGATGGCAGAACGCAGCATGAAGTACAAGAACCTCCAGGACCCTCTGGACGGTGAAGAAGAGGAGGAATCGGCGGACGACCGCTTAAGACGGCGATACCACGTGGCGTCGCAGGTGCTCGCACTCGACAGCTGGCTAATATCAGACCTCTTGGCGGATCAGCACGGGCTTCTCGTGCACTTGTGGTCGGTGCTCGCGAAACCGTTGGTGGCATCGCTCCCACTGATCACATACTTCACCAAGATTAACGAGCAGTTACTCGATGCGCGCCCGGACCAGATGTTAAACTTCATCCGCACGCAAGGCGACTTGGTGGACAGCTTCTTGCGGCACATAGAGATCCCCTTGTTGATGGACCTTCTCTTGAAGATCACCCTCACTGACAAGCCCGACAGTCCTTCTGGTATAGTGGAGCTCTTGCACGAACAGCACTTGGTCGCCAAATTGCTTGCATTCTTACAGCCTCAGTTCCGCCCTTCCATGCAGTCGTCCGCGGGTGATTTCCTTAAGGCCTTGATCACCATCTCGGCAAATACCTCGTACACCCAGGACCAGTGCATCGGGCCGAACGAGCTCACGCGCGAGTTGGTTGGCGAAAAATGTATCCAGACAATTATCGGCGTCATGCTTGGACGAGGTAGCGGTCTTGCGACAGCTGTGGGGATTGTCATCGAGGTGATTCGCAAAAATAACTCGGACTACGACCAGATCGATGTGCTTGAAACCACGGTGGAGTCGCATCCACCAAACAGCCGCGATCCAATCTTTCTTGGGCCGATGATACGTTTGTTTAGTGAGAACTTAGGTCGGTTTAGCGAGTTGTTTGTGTCGATTCTGACTCCGCTCGTGGCTACGTCTATGGGCGTTGAGTACGAGTCGTTGGGGTATGAGCGGTACAAGATTAGTGAGTTGGTAGCGGAGCTCTTGCACTGTTCGAATATGAAACTTTTGAATTCACTCGATGCGGAGAAAGTAGTGCGGAAGAGGGATATTGAAAGGAAGGGGAAGGAGAGGAGGATTGCGGAGGCTCTTGACGATGGCGTCGAAGGCGAAATCACCAGGACCGATGTCGAAGTTATTGACGGGGTTTCCGGTAACCATACCGACTCTATCAATGACAAAGCTGGCGATTCCATTGACGCCCTCTCCCTGGCCATGGAAGAGGTCTCCTTGGGTGTCTCTAGTGCTGCCCCCTACGACCCGTGCAAGCCACCGGTGGTGGACTCCACGACCGCGCGTTTATACACACAATCTTTCTTCTCGCAGCTCGCAGAAATCAACAACACGACACTCGCAGAGCCCACGCCCTCGTCGCGTGACGTCGAGCAGCAGCAGGCGTTGGCTCGCGAGTTTGAGGAGAAATCGGACGATGAGGCAGGAGAAGACCAGGTAGAAGAAAAAGAAGATTCGGTGAGTTCTGTCGGTATAGGCTCTTCAACGGAGGACTCCACTTCGATCGCTTCAATGGAATCTTCGGCTGATGATGATATCACCCCCGAAAATCCGTTTGTCACCGACGCACGCGACCGCTCGATCCGCGCGCGGCCCACACTTGGCGACCTCTACAAGATCAAGCTCCTTGACTCCAAACTTTTGGAAAACGTCATCTCTAGCTTCCTCCGCTTCCCGTGGAACAACTTCTACCATAACGTGGTTTTCGATTTGGTGCAACAGGTGTTACAGGGCAAGCTCCACTCGTACAACTCGTTCTTGGTCAACGAGTTGTTTAACCACGAAATAGGCCTCACCAACCTCATCATCCTTGGCCACCAGCGCTGTACCATGAATGAGATTGAACACAACTTACGCTTGGGCTATATGGGCCACGTGATCTTAATTGCAGAGGAGATTGTGCAGTTCACCCAGATGTACAAGCCCGAGTTGATCTCAGCCACCATCTATGCCAAACTCAACCAGAACAACTGGGTCACGTACGTCAACGAGATCCTCATGAAGACGCGCGAGATGTACAACTGCGTGTTGGGCGGCATAAAACCGACGGAGGAGGACGTGTATGTGAACCCGGACGCGATTTTGCTCGGCGATGGATCCGAAGAAACCAAAGACGCTGATGAAGATGCCGAAGGGGATGCCGGAGAAGATGCTGAGACTGTGCTCGAAGGCGTGGAAGCCCGCTTCGATGATGGCGAAACGCTACATCGCGTGGCCAGACACAAGAACTGATTTGTATGAAGTAATGTATTGTAAGTGAATTTATGTTAATATGAAAGCGAGTGTAGTGGAGGAGAAGATATTAATGGGGTGTAAGGGAAGTGGTTTGTGCGTTTGAAAGAGTCGGAAGGGTGAACCATTTATGTCTGGTGAAAGGTATAGAAAGGAGTTCATACAGTAGAGACAGAAAGCTCGGGGTGCATCAATTAAATTGGGCAGGCTAGTGAACTCCTGGTAATTTTTGTATGCCAGCCACTTCCTCTGCCATGTTCAAACTGAATTGGGGCTCCTAATAGCCGTGCTTCAATCCTGGTTAATCAAGATCCGCTAAATCGGTCTAGAAAATACCTGTACAAGTGGGGCCAAAAGGTTCTCTGGTACCCTTTTTTTTTTTATAGATGTAGGCGCAACCACAATGAAAATAATCCATTGCGCCGCCAAAATTAATTCTCTTCGCATCTACTTCAAATTAAACCCAGGGTCCTCCCTTCTTTATTGTCCATAAGCATACATTCTCTTTAATATATTGGTCTAAATACAATCTGATATTTGACATTCTTCTTGTAATCGAACCCTACCTTTTATTCCAGGGCGGCCCCGGTATATATGGTCCTGCTGAACAGATGCTCTCAGCGTGCCGCGACCGAAACCACGGGTGTATCTCTGACGCGTCAATATAACGGTTGAAGTTTGGTATCAAGGGCCACAAGCTGCTTGTGTCTCGTCAAACACTCTCCCGTTCGTTGTGTTCTATTTACTTAGATCCGTTTCTGCCTAGATCCATTTTGGATAAGGAGACATTTGAAAAAGAACAAACCCCAGAATCTCCCCGTGCTCACCTCAACAACATTCATCCCTGAACCACCTGTCACATAATCAATCTCTAGGACACTCTTAATTATACGCTGATTTACCGTGATTCTGGGTCTCCTTGTTGGTTTATTTGCTTTAAATCTGATTATTGACCGATTTTCGATTCTTCGCATATTTGACACCTACTCCTTTGGTCCACTTTTCGCTCCCTTCGGTCTACTTTAGGTCACATTATAAACCCCTTGCGGTGTCCTCTTTGATCCAGTCAAGATTGACTCGTTTTAACCATTTTTAGCCCCATTGGACCCTTAACCACTTTGGGCCCGATTGGACACTTGACCTTTATCAGCCTTCGGTCCACTTTATGCCCCCTTTCTCCATGGACCCCCAGATCACGCGCTCGGAATCAGACTCAGCGTTCTCATTCGAATCCACTGATGTAGCCAGTGCGCAGTCGCGGTACTATCCGCGCAACAATCTCTCGCCGCGCGAGGTTGACGAGGTGGTCAGCGAGAACCACACATTAAAACACACCGTGGACGAGCAGAACCGGCTTATCGAGCGGTTGCAGGAGGAACTCCGCACTGTGCGGCGCGAGTTGGCCGCGGGGGGGATTGTACCCCAGATTCTCCTCGCGCCACTCTCGGCGGACCACGCGCTTCCTCCGCGCTCCGCGCACCGCATAGAACCCGGGTTTGCCCTGGAGAGACTTTCGCCGGGGCGAGCCTTCTCGCCAAGCCCCTTGTCTGTCAGCGCCCTCTCTCCACAGCGAGCTTTGTCGTCTGGCCGCACTCTTTCACCTCTTTCGCCTCTCCGCATTCTCTCGCCCTCGCCTCGCCCCCTCATCTCGCCTGAATACTCATCTGGCCTCCTCGTCTCGCCTAGTCTTATCCCCTCGCCTAATACTTCCCTCTCTGCCCCTCTCGAGGCAACTTCCTCCACGCTGCCGCTCAAACGCAACAGCTCGTCCAACTCCGTCAGACCAGCGCTGCTCCGCTCCGCCAGCTCTCAATACTCCGACTCCTCGGATGAAGACCGCAAGACTCCGGTGCCAGACATTCCGCGAGTCTCGCCCTCCACGCCTGAGCGGTCGCGTCCAATCCAGCCTATGCAGGACTTGTCAGCTTTGCGGACGCCCTCGCAGCCCAAGCGTGCGGCGCACAGCACCTACAGCTCACCGCGCGATCCCTTGCCCGAGGCGAAACGTGACGGAGCGCACACCGACCGGCAGTTACCACTCAACTTGCTCTCGCCTGGCCAAACACCCGCTACGGTCCCGGCGAACTTCAAGCATGAGTACCTTTCACTTGAATCACCAGTGGCAAGCGACCTCTACTCGCAGCTCGACTCGTTGTCGCGCGAGTCGTCGAATATCTACGGCATGACAAAGCACGACGAGACTGAGAGATATGAAACACTTGACAAAGCATCCAGTGACAAGTTTGATAAAACTTTTGTGAGTGATAAATTCTCAGAAAAGACCTCTGTTAGTGATAACTCTGACAAGCTCTCCGACAAGTCTTCTGCCAATCAGTCATTGGCCTCCCTTCAGAAGCCGTCGCCAGTAGCTAGAGCTTCAGACATTCCGTTCTTTGTGGAGCCACTGCGGTATCAGACGATTCTGGTTGACGTGTTAAGCACTCTCTCATGCATGGGCCTGAAGAAGGTAGATGAGACGATGATAGTGTTTGCTTCGCGCGACCGTGCGACACGGCAGGTGATGTGGAAGTTCCGCAAACAATACAGCCAGCTCGTGGAGTTTGACCGCCTTATCCGGCCGCTAGTCACCGTCGTTAGTTTTCCTCCGCTCCCCGAAAAGCCGTTCTTCGTGCTGAACACGCCGCTGAAGGTGGATGTGCGCCGCGGACAGTTGAAGGAATACTTTACAGCGCTCTTCCAGATCCCACTTGCGCCACAGGCCGTACACCACATCTGCCGCTTTGTGTCACTCGATACGGTAAGTCCACTTGATGAGTTTGGCACGGGAGTTCGGAAGAGCGGGTTTTTGATCCGTAGGACCAAGAGCTTGAGCCGTGAGACGTGGAAGGTCAAGTGGTGTCAGGTTGATGGGTTGGTGTTTGAAATCTACGATAGCCCTGGAGGACTGATTTCCGAGTCGATTAGTTTGGTCAATGCGCAGATTGGCCGCCAGAGTAGCGGACCAGGGAGCGATGACAAGACAATGAAGCACGCGTTTATGATAATGGAGCCGAAGAAGAGCGCCGGGTCATATTCCCGGTTTGCGTTTTGTGCAGAGACGGATGAAGAAAGAGATGATTGGATTGGCGCGATATTGGAGTTTATCGAGGGAAATAACAACGATGATAGCCATGGAAACGGCGGGTTCCATGGTGCAAGCCAACCTGGAAATCAAAACACCGCCAAACGCAACAGTTTTAGCCGCACCAGCTATGGAAATAGCAGCAGTACCTTCCGGAATAATGGATCCAAGGCAGATTACAAGCCCGTTTCGTTTGGAACACCCAGCCCTTACAGTGCCAGTAACCACTCCGCGACAAGCCTCGGACCTGAAGACGACGAGCCACTTGAAGACCTCAAGAAGAGCAAGATCCGGTCCTTCTTTCCGTTCAGAAGCACCCCCGGAAAGAGCGCTAACGCCAGTGAAGACCTCTCGGCGTATAGCAAGTCGGGCTTACTCGCAACGACTATGCCGTCGGAGGAGCCGATCTCGACCCAGCAGGTGTTGGATGACTTACGCGCGGCACAGGGCAGCGCCGCGCGCGCGCATGGCGTGTTTGGCAACGATTTAGGCGCCGCGTTGGCGCTCTCCTCTGGCGAGCTTTTTGGGAAAAGCATCCCCAGCATTGTTTTCCGCTGCTTGGATTATCTCCTCAAGACCGGCGCCATCTATGAGGAGGGGTTGTTCCGATTGAACGGGTCAGCGGCCCAGATCAAGCACTTCAAGGAACAGTTTGATACGTCTTATGACGTCAACTTTGTCTCAATGCCTGCGATTCCTGATATCAACACTGTCGCAGGTTTGCTCAAGCTCTACTTGCGTGAGCTCCCCGTGCTGATCTTGTCTGATATGGCGGGGGCCTATCGCGATGAGTCGAAGGAGACGGACTACAAGAAGGTGGCGTACGGGTTCCGCGAGCTCACTCAACGTCTTCCAACTGCTCACCGTGACTTGTTATATGTGCTCTTCCGATTTTTGAAGCAAGTGGTGGATAACTGTAACTCGAACAAAATGAACTTGAAGAACGTTTGCATTGTGTTTTCACCCACGTTGAACATTCTGCCGAACGTGATTCTTCCGTTCTTGGTGGACTTTGAGTGCGTGTTTGGGGCAGGTGAGCCGACACCGACGGAAAAACGGGAGACATTGGGTTTGGCATTTCCAGAGTTGATGTAACGTCACGTAGGATCGATGAGAGCCGAAGGCTTGGGTTCGTTTGATTGAATTCGGTGCAATATCGCTGCAGAGCAGAAGACTCAAAGCAGTGATATCTGATATGGACCAGAAAGCCAAAGGACAGAAAGGATATCAGTTGATGCACATCGACAAGAGCTGGAGGCTCGAAATTGATCTTAGCTCCGCATGAAATGGGGGCTAAGCAAGATACGATATAGGTATGCCGCGAGATTGCTGACTGGCAGTGGGGGTGAAAGCCCAGAGTTGCCAACTGAGCTTTATATTAAATATGGCCTGAAACCACTAAGCCGAATATTCTGGATCTGCGGTAGCATACGATGGATACAATCAGGACGGCTTTGGTCAGAAGGCTTGAAATCGACTCAGTTGGACTTGGATCAACGTACGAGGCTTGGACTGTTGTCTTGGGGTGGTTGCTAACCTTAAAATACCTCTTATCCAGGAATGGGCGAGCCGCTGCCGAGCTTTGAAAGAGCTCAAAGCCCGATATAATGCCCTATTCTGGTCACTTCTAGGTGCTCCCAATAAAGGTTGCTGTCCCGAGCTCTCCTTGAAGGTTTAAATGGAAGTTTTGCCCCAGACTCTTCTAGAATTTTGGACTGCTCGAAGTTGTGTCTGGTTTCTAGTTCATTGAGAGACCCAGCGCAAGGGTATGCCATTTCAGCTTTTCCTGAATCTATCCATTCTAAGCTCTCCCTGGAGAGCCTGGGTAATGCCCCTTTGCCCTAGTATATCTTCTTGATCGGTCCTTTCTCTAGCGCTCTTCTTCCTAGCATTAACTAACCAGTTCTGACCAGTTACGTTCAAACATGGTCCTATAGTTGCATTCATTATGCCCTAAGTGTTGCTAAGATGGCTCTGGGGCTTGTATAGTTTGACTTTTATGTTTCTCCGAAGGATCCGGGTAAAAATGAAGCGCCGTATATATCGCCTACTCTGCTGGGTTGCCTTAACCTTCAATGGTCTACCGAAGTGTTTTGAACCCCGGTAAAAATTATCTAAAGTGTGGGGTATCGCTACCTTCAGGAATTGCTACTCTTCAGATGGCAGACACGGCTGAGACTTTGCCGTTACACCCCACGATTTAACGCTGCATAGGGATTGAGTGTGCTTGTATTTATGAGAATGGCAGGTGGCATGGCCCCGTTTTATTTCTCTGAAATAATAGATAAGACCTATAAAAAATAGTCACCTCTTTAGGATGTATAGCTAAGTTAGATAAAAATATCTCTGGTTTTTCAGGGGAAACATTAAGAGTAATTATACTTATTCATCGAGATAAAAACTATCAGATACTCTACTGGTCCAAGTTGACATGGTTGGCCGGGAACAAACCGACAGCCCCGGCGGCGTTCTTGCCGGACCACCAGTCCTCGTCGACAAACTCGATATTGGTGATGGTTTCGCCCTCTGCGAAAGAGATCTCGTTGTCCTCTTCCTTCTCATAGTCGTACTCAGCAGTGGCCGAAGCGCTTTGCACAGAGCTCTCCTGGGCAGGGGCGGCGGCAGCAGCAGCCGTTGTTCCGGCTGCTGTCAGACCCTCGTTCAATACGACGTACGAAGACGGGAACAACCCGGTTTCGCCAGCAGCATTCTTCCCGGACCACCAGTCCTCATCGACAAACTCGATATCAGTGATGGTTTCGCCTTCCTTGAACGCGACCTCATTGTCCTCATCCTTTTCATAGTCGTATTCGGCAACAGCAGAGACACTCGCAGATTTGGCCTCCTCTCTGGAGGATTGAGGCGGTGACAGGGTATGGATAGCAGCTGGTACTGGAGCAGCAACTGGCGCTGGAGCCTTCTCCTCTTCTTCAGACTCTGGCTCTGGCTGGACAGTTCTGGTTGGCGGTGGAGGGAGCACACGTGCCGAGGCTGGGGGGAGCACACGGGCTGGAGCTGGCGGTGGGGTTTCTTTCTCTTCTTCCTCAGATTCCGATTCAGGCTGAGCAGTCCTTGTTGGAGGTGGGAGAACTCTGTTAGAAGCTGGAGGGAGAACTCGGTTAGTAGCTGGGGGCAACACACGGGCCGGAGCTGGAGCTGGAGTTGAGATTTCCTCTTCCCCTTCCTCGGATTCTGGTTCAGGTTGAGCAGTTCTTGCCGGAGGTGGGAGAACTCTGTTAGAAGCTGGAGGGAGAACCCTATTAGCAGCTGGAGGCAACACACGGGCTGGGGCTGGAGTTGGGGCTTCCTCTGGAGCTTCCTCTGGAGCTTCCTCTGGAGCTTCCTCTGGAGCTTCCTCTTCAGCCTCTTCTGACTGTTCTTCCGCATCGACAGTCTTGTATTGGCCTCTCTTTTCGGCCCACAACTGCGCCGGGGTCTTTCCACCCAGAGCACCAAAGTCTCTGGAGGCGCCACCGACAAGCTTGTCCTTTTCGTCTCCCGGAGAAAGGCCAAACGGTTTTGGACCAGAGGCAAAAGACTTCGCAGGGACACTTGGGGCAAATCTCGACCCCACCGCATGGGATACCTTTGGCTTAGGCAACGAAGTCAAGCGGCCGTCCTCCGTCGCAGTAGCGCTGTAAGACTTGAAACGGTCGGAGAACGAAACCGGGTCCGCTTCCTCGGCCTGTGGCTGGGCCACTTTGGTTGGAGGCGGAACCACCTTCTTAGGAGCGGTAGTCTTTGCGGCCTCTCTGATCTCAGCGATGTTCACCTTTGGATGGGGAGTGTAGGCGGACGGGGCACTCTCCATTGGCTTCTGAGAGAAGTCTCTTTCCTCGAGAGCTTTTTCGCCACCCCACTCCTCGTCGTCACTCTCTGTTGGAGAAGCTCTTGTAGGAGACAAAACCTTTGCTGGAGGAGAAACTTTCGTGGAAGACGAAGCCTTCGCCGGAGGAGAAACCTTGGGTTTCGCCTCAACCTTCGTCTCGACCTTTGCCTCAGGCTGAGGAGACGCCTTTGGAGTCACCTTAGGTAAGGGTAACGACAAAATATTCTTCTTAAGACTTTGAATCGAGTATCTCGCACCAGCAGCTGAGCCCACACGGTGGATCCAGTCGTCCACATCCAACTCGTCCGTGTCGCGTGCGGTGACTTGCACATGATAGTGCAAAAGCTTTCCCACGTCCGCGAAGTTGTTCGCGAACGAGACGCGCGCCTTCATCGGCGCGTTATCTGGACACCAGCCCACCAAAAGGAGCTTGACCACGTCAGAGCCCGGTGGGTTCACCCGCGAAACTCCAAACTGCACCTTTCCGTCCGCAAACTCTTCGGCAAACTCGTGCAAGTCACCGCTGCCGGTGGAAGTCGGCTCAAGCGCGCCTTGAGGGTTGGTCAGGTACACCGCCCACACGGTGGAGGGGTCGCCGTCCACTACCCGGTTGTACGTTTGCGTGATCTGCTTGGAGAAGGAAGCTAAGTCTAATCTTTCCATTGTGTTCTTCAATTGATTGATTGTTCAGTGGTAATTGCTGCGATTGATGTTTCAATTGATGTGGTGGATATATGGTGAATGAGAAGAAGCAACTGAAGAGTAGGGGTGGAATTCGCGCAGCCTGCACAGAGCGCGCCCAGCCTGCGCCTCTGTGACGGCCATTGTGCGCACACGTCATAGGGTAGTGGCTGCTCAGCCCATTAGAATATACTGATACTGTATTGGGCTATGGGACTTACAAAATTCATTGCTTGTTGGTTATTTTAGGTGACCATTAGCAATGGGTTTTATTTGAGAGTGGTGTTTTGTTAGGCGATTTATAGTTGGTGGACTGTCTTGAAGTTTTGGCAGGGCGAGTATCCTCTTTCGAATTCGATCGTGTCAGACTACGGAGTATTTCTGAGAAACCTGCCGAATTCCAGTTACATAGCTATCTATCAAGCCTATACCTTTAGCTTTGCTCCACTAGTACCGTGTCAAAGGCTATAGCTTCAGGGCTGCCGGGATTCTCAATACTCTATCCGACATGTCCGGAAATGGCCCAGACTTATAACCCCCAACTGCAGAGATAAATAATGACAGACAAGCATGCTCTTCTATTAGTGTAAACGGCCACATAATTCCTGAAAAGCTGCTCTGCTCCAACCCAGGTGTGGACTTTTTTATGCCCCGTGCCACTGTTCTGGGAATACTCAGTTTTTATCGTCGGCATGTTGCAGGTCAAGTGTGTGGCATAATACGGGCCGTAATGCAGTTAGTTAAATTAATTAATAGTTCTCAATGGACTGAAGCCTACATTTATATTTACCAATCCAGGTGCAGTACCGAAGTATGTCACAAGTACAACTTCGTTGACGTTCCAGACTTGGCCAACGGATTCGAAGAAATGCTAAATATCCCCTTCTTAACCAAATAACATTCTACAAGACTCCCATGTATCTGATGGATCTCTCGGGCTTAGTTCATTAACCGAAGAGAGTTTATAGCCACTTTAACAAATATCATAGCCAGGACGACCCAGGAGAAGCTGCTATTTTCCGCTTTCATGCATTGCGGCGATTTATACAAGCCTATCTGAACCTATTCCATTATCATACGTACACTATGGCTTAGCTCCGGCTATTTTTCCCAATGTGACTTTTCCAACCAGTTTGGTATACTAAAATCACCGTTAGCTGGACCATCAGAAGTATTGCAAGAACTTCCCAGCGCAGCCATTCCATCACCTGTCTTCTCTTTTTCTCCCTTACTTTTCATAGTCTATTTCCCAGCGGTCGTCTTCATAGCGTGCATGTGAACGGAATTATCATCTGGTTTTATCCTCTAACGGCCTTAATTCTTGTTAGGCCAACATTTTTCCTACTCCTTGGCCAACTCTTCGCGGATAATGCTCGCCCAGAGATACACGGTAGCAGCGCCACGGGGGTTGGATCTAGGGCCACGCCGGGCGACAATCCCGTCGTGCGCGTTCCAGGCGTCGATAAACACAGGAACCTTCGTCCACTGTAGCCTGTTCAACGACCGAATGATGAACATACGGTCCGGGTCGCAGGGCAAGCTATTATCGTCGGTAAACAACGGGAAGGGCCGCCTGGATCCAGCTTTCTCGATCTGGGTGACAAACGCAGTTATAAGCGGCGCATTCTTTATGTAATCAATCTCCACCGGCACCCGGATTTTAGGCAGATGCTTCAAAAGCTCGTCCGAGTCATCACTGGATTCTCGTTCATCATCACCGTACTCTCGCTCATCATCCTCGCTCAAGTCCTCCACGGCCATCAACGTCTCCAACGCGGATTGTGTCAACTCTGCTGGCTCTTCCTCGGTGTAGGTGTCGATCGTAGCAGTTCCCTTGCGCTGCTGCTCACCAGCCGCTACATTTTCCGCACGGATGGGCTGGGTGGTCTTATACACGGACGAATGGACCTTGTTCCAGTGGTCAGCGTTGTCTGGGTGTGGAGTGAGACACAAGCGGGTGTAGGCCAAAAGGGTGCCGATGGTAGAGGCGGTAAGGATCAACGGAGCCCAGATGGGCACCACGACCAACGCCAAGAGGATAATCCCGAGGAACTTGAGAAGCGTCTTTGGCGAAGAGAAGAAACCGCTGGGTTTATCTCTGAAGTCTGACTTTTCCAAATCAATAATCCGTGGCTTGACTCTGCGCTTTCCGACGGTGATTTCCGGAAGGTTGGGATAGAAACGCAACTGGACTTCGTTCCAGTGCTGAAACGGGGCGTACTCTGAAATATACGCCGTGTAGAACGCTACGGTGCGATCATTCCGCGAATTTGCAAAGAGGAGACGCTTGCGGAACTTCTGCAAGCCCTGGTAGTACACCTGCGCCGGGTCTGCGAGGTCCACGAGGATGCGCGACTGGTGGATAAACACGTCACGGCCCGTCTGACCGAGAAATGTGCCCCCCACAAAGTTCAGAAGTCGGTCGGCAATGGTTTGCCGGAAGAAATGAACTCCCACATGCGGCGTCGCAAACGTGGAGAAGATGACAGGCTCGATATGGTCGAACGCGCCGAGGCTGTGCAAGCGGCCAACGACGTATCGGGAAATTAATCCTCCGAGCGAATACCCCACAATGCTGATTTTGCTAACAAGAACGTTTTCCCGCTTTCTGAGTGTCTCCACCTCGTAAAAGATGTCGCGGACGACCTTTTCCCCGCACACTTTCACACCGTCGTAGGTCTTGAAGAAGGCGAAGGAGGACGGGCGCAAAGTGCAGATTTTTTCATCAGAATCAGCAAATGAATGCTTGATAGCTTCTTCGAGTACTAGTAAATGCTTTGGTCCTCCCCATAGACTAAGATGTTAGTCATGTCATATCTGCTGCTGCTGCTGGTGTACTTACCCATGGACTAGGACAAAGAGGTGACCGGGGGTGGGGCCGCTGGACTTTGGGTTTTGGGGCATATCCAAGGCTATTTGGTCTCAGAGATTTTAGAGATTTGTTTTGTTCAAATCTGTTTATCTCTGGAGCGTGTGTGCTATTATATTGAGATTCCGTTGGAGTAGTCGGATTGTTCCACGACAAACTTTGCTTAGCATGTGATTGACCACAGAAGCACCTGCACAGAGGCCCCGTCATTCAGGGGGATTGCTCTGGCTCAGGATCTCGGGCGTGTCAATTACATGGAACGAAATTCCAGGGCAGTTAAATAAACAGGTTTTGTGAAAGGCACAACTGCATTTTTGTAGTTGTAATTTTAATTGTGTCTGCTTAAATTTCTTATATGATATTAGCGTTCTGTTAGTACGAGAGGTGTAGCCGGTTTCTGCACCGAAAAGTAGCATGACACGTCATAATCAGCCGTCGGGTACCGTGTAGGATGAATGTTAAAAAGTTCGACAGGAGATAGAGGATAGGAATAGTGAGTTTAGCATAGGGAGCCTGTGAGTATTAAGGATATGACGCCCAGAATTGAGGAGGGGCACAAGGGTTTGAGCGAAGTCCGTACTAGAACTCTGCCTTAGAACCTATATCGAGTCTTTCTTTTTACAGGGCTATCACGTAGGTAACAAAGAAGGTTTATTACCATTCTACTAAAGCTTGGTAATATAAATCAAAATATACGTATTCTCAGAAGTAGTAACTGGGTGTTGTGCTAGTTAGTAAGTGATAGATTCTGAGTAGGGCAGGAGGCTCGGAATTTAGGTGAAGGGAGATGCCAGGCGACTTGCGGCCCGTAGTAAAATAAGTTTAGTGTCTGCCCTTTCGAAATGGCCTTACTGGAATATTAAGGGGATACCTCTTATCACGTTTCCTTGGAAGGCTAGGACCTCCAAGCTGCCTTGCTGGTCACACGAAGAGAATTTCATACCCCTAACCAACCTGCACCCCCTGCGCAACCCAATGATGTATCTGGGTATTATTCATAAAAATAAGCTTAGTCGAGTTCCTTTGCCAGCCTAAATTGTAGTTAATGGTTGTACAAGAGTGTAGAGCCGTAAACCGGGGGGGTGTTGAACCAAGATTATGGCTCCCAGTTGTCTTTCCCCGTATTCTTATCACAAGCATATCTCTCCGCCGCCTCTATGGTGTCCGAATATACAAGACTTTCGTCCTGGATATTGAGAAGGGGAGAAGACCGCCTTGACTGTACTGTCCTCGATCGGGTGATTTTTAAGAGATAGATACCCACACTTTTCTGGGGAACCGTCCTCATGCAAGGTTCCCTGGTCAAGGCTCTGAACTCACCGGGGAAGCCATTCTTAACGAGCATGCATGGGATATTGGTTTCAAGCATGAGGCGTTGGGCGGCTCATCGTTTAGTTAAGAAGTCAAAAAAACACGTTCCACGTCTTGTTGTGAAACCGTGGCGTATTTAATTAAACAAGCGATTTCATAATTGGACCAAAATTCTAGGTCTGAATTTATCACAGAAGTAGACCCAAGTCTACATCCTCAGGTGGCTGTACCTACCAATGCTTTTTTTTCCTACTCTAAGGTACTTCAGAGGTATATTATAAAACAAGAAAATAGGAGAGAAGAAGTGAAGTATAGCGGAGAAAAATACCCAATAGATAACGTGTACACCAGAAGCAGAAACGACAAGACCAAAAGAACGATGCGATAAAAAGAAATATACATAATTCAAGAGAAGGATCTACTGACGAGCCGTGTGGGGGTGTAGAGGAGCTCCACCTTGCATGTATAGAGGAAATGGTCATAAGACAATCTGTGCACGCTTAATACTTTGTTGTATAAGACCTGTGTCACATTTATCATGCCGATGACGTCTCCTAGAAAAGGTAGTCAATGACTCTTCTGACCAAGCTTGGACCTCCAGTGCCAGCCAGAGCGGCGGTAGAAGTGAGAAGCGGCATAGAGTAGTTACCAGAGGCGGTGTACAAGGTGGTTAACTCGGCGGTTGGGGTATAGGCGGTGTTGGTACTGGTGGAGTTCTGGAAGTTGAACAGGGAAGCGCTAGAAGCGGCAGTCAAGGAGACAGAGGAAACGACAATTGGGGCGTTAGTGGTCGTGGCAATAGCTCCAGTGGCAGTAGCTCCAGTGGCGGTAGCTTCAGTGGCGGTGACAGTAACCTGGACCATGATGGTGGAGGTGATGTTAATGTCGGTAGACGTAGCGAAACTAGAGTAAGCGCTTCCGGCGGAATCGGTCAACGTGACCGTAAACTGCACAGGAACCTTGATAGTGGTAATACCCTGGGACGTGGTGACAACAGCGGAGGTGGCTTCACAGACGGCTGGCTCGGTGACAGTAACAGTTACGGTCTCTTTATCAGCAGTGGAAGATGGGACGGGAGTGCCAACAGTGACAAGTCTACCATTCACCCCACCGGCGAGCAGCGCATCGTCGGATTGGGAAGCAATAGCCACGGCGGTAACAGGGGTGGTTGCAGCAGCCACAGTGGTGGCGGCTGCAGCAGAAGATACATCGTACGAAAGAGTGACGTAGTTGGTCAATGTGATGGTGGAGGTGGTCTGGATGGTGGTGAGATCTGCGGAAGAGTCAGCAGCGACAGCGGTAGAGATGTCAGTCAAGGCAGTAGTGGAAGGTTTAGCAGTGGCGGTACCGTTGAGGAGGTTGCGCTTGTTGACTGGGATAAATCTTTCAGCGATATTGTTATAAGCGTGCACGGCTTGCAAGCAAGTCAAGACGGATAATAAGACGGGAGCAGAGAATTTCATTGTAGGATGGATTTAGAGGTAGATGGTTTGCAGTTTGACGAGTCAGGTGAAGCTTGATGAGTTCAATCGAAGTTTAAAAAGGAATGGACGCAAAAGATATATCTTTTGCAATTGAATGAAGCAGGCTTAAAAGAATGTGTGGAGTTGGTAAAAGGGAAGGGGTTTTGCAAAAACTATGCAAAAAACAAGGGAAGGCCAGTAGTTATATATCTCCGCGGTGCTGTGTGCTGGAGAGCTGTGTTTATTTGGGTTTACACTAAGCATGTTCGACGCTTATTTAGGTACCTATACAGGGGGAGTTTATGCATTTTCTCCGTGTAGTACCTCAAAAGGTATGTCATTTTGACTGATCTGAAACCTGATATGCATACATTACAGGTAGATGTGGTGCTTGGATCCAGGAAGGGGGAAAAAGGGGTGGGATATTTAAGCTGAGCTGCATGCATGCGCATATGCACAACGCGTCTGTCGAGCCTTTCCTTGTACTCGGCGCGATTGTTACTCGAGGCAGGCGCTAGATACGGACAATACACGCTCCGTCTGCATATCCAAGTGTCCTTCGCGTCCACCTCCGGATACTATTTTTTATTGTCGCTAGCCATAAAGGAAAACGTCATCTACTGAAATCAGCCTGTCGTGTATGTGTGCCCCTGCTCACTCCACGGTAGATCGACATACAAGGCGACGGAAATATTAGTGCCGAAGTTTCATGTATTTTTGAAATAGCTCATTCCTTCTGTAAATCAACGCCATCTTTACAAGTCATATAAAGAAATTCTACTTTTTCGCAACCAGCAGCTTCAAGAACGCAGCACTTTTCCGATGCTTATGTCTTGAATCCCAACGGGCAAATAACCGCCGCACGCATACTTATGCAAGGCATGAAAGTTGCAACGGCAGGTTGCGCCAACTATGGTGGAAATTGTAGACCATGGACTTGCGAAAGCTGAGTGCATATGCTATGAATCCATTATTTATATCGTCACTTAACGGCTAGTCTGGCTTGGAATATTTCATTTTAGTCTTATTAAGGTCTAAATTCGGTCCATGCGTGCCTGTCTAGGAAAAACTTAGCCCTATTTGGACACTAAAATTTACGTTGGTATCTCTGCTCTTTAGTTCTTGCACCCCTTAGGAAGACTATGAAGTTTGAGTTTTAGCTGAATGCATTCGACTCTTTAACAATGGACTATGCTCCCTTCCACGTCTACCTACGGCTCTCTCACTCTAAAAGGGGTAAGGTGTATATCTGGTTCAGATCACAGGCTATCTTATCTGTACAAGATTTCTGTTTCGGATCTGCAGATGTCCAGCTCGTCGCCCAGTGGGCTCTAGATTGGTCAAAGTGCATTTCCTGCAATGCTGATTTGGACTAGAGATATACTATCAGGAGAATTTGGGTCGGAAACTACCCACCTCCATATCCTCGAACGGTTTCCTTGGCTACAAAAGTTTTAGAAATTAACCACGTGAGCCCGTCCAAGCAAAGAAATACCATCATACCGAAAGCTTTCGGTATGATACACATAACGGAGGGTTCATTAGAAAGGAAGAAAGTTATTTTGAAACCTTTGACTAGTTCATGGCCAAACGTCACGAGGATTGACTATCTCGGATAACCAATTTGTCTAAAGGGTATCACCTTTACAAATCTTAAAATGGGTATGAGGGCCATGCACTCTTGAGTTAGTCTTGCGCTGGCAAGCAACCTATCAGAGGGTTTGTTTTGCAGTCTACATGGTGACGTATCTTTTCTTTGTGGGATGACAAGATAATCACTAAAAGTAGTGGCGGATGATTCCATCCCTATTGTGAGAATAACCCTTCGTGCTTATGAGCCCGTTCGTCGCCAAACGGTAGCGCCTGCTTTTTTTAATTCGATATATAATTGAGCTGGGCCAGACCCCCCATCCCGTGGACTTAAATGCCACCGCTTACTGAAAAGACTCTGAATAGTTAGTACTGCGACTGTACTCAACACCGGGACTGTACTCAGCACCAGGACTGTACTCATCACTGGGACTTGTCACATTCGTGACGAAAGAGTGCGTGAAAGATGACACGACACTAACAATTAAATGCAAATCAATGCTTCTTAAAACTACGAAACTCTCGATGCGTAAACCCATGTGTATGTACGGAGGCCTTTGTGCGGAAGTTGAATTCGGGGTGGCCCATATGTATCCCCAGGTTTGGACTTTTGGTTACGCCAGAAGCAGGACAAAAAGATGCCTATATCTGCATTTCAAATATGCAATGACAGTATATCTCGAACCCTCGATAAGAGCAAAGTAATTATATTTATCAGTGGAGTGGGCTGGAAGACAAACTCTTTTTACATTAGGATTGGCTCAGACCGTAGGTTGAACAATACATGAATTCTCCATAATCTAATTTCTAATTGAATAAGCCTATGTCCGTAGAACTTCGACGCAACATGGCAGGCACATGACCCAGGGCATCGAATTGTATCGGAGCTTGACACATGCAACATTTATGTACAGTTCATTGAAAACGGATTAGGCATTATAATCGCCCAAAAGGGAAATCTCTTCTCCTGGCTTGGTGGTGGAATATCTTAGTTCAAAAATAATCAGACAAGGGCATCCCTATCTATGTCCAGCGCCTTTGTATAGAGCTAAATAAGTGAGGATGTTTGATCCCTTTTTTTTCTTTTTCTTGCAGATCCATCGTACAAACTGTGCACACGGACCGTGGACTTGAAACTAGGCTGCATAATATAGCCGACACACATAATCATTATAGCTGTTCATGTGGTTTCAGTTTCTGGGAAAGTGGCCATGATAGATCGTTTTTGGTATTGCATATATTGATAGATGAAATCCGGTGTGAGATTCCTAAAAACAAATCTTCTCTTGCGTGACAAAATTGGTGGTGCATTTTAATGTGGCAGACAAAACAATATGCGCACATATTTTCATGCCTGTATATATATATGCTTCTTTCAGTGGTAATGCCGTAATTAAGGTATATTCTACATTTGCATGGTAATGTATCTATCTATTTTGCGATAAAATACGCCTGTTTAACAATATGGTAGGTATATTATCTTCTTATGAGATAAAATTAATATTTAATATAGATACATTTATAATTTTACATATATGTTAATTTTAAATATCTTACAAATTGGAGCCATTAATTACCTACGTTTTGTATTCATGTATGTAGAAGATATATACATATAAATCAAACCTGCTGATAAAACTAGAATGCCAAATACACAGCATATGTATTTACGTGGCCAAGCGCCGGTATATATTATATACCTGTATAAGCTATACATTACAGCTTCGATTTAAGCTTTTCAGCCTAATGGTGTATGTGTATGCACTTGGTATTAAATTTACTCTTCATGCCGTATGATACGCGGGGAAACTTGGACAATACATATCCTCGAGTTTACATTCTTTGGCTAAATGGGGATAGATTAGATTAAACTAAATATTAAATAATTATACAAGCTGGAGTGGTAGCCCGATGGGGCTTGGCTCTAGCAAACATAGGGTATGAAAAAAGCTAAAGTGCGCCTATAGGGCCTGAAGCTAAACCGTTCTTCTGTAAATACATCGAAATGTATTTACAATAGATTAGAAGATACCGTTGGAGAAGAGAGGGGAAGGTTCCTAGCTCATTTTCAGAAGGGTGCTGAAGGAGAGATATTTGCAGGGAAATTCCTTACAAGTCAAAAACCTCTTGAACAGCTTCCTGGGCCTTTTCAAGGTGGTCCTGAGCAACTTCCTGAGCTGCCTCGGTAGCCTTGGCAGCTTGTGGGACAACGGTGTTGTGGAAGAGGTGACTAGCGTAGGCAACGAGCTCGTCAACCTTTTCGCTCAAATGGGTGTCGTACTGTTCGAGGACGTAGTTGTAGGCAATAACACCCAACTCAACCTGCTTTTGGATGAAGGGGGTAGCAGCTTCGACCAATGGTTCGACGTGCTTGATGTAAAGCTCATGGGATTCAACAGCAGCTCTGGTTGAGATTAATCTTGGGCAGTAAGGAGAGGCTGATGAGTCCTCTGGGCACTTCCAGAAAGCTAAGTAGATGACGTAAGCGATAGCAAAGTTAAACAAGAGGCACTTGACACGACCGAGGAGAGAAGCCATTTTTGATAGATTGATTGGTGTAGGGGATGAAAATAATTTCTTGAAGAAGAGAAAAGAAGCTCTATTGTGCAACCTTGGTGAGACGCACCTCGGTATATATAACAGATCAGGCTGCGAGCTTTTCCTTTTTCGCACATGTGAAATGCTCTCAACAAAAACTGAATGATGTGTTTACTTTTCGTGGAAATTTTCGCCACCACATACCACAAGTATTTCCTCTTTGGGAATATTGCATAAATGCATCGCCCCACCATAAGGAATTAGGAGGCTGCCGAATTTCAGCTAGTACTATTCGTTTATATGCACATCATCGGCCGAGGACAGGTATGATTCAGAGTCCACTAGTAACAACAGCCCCCTATTGCGGGGACGAGTGGGTAGTGTATTTTTAAAGGAATAATCTGTTCTTTTCGGCCGCGTATGCCTGGTGCTGATAAGAAAGTAAATGATTGGTATCGTATAGCTCTGAATGCCCAAGGGATATAACAAAAAAGGTCCAATTCTGGTTACTGAATAATAAAGCATTCAACCTTGAAAGGAAGCCAATTTTAGGTGTATTTAAAAAAAAAAACGGTTTAGAGGTAAAGTTCTAACCAGGTTGACTGAGTTAACCAGTACCCATGTATAGAGTACGGTAATAAACGCAATATTGGCTCAGTTAGATAAGCACGTTAGATCTACAAGCATGATACTTATAAGGTATATAGAGTCTGTTCAAGTAATATATAAATGGCAACAAATACACCTTTAATCGCTGCGAAATTCTGAATACGGCGGGATACGTCGGGGGCTTTCACACCATTTTTAGTAGTTCCTCGGTCAGGGATGGTATGCCCATTTTCGTATAAAGTGCTTATGAGGACTTTTATATTTAAAGAGACCAATGTGTTTCAATAAGTTATATGACTTGGATAGTAATCTAACGGCGATTAACTATCCCGAAAGGCTGAAACAACCTTGAGCCGGTGCATGCCGTTCGAAGCAAGTCTAGCAGGCTTTTCCCCATATAGTACCATGTGTATTGCTGCACGTGCTCGATGTTAACGAGAATACTATAATGGCTTGTTTCATTAGTGCGTCATATTCTTGCGCTAAATAGTTTTGTCGGGAATAGCATAGTGGCTTGTTTCAATAGTATGGTGCATTTATCCCAAGTGGCGTGACAGTGAGATTGCTTGACTGCTTAACTTGTTCTTTTTATGAGTGTCTTACTGCCTTGTATAATTTCATTCTGGCTAAAAGATTTACCCTCATTTTGAGACTCTGGTAGATTAGTGGAATCTCTCAGTTGATATTAACCAATGGATAGCGTAACCGGCTGTAGAACATCAGACAGCATGTCTGGACCGTATTTAACCCAGATGGGTGAACTGGACTAGAAGAGCCGGCCGGGTCTAGTTGGATTGCCGGCTTCCTGTCAAGTTTCCAGCGCCTGTTGGGGTTTCAGTCGGGAGGTAACAGCCTATAATTGATTCACAAGGTACTATCGAAATAAGCCACTAGGTACATTCACGACCTTCCACAAGAATAAAGATACTTTTAAACTGAAACATTTTCTATCAACAGGAAATCACTTCTATGTATAGTCTTCGGAGCTTTTTCTGTCAGCACAACTTAGCCAGTCGTGTCAACATAATTTCTTAACGTGCCACATCGATGTAACCTCTTGGTTTGCTGTTGATATAACCTCTCAACTTACTACTGATGTAATCTCTTGACTTGATATCGATGCAACCCCTTGGCTTACCATCAATATAGCCTCTAACTTCGGCATCTTAAGAACGTGCAGGAGTGGTTTAGGGGTAAAATCTAACATTCCCATTGTTAGGCCACGGGTTCGAGTCCCGTCTCTTGCATTGTCTTTTCGTTTTTTGGATGGCTCAGGGTTGAAGACATACTTATACCGTGAAGTTTGGGCAAGGTTTGGCGTTTGACCTTTAATTTTATGTTTTGGCGTAGGCGAAGCAGGTTAATGACATACTAAGTTATCGAGGAAGAAATAAATGTGAAACGCCAAACAGAACGTGGGGTTTCACAAAATGTCTAGATACCAAAAGTTGCTGGTGATCGAAAACATAACTGCTTAAACATAACTAATGTAGTAGGCAATGAAAAATTTACTGTGGATGAGAGAATTCATGCACCTTGATTCTCAGACTTTTGCTCGCCCAAACGATCCTACACTTGAATCCAGAGGAAAAAAAATATTATATATCTAATCCGTTGAGGAACCCTATTATATATACACACATGGAAGTCCGTAGCTACCAAGGCTAACAGAACACTCAGCATGCAAAGAAAAATGAAATGAAAAACAAACCCAATAAGAGAAAGAGAGCGAGGCAATAGAAAAAAAAAGAATAAAATAAAATAAACAAGACATGAATACATTACTTAGACGTAACAATAATGTAAATGCAGTTGATGCAAACACACAGACAACTCACCCCCTTAGGAAATCAGCTCCTTGTCATTAAGATAAGAAAGCGACACGATTAGTATCTGTAGATATCAGCCTTGTATGGACCCTCCTGTGGGATACCCAAGTACTCGGACTGGACGTTAGACAAGGTGGTCAACTTAACCCCCAACTTGGCCAAGTGACATCTGGCAACCTCTTCGTCCAAACACTTTGGCAACAAGTGGACACCGACGGAGAACTTCTCTCTCTTGAAGGCTGGGAAAGCTTCGAGGAAAGAGGTGTTGTCCTGGGTAAACAAGGCAATCTGGGCCAAGACCTGGTTGGAGAAAGAACAGGACATAACGAAAGAGGAGTGACCAGTGGCACAGCCCAAGTTGACCAATCTACCTTCAGCCAACAAGATGACGTGTCTACCGGATTCCATCAAGAAACGGTCGACCTGTGGCTTGATGTTGACACATTCCTTGGCGTTAGACTTCAACCACGCAACATCGATTTCAATGTCGAAGTGACCAATGTTACAGACGATAGCGTCATCTGGCATCTGGGAGAAGTGCTCACCAGTGATGATGTCACGACACCCGGTGGTGGTGACAAAGATTTGACCCTGGGAAGCAACTTCTTCCATGGTCTTCACTTCGTAACCCTCAACCGCGGCCTGCAAGGCGTTGATAGGGTCGATTTCAGTGATAATGACACGGGAACCCATACCTCTCAAGGCCATGGCACAACCCTTACCGACATCACCGAACCCGGCAACAACAGCAACCTTACCAGCCAACATGACGTCGGTGGCACGCTTAATACCATCGATCAAGGATTCACGGCAACCGTACAAGTTGTCAAACTTGGACTTGGTGACACAGTCGTTAACATTAATGGCTGGGACCTTCAAGGTGGCGTTCTTCATCATCTTGTACAAGTGGTGGACACCGGTGGTGGTCTCCTCAGAGACACCGAAACAGTCCTTCAACATTTCTGGGTACTTTTCGTGGACCAAAGCGGTCAAGTCACCACCATCGTCCAAGATCAAGTTCAACTTCTTGTTGTCCTTGAAAGCGAACAACTGCTGTTCAAGGCACCAGAGGTATTCCTCTTCGGTTTCACCCTTCCAAGCAAAAACTGGGACACCGGCAGCGGCAATGGCGGCGGCGGCGTGGTCCTGGGTGGAGAAAATGTTACAGGAAGACCAGGTGACTTCAGCACCCAAGGCAACCAAGGTTTCGATCAAGACAGCGGTCTGGATAGTCATGTGCAAACAACCGGCAATTCTGGCACCGGCCAATGGCTGAGATGGACCGTACTTGCTACGGATTTCCATCAAACCTGGCATTTCGTTTTCGGACAATTCAATGTCCTTGCGGCCGAAGGCGGCTAAGGAGATATCGGCGACTTTGAAGTTAGACATTTAGTGTGGTTTAAAAGGGGGGGATTAAATGGGAGAAAGAAAAGGGAGAGAGAAAAAAAAAAGGGGTTAGCAGCCGTTATATATTAATTTTTCACGCCAAGATTAGAACGTGCTAAACGCTCAACAATGTACCAAACCTTCACGTGTTAATGAAAAAATTTTCGGTGCTTAAGAAAAAGAAACTAGGTGCGTATACGAGCGGTGCAGGATTTACCCGGCTGTTACATAGGCTTGTAGCCGTCCGAGGGTTCAAGAACGTTCACTAGCTATTAACCGTTTAGGGGGTTTTGCTACGAAGATGGGAATACATGAAGAGGATGTTATTAAAGGAGTACTATCATTGAGAGATAGTATGTGTGATTGTGTTTATTACACCCTGTTGCTGTTTGTAGGACGTTTTCTAGTTTCGTGAATCCGCGGGGGTTAATAAGTCACCCAACAAATCGATAGCTTATTAGGCGAGATATGTGCTGGTAATTCGGCCGCAGTTATACGTTTGGCAATCTCCACATTGCGGCTCCACCTTGGAGATTTAGCATCGATCACTTTTATATCGTCAAAGTTCTGAGTTTCTGTACCCCTCCCGAATTGGATACATTTCATGTCAGTCTTACTCTCGTATCTGAATGACCTGCAGGGGCTCCGTGGGTCTTGAGTAGTTGTCGAGGCCTGAGAGGCTTTTCAACCGTTATTCTTGACCGATGGAGCACCTCAATTGTAAAAACCTCAACCATCAGCGAAGTTACATCAAGTAGTTATATATACCAACTTCAGTGCCCTGTCTCGCCAATTGAAGGATATACTAACGGTCGTCTCGCATCAGCTACGTATTCGGTTCAGTGAGGATGGTGAAGCCGCATCGCTGCAGCAACCAAGCCGCCTCCTAGACGATGATTACAGCCTCACAGTTGAACCATTCGTAGGTCTTCCATGTCTGAAACAAAGTGACCCTCCATTGCCACTACGCACTACTTAAATTCGCCACCTCAGCTCACTTTATTACAGCGACTATCCGTGAATCTGTTTTGGCCACGCATCAGCTTGCATTTGTCACCAGAGTTGAAGGAAACACTTAAGAGGGGTATCAATACCGTTGCATAAGTTCCAGACACTTAGAAACCTTCTTAAATACCAGCCTCCGTTCTCCATTACACCTTTAAAGGAATTCTCGCGACTGGTGTTTCCCAGATGTCTTTAAACATAGAGAGATACACTTCAAAAGGACACCAGTCGGTTCTACAGCTCTCCTCTCTGCTTTACGAACCAAGATGTGCGACCCTTCAGCCATTTTCCCCAGACGGAAACGCCTTCAACCCGTGCTTCTTGGCGGCCGTGCTCACCTCCTTTGTCGCTCTCTCAAGCCTTTTCTGCCTCTTCCAGCTCCTCCAACTGTGCCGAAACAAAAGCCTCGGAAGCGTCTGGGACCCCCGAAACGTGGGAAAATGGCAGATCCTTCGCATCGTGCTAGTTCTTCTACAGAGTCTTGCGTACTCCCGTCTCGCCTTGGGGGATTCAAATGACTTGTGGCACCCAATGGCACCCAAAGGAGCTCTTTTCTACCTTTCTTTCGCAATTCTCACCATTGTACTTCCGTTACACGTCATGGAACCGGTTAAGGCAGATAGAGCCAGCGCATCGCTTTTGGTTTTCTGGCTAGGCTTGTCACTCATCCATTCGATTACCACCGCGCAAGACATCCTAACCGCGTGGAAGTTTATTGATTCGACGAAAATGGAGATCTTTGCCCTTCTCAATGCCTGGATTGTGTTTACGCTAGAAGTTGGGAGCAAGTGGGAGACGTCAGAGCAAGCCAAACAGGATTGTGTCCGACGCGGGAAACTGATTTACAAGCCGAACTTTCTCCAACGCTACTTCACCTACTCCTGGATGAACCCTTTGATGAGCAACAAAAACCTCTCTTTTAGTGATCTCCCAGAGCTCCCGGATGATGTAAATGTGGGCTACCATTCGGCCAAACTATCGAGCGAATGGGAAAAGCAGGCGCGGCTGATGCACCAGTCGCTTCTCCGCCCTCTCCTCAGCGTCGTCCGAAACCAGCTTTGTGTGGTTTTAGGGCTTGAAATCCTCCAATGCATCTCCCTGTTTGTACAACCGTTGCTTCTCCGGTACTTGATCCGTTTTTTCCAACAAAATAGGCTCCAACTGGCAGATACGGCTGGCTCGCAGCTTATTGATCCAAGTACCACGCCTCAGCCATTGCTCATTGGCCTCACCCTCGCCTTTTTGATGTTTTTCAGCTCTCTCGCGACTAGTTTCATATGCAGCATCACGCACGTGAAATCCCGCGAGATGGGCTTCAACTGCAGATCCAGTTCGATGGCCTTGGTTTACGCCAAATGCTTGCGGCTCTCGCACGCCGCCCGCACCCAGGGTGATACCAACGTGGCAAACTTGATTTCCGTGGACGTTGAAAACATCCAAACCTTGAGCGAAACCGTGCCCCTTGTGGTGTCCATTCCCGTAAACTTGGTTATCTCGCTTGCAATGCTCTACTCGCTCATCGGCTACGCCTTTGCCGCGGGGTTTGCGGTCGTCCCAGCGATGATCTACCTCAATATCTTTGTTTCGCGGCGGATGGAGCAACTCTATGACACCCAGATGGAGTTCAAGGACGCTCGCGGGTCGCTTACTCAGGAACTTCTCCTGGCCATCCGCTCGGTCAAGCTCTACGCATGGGAAGCGGTGATGACGGGCAACATCCGGCGCGTGAGAAACGACCAGGAGCTCCCGACTTTGAAGAGAATTGCACTCTGGGATGCATTTGGTAACTTTGCGTGGAATATCTCGCCGTTCTTCCTTTCCACCTCTGTCATGGCGCTCTTGGTATTATTGGGCGACATAACGTTGACCCCAGAGGTGGTGTTTCCAACTATGGCCGTTTTGAACTTGCTCTCCAAGCCGTTTTACCAGATTCCCTCGCTCGTAGCGGCGTTCATCGAAGGAAGGGTTTCGTTTAACCGGTTAACGGAGTTCCTCACCAGCGGAGAAATTGATTTTACGGCAGTCACACGACTCCCAGCCGGCAATGTTTCTGTTAACGTTGCCAACGCCACGTTTCTTTGGAACGCCCCGTGTATGCGGGTGGACGAGGACGAAGAAAGATTAATCGATGAAACGAAGGTTGCTTTGACGAACATCAACTTCCAGGCACGTACGGGCCAGCTCAGCTGTGTGGTGGGCCGTGTTGGCGACGGAAAGTCCGCCTTTATCCAGTCTCTCGCCGGCGAGCTTCCTATGGTGAGCAGCGCGGGCATTGGGGAGGAGAAACTTGAACGTTGTGGCAACATTGCGTATGTTCCACAGGAGCCATGGATCATGAACGCTTCCGTCAAGGATAATATTTTATTTGGTCACCGGTTGGATGGGGAGTTTTACCAGAAAACGCTCGAGGCATGTGCGTTGGTGACGGATCTCGAGACGTTTCCCCAAGGTGATGCTACGGTTGTGGGCGAAAAAGGTATCTCCTTGTCTGGGGGTCAACGTGTGCGCCTTTCGCTTGCACGCGCTGTGTATGCGCGAGCGGACATCTACCTCATGGATGATGTATTATCTGCGGTGGATACCCATGTTTCGCAGCACATCATCGATCGTGTGTTGTCTTCTACCGGGATTTTGGCGTCAAGAACGCGCATTTTAGCCACGAACAACGTTCCCGTGTTGAAGCATGCGGATCGGATTAGTGTGTTTCAAGGTGGACGGATCATAGACCTGGGGGAGTATGACCGAGTTTCATGGAGAATTAAAGGAGAAGGTGAGGATTCAGACAAAAGTGAAGCCTCTAATGACAAACCAATCAAACCAGCCCAAGAAACCCCGCCAAAGCCCGATGCTCTGCAGGCCCTCCGCAGAGCAAGTGTTGCCACGGTATCCTTCCGCCCGTTTGAGGATAAAGAGGGAAAAGCAGAAGGAAGAGTTTCCTGGTCCGTCTACCTCACGTACACCCGCATCTTTGGACTATCTTCTGGCGCAATTGTTGTTCTCTTCATCGCTCTCTGGCCCACGTTCACGATTCTCGCCAACTACTGGTTGAAGCTCTGGTCCGAAGAAAACCTCGTGCACGGTCACAATACGGATTCGTGGCGAAACCTCGCGGTGTACGCCCTCCTAGGCTTGGCACTTGGAGGGTCTATTCTTGTGCGATCCCTCCTCATGAGGGGCCGCTTTGCCCTACGCGCGTCCCAGGTGCTCCACGACACGATGCTTACAGCGGTGGTGAACTCTCCGATGGCGTTCTTTGAATCAACCCCGCTTGGCCAGATTGTCAATCGCTTTACGCTGGACATCAACGCTGCGGATGATGGCTTGGCACGCACTATCGAAAATTGCCTCGAAGTGTGCTTGGATATGATATTCGTCATGACCACCATTCTCTGGACGTTGCCAGGAATGGCACTCTTGATGGGGTTGCTCGTCATGGCGTTCCTCTACTACCAGATCTACTTTATCGCCGCGTCGCGTGAATTGAAGCGCATCGCAGGGATCGCGCGATCACCACTTCTCTCGCACATCCAGGAAACCATCGAGGGCGTTGATTCGGTGCGTGCCTATGCCAAGGTCGAGTGGTTCAAGCAGATTCACGCGACCAACATCGAAAACAACTTGAAGGCAGACTACTTAAACGTGCCAGTGACCCGCTGGTTGTCTACTCGACTCAAGGCGTTGGGCTCGGTGGTACTTTTTGCTGCCACCTTGTTGTGTGTGTACTCGCTCACCACCGCAACGCCATTAGGCCCAGGCACCATTGGGTTTATCATCTCATACACGCTCTATTTAAGCAGTGGGTTGGAAGATGTGGTGGATTACATAGTGAGCACCGAGGTCCGTTTTGTGGCGATTGAGCGAATCTTGGAGTACTGGCTGTTGCGGCCAGAAGCAGATGCGGCCACTAAAATCAATGTCTCTTTGTGGCCAAATGACGGAGGTGTTATGTTCAGCAACTACTCAACAAAGTACCCCGGAAGCGAAACCTTGGCATTGAAAGACATCTCAGTGTCTATTAAACCGGGTGAGAAGATCGGAATTGTGGGTCGGACAGGTGCGGGAAAGTCCACACTCACGCTGGCGTTATTTCGGCTAATTGGGCCCACTGCGGGCTCTGTGAGCATCGACGGTATCGCTATCTCCAGTTGCGAAGCGCTAAGTTTGCACGACTTGCGCAGCAACTTGAACATCATTCCCCAGAACGCACATATCTTCCAGGGCACCATTCGTTCCAATTTGGATCCTTTCAACCAGTTCTCCGACGAAAGGGTGTGGGAATGCATCAAATTAGCTCAGATAGACCAGCTATTGGGCCAGCTATTAGACCAGCCGCAGAGAATCCCTGGTGTAACTCCCGAGTACTTGGCTGCCCAGTGTCTTTCGCTCCCGATTGTTGAATCGGGTGCCAACTTGTCTTCCGGGCAGAAACAGTTGGTTTGTCTTGCGCGTGCTCTTCTCAATCCGTCTCAGGTGTTGGTCATGGATGAAGCAACGTCTTCCGTGGACGGGAAAACCGATCTGATTGTCCAGGAAACCATCCGCAAGGCATTCAGCTCCAAGACAATTTTAACCATCGCCCACAGGTTGGATACGGTGATGAACAGTGACCGTATCCTAGTGTTGGACGGCGGGGAGGTCAAGGAGTTCGATACCCCAGAAACCTTGTTGAACAACCCAGATAGTTTGTTTTATGGGTTTTGCCAAAAAGGTGGGTTTGTCTGAGGATCAAAGGCTAATCAGGGCGCCAGGGAACGACAGTTCAGGCCAAGTCTAGTACCACCAGGCCTAAGTATCGTCAGACTAGTCTAATCAGAATGAGAGAATGTTGGTTTTTCAGTACCCACTACAGATTTAGAGTAGAACGTAACGGGTATAGCTACAATTGTGCCAAATGATATTCTTTGGACCAATAATCGGTGCTAAATAGAATGAATTATACTATGATTCCGGCAGAAACGTCATGACACGGGCATATTTTCTCACCTGTTGGCCGACAATCAACCTTTTATTATTGCCTTCAGGTAGAGATTAAGTATGAACCGCCACGGAACTTGATACCCGCAAACAGCTGACGGAAAACCCGTGTTCGCTGCTACAGAATATGCATGATGGGGCTTGCTATCCGGAACCCGAGGTATACTTGAAAGGGGCAACCCTCTTTTCCCGCTGATCAGTATACCGCTGGTTGTGACAAGCATGCATCTTTACACGTCGTTAGGGCCCCCGATTAAAGAGAAAGAGGAATTCTTCCCGTCTCGGAAACTCCATGCCGCGGCGTTTTTTGTCCCTTAATTCATAGCAATACTGAATACAGGATGAGTGTTTATAACCAATCTCTGATTGACAAAACTCTTGGTAGGGGGTTTCTCACGGGAAAATGGCCTGCAGAATTGGTATTTAGTGAGTATAAGTAAAAAGAAATGATTGATATTTACCGGCCTAACCTAGATGTAGAAGAATTGGCCTCCTGTCTAGAAGCTATGGCTATTTCCTGATTAAGGAACTGCATCGAAACATATTAGCACGACGTCATAGCTGCATCAGGGGAGAAAAATGAATTTACAGCCACATTGTTCATCTGACTAAAACTCTTCCCTAGGGGGTAGGGGGGGTGATAACCATCGGCATAGAAGATTGTAGATTCGGCGGAGCAGGAATCGCACAACAGGGATTAGCTGACGCTAACCTGATAAGTATATGATTAAGGTTCGAATCATAGGGGCCTTACCTATTAGATTATACAATTTTATGGTACCGCAGCAAGGATTTGACATAGCCCCTGTGGTATGAGGCATCGTTGTGTTACCGTACAGCAAGAGCACGGGAGATTCGTAACTGCCAATAAAAGTAAACTGGAGTGGTAATCACTCATTAAGCTCTGGCAGTCATACTGTACTGTCCGCGTCAAAAATTCCTCTAATACTGAAGTCTGGGCCTGGACTGGTCATCACTTCCTGTCTGCAGTATCCAACCTCCGAAAGCCCCGTTCGGCTATTTTGCGAACATGTAATGTTAGCTATACTGCTGCGGCACGAAACGGAAGTGGTAACACGGAAATAATTTAGAACTGGTCTCAAACTCGATTATTGGAAAACGAAACCACCAAAAGCAATGCATAGCCCAGGAGATAATACCAGAAGTGTGAGCCAGCTTCCTTCCGGCAAGCATGCATCGAGCATGGGGATGGGGCTGGCGCCCCCTATGGTGGTCCGACCCTGACTCAAACCTTCGGTAGCCTGCATTCTAAGTACCCAGAGTGAGAGTAGCTATAGTTCTGATGCTTCGATTATCCCTAAAGTACACTCATCCAAGGATAGAATCCAGAACTACAAAAATGTGAAACAGTGTTACGCAGGGAGTAGACTTACCAGGATAGCTGGAGCATGTACGTATGGCGCATATATCATCGCATCACCTGGCCCAGGCTAGATTCATTTTTGGTTACTGACTAATAATTAAAACCGAGTTTTTAGCAGTCGTGTAACACAAAATTAGAAAAATCTAACGAGGCTGTGCATACCAGTCATAAACAACCTTGTTTCGTGAAAAGGGTCTAGGCTTGATTCCTCGGGAACTGAGCCTCTTATATACTGAAAACTAGGGACCCAACCATGATGCAATGTGTACGGCAAGAGTATATAATCGGTGCGTGAGGCGGAGTATCACAGATCTCAATTCACGGACTTTCCCCAGAGAACATGCAGTTTGGTCAGCCATCGGGAAGCTCGAGTTTGACTTGCCGACCCGACAGGTGCACGTGACTTGACAATTTCCTTTTTTGTCATCTGCAACAAGGGGGGTATAGTGGCCAACGCAAGGAAAAGCTTGTCTAATCTTAATAGACATTAATAATCAAAGTAAACCTGTCCTCTCCACCCACCAGATGTCTCGAGTTGAACATATAATATCCCATGAGCGAATAGTTACCTGTGCCAGCCGTTTAAAAATATTGCATCCTGGATATCCCTCCACTGCGGAGTTTCATATTAGAACGCCCTGCGTGGAAGCCACCCACGGCTGCTGTCCCTTTGTTTGGGCCGAGCCATTATTCATCATGCATATTTTTGTGGCAAACTCTTTGGACGGAG